AACATACTGTTTTACTTTAGTCCATGACTCGCTTACCTTCAGGGTCATACGTCACATGAAAACCAAAATAGTTCCAAACGCCAGATCTGAATGAGGGTGGGGGAGGTTCAATTTGCCATGTTGCAACGAGCTTAACTTCTGTCTCGCTAGCTTCCCCTGCGCTCAGTGAATCTGCGTTTGACTACTCCGCCTAGGCTGCACTGTCGAGCACAGATCCACTGAGCGCTCAACACAGACAGCATCGTCAGAAGGAAAGTTGATAAAATAAATTAAAAATTTTGTATTGTTCGATACATATGCGTACCGAACCGAAAGCACTGTATCGAACGGTTCAATATCGATACGAGTATCGTTGCACCCCTACTTCTTATGTTCTGTAAACTTTAGTAACTGAACTGCTCTTTCAGGTTTTTGCAAACAGTGCAGCCACTGATTATGTTAACACAGTGATCTGTTCTTGGTAGAGGTATAGCAGTCTTTTCTTTGTTTAGAGTAATTGTGGTGCAGCTTCATTTATTAGCAGCTGATATGTAGGTGGTGGATATGCAGAAATCAGTAATCTGGGTTAGGAACGGAAAAACTTAATCCACAGTGACATAAGTGTGACAGCATTCTAATCAAATATTAGTATCACGTCCAAGACTGGTAAAATCCAAGACTGTGGAGTTGACTTAGGACAGCTGAATGGGATCAATAATATACCAACCAGCTTGTCTGTATGAAAACACCAGAAGTCGTTTTGGGGTGGCAGTCGGCTAAGCAGGGTATTAAGAAGGAGTATCCTTTCTCCCAGTCACACTTTCACAAGTGTCACAATTTCTTGTCTGTCTTCAGAACGCCTGCGGTACAGTGCCAGCATGATATAATGATAATCACCAGTCTCAGCTTTCATTTGTTGTGATTAATTAGCTGACATATATGGCAACACTAATACATCAGCGATAATGTTTGCTAATAATAACAGCTGAAAGGCAGACCTCCAGTGATGTGTGGAATGTGACGTGGTTGTTGGAGGGTTGCACTTTTTTTTTTCTCCCCCATTTCTTCTATTTTGTGTGTGGCTGAGAATTTCCCTCCAAGATCTGTGACTTTACGCCCCTTGTTTCCTCGTTGTATACTGCTGATCAGCACAGGAAATAGAACACTGAACATTGTATTTCACATCAGCTCTTAGGGAAGAAATTATTTAGATTGTCAGCTTCAGACCTTATGATTATAATCTCTGTAGATTTCCATACTTTTTGTATAGCTTTTCTAATGCTTACGATTCTACATGTTTATGGAAGTTCGCAACAAGGTCAGCAATGGGGGTTGCATGTAATCAGTAGCATGTTTCAAGTCCATTTCAAGCAAAGCATTTGTTCTTTTACATTGTGTTTACGAGTTCAGCCTCGTGTAAATGCCTCAGCAGTTCCACCCCCACAATGCTTTAAAGTAGCTTTTGATGTTTTTAATGATAAGTTTGTCAGGTGAAAATTTTCAAACAGTGTTTGAGAGGACTTCAGCTGACTTTGCAACAGTGTTTAAGTTTATAGAGCTTCACAGCAAACTGTATATGTATAAATGGCTGTCTGTCCCTCAGTGACACATAACTCATTTGGTTATTTGTGTCATTTGAGGATTTAGCAAATGACTAGATGTGTAAGATCACAACTTAATACATCTAAGACCTGTAAAGCAGACTGACTGTTGAACAGGAAAAAAGTAAAGGGCACAGTGTTGGAGTAATAGTAATAACAAATCTGTATAAACACAGGGTTCCTGCAACTGACACTGCTTGGGCCTTTAAATAATATCATTACTCAATAAATGCTAGTTAGTTAAAACTGTTATCATCTGTCTGGATAAATATGAGTGAATGAATGAACACGTTTAGCTCTACTTTAACCTGTTCACTGTTTGTTCCTCGTTGGCTTCTTTTATAGACGATCGTAAAGATGGAACAATAGCAGAACTGCAGGAACAGCTGAGAGACGTGATGTTTTATCTGGAGACCCAGCAGCAGATTGAACATCTTCCACCAGAGGCTCGCAGCGAAATTCAAGAGGGACAGATCAACATCCCAGCCAGCCCATCTGACGGCGCTCTGGGTTCGGCAGGAGCAGGCCCTTCCTCTGGCAGGGGCAGAAGAGGCCGAGGCAGGAAGAGGAAGTAGGCATGGCCTAAACTCAACTGGAACATGCTAGAAACTGTGTTGCTGCTTCTCACTGTGGACATGTTTGTGACTGAGCCCAGCCCTTTATTCAATGTGTATCTGCATTATTGTAATTCTTAATAGGGTAAAGGCAGGAAGAAGGAGTAAATGTTGATAATATTTACCTGCACATTTTCCTAGCATAACTCCTAGCTCCTACAAGAAGAGCATAAGAGAGGATCGCTCAGTCACTCAAAACATCAGTGTGATCTAAATGTCCTCTTCTCTTTCCAAAACTTAAAAGTATATATTTTGATCACAATTTATATTTATTTGATCAGAAATATTTCATCTGTGCCCAGGTAGTACCATATTATAGTACTTCTTTTCAAACACTGCGTGATCTTTTTATTATCTTAAAATGCAAAGATGGTTCTTTTACAAGTGAGAGAAGAATCAAGGAAATTTATGTCCACATTTTCTGAGTTTTTCCTTCATTTCTTTGGACTCGGCTGTTTCATCTGTTATGTTCCAATGTTTTTTTTGTTTCTCTTTTTGTTCCTCCACTTTAAGTAGAAACACTCGTCAGAGAACATGGAGGAGAAAATGCCTTTTTCAGCAGTGCATTGTATTGGGACAGGAGTCAGTGTTCACAGAATGCACAGTATTTTTGTATGAGGAGCAGGAAGCATGTTTTGCCATGTTTTCACCATCTAGGTTAGTGATTCCCAACCACTAGTACAACTTGTGTACCTCAGAGGATTCTACAGCATTACCAGGAAGTAGTTCAAAGGATTGTGTATGTTTGCTAATGATTTATTGAAACTATGTGGCTCCTTCCATCAATCTGTATTGTCCCAGTATCCCTTATTTTCCAGCTAATTTCCTGGAAATCTTTCTCAGAATTTCTCCCATAATATTCCCAAGACTGTAGTTATTGACTCTAAAACTAAAGTCTAATATGATTTTTTTAATTTACCCTTTAAAACTCTTAATATTACTGGCTGCTATTCTATTATTCCTCCATTTAAAGATGATTTTAAATTACAAATATTGTGCCATTTGATGACATTGACCTTTGGCTCTAAGACATTATGATAAGCATCTGTATTATTATGCCATATAAACATTAAGATTTTCAGAGAAATTATTAAAATAACCAGGGTACATTAGTTGTACCCTGGTTATGTGTTAAATACAATACCATACCAGAAAAAACACCAGAAGCAACTGTGACCTTTGCAGTTACAATCCTGAACATGGTGTCATAACCTAGATGATGAAATAAGTGACTCAGCTCCCTCCTTGAATACTAAGATTTTTTTCCCTTGCAAAATGTTCACAATAAAGTTTTAGATGAATCCCTAAGGCCTTAATTAAAAACTGGTGCAGAAAGCACACATTGATTTTTTTTTTTTTTTTTTTATAAACAGCCACTCAAAAGATCATTCTATGCAAAAGATTCTTTACAGCCCTCTAAAAGGAACATAATAATTTCAGAAATATGAGATTTGCTGTCAGTTATTTGAGATGCTAACTGTGACATTGTCTGACAAGATATTTCACGCATATAGCCAGTGACGGCCAACAGGAACCAAGCTTGCTGGTTACTGTTGTTTGTAGACATGAGTATAGTATCGCTCTCGAAAGTTAAATGAAAAGATGTTTTTCCACAGTGATCATCAAGAGAAAAGCTGGAATGTACCTGTAGCGACTGCTTTGAGAGAGGAGATAAAGAGCTGTTTTTTTTCAGCCATAGAAGCTTTCATTTAAAAACAAAATACGGTAAGTCATGCTCCTGAAAACATCCGTTCATGCTGGGGTTTTGTTGTTTGTTTTATTGCCATGAAAGTGTTCAGTTTTTTGTTGTTAACACTAAAACTGTGCTGCCACTTTCAATAAAACATTTTCTGAAGTTTTTCTTGTTCTGGGGTAAAAAGTGTGTTAAGCTGAAACAGATGCATACTAGGTTGCCGTCAAGTGACGAATGATCTTTGTTGAAATGACATACTACACAGCTGTGATGTTAAAGTGCAGACTGTCAGATCTAACTAATCCTTCTGCAGTCTACTACATTCACAGTTTATTACCAGCAGCCTGTTGAAAGTAAACTGTGTACATAGTTGGAAAACACAGACACGCTGACAGATTAAAAAGCTTGGTCTTCGTAGACACACCATCTACCTGGTAATTGGCATGCATTTCTCTCTACACTCCAAGACAAGTTTTAGGAACTTGTCATTTGTCACACTCTATACCTCCCCCCTGATGACATTTCAATCCTGTGCCTGTGTTTAGTAACAACTGTAGTCACAGGCAAATGATACTGCATGCAAACATTTTCCACACCTTTTATTTTTCTATTTATATCCCCAAGTATGGCCTCTAATGTTTCATCAGCCAGTGGAACTACAAGGGTCAGACATTTCAAGTTATTGATTAATCCTTGAGGAAAAATCAAATCAGGAGCAAGCTGGTTACAGTTTCCAGCAGCCCTAAATGTCCCCAAATATTTCCCTAAACAACATTTACAATCATATAGAGAGGAAATAAATGCAACGATTATTGGGGTTTTCTCTATGTTATTATAGGGTCTTTACCTTACACCTTGTGGCAGCTGTTGTGATTTGGCGCTATATAAATAAAATTAAATTGACTTGAATGTGTGGTCTAAATTTAAGGAAAACAAGCCTCCTGAAATCTTCCTTACATCAAGTATATGAGATCTTTTGCACCAATATACAAATAAGTCCACCGTGATAAATGCTAATGAGAAACAAAGTCTGTGGGTTCTCGTGAGATGATTGACATTTCCCGTTTCTCATTACTGGCATAGCCAAGAAGAAACCAAAACCACGTCAACAAATTCTGAACGCATTGTTTGTTGACTTGATTACCAGCAGTTAAAAAGATATGTGTGTCACCTAAGATATCATTTTAATCGTGGGAATGAAAGTACTTGGGGTACATTTGAGCTGTTTTCTAACCACGTGTGAAAGCTGATAGCTAACTGTGAAAAAGCCTGAGCTGCAGCTGGACAGAAGAATGCGAGAATAAAAGAGGAAGCCAGAGGAGGAGCCAGCATATGGCCGAGAACAGGATTTAGAGGTAAGATAGTCAGAGGGAAAGGCTCTTCCTGAGTTGAGCTGTTGACTATATGGACGTTTTCTCTGCTCTCACCGCTGTGCTGAGCTATGGATTAGTCTTGCACTAAAATTCTTTTTTTTTTTTTTTTAGATGCTTTAGACACGTATAAAGGTAAGTACAAAAAACCTTTTTTTGCCTAACAGCTTTGCAAGCAGAGTGTGCAGCTTGGTGAATCAACTGTTGTGTACGTAAAATACAAAGAAAAAGGTTTTAGAAGGATACTAACTTTCTGCGTGAGGCTCATTTGTGTATATTTGCTCAACTTTCCACGGCCAAAACACACGAAACAAGAAAGAACTGCTCACTACAAAGATATATTTTTGTAAAGTCAACTTCATGAGCAATAAAATCTCTGGCATGCCGTATCTTTCAGGTGGAAAAGACTAGAAAGATATGAAAGAGCACAGATACAGTCTTTCTACCCTCACGTGCTGTCCTGAATTCTTTTATGCTGAAGTAAAAGAGGCTTGGACACAGGGGTATTATAACTTTTCCGGAAATGACGCTGCCTCTTTGCCAAGATGAACAAGCCAACTCAGATTCCAATCATTGTTCATGTGCTCTGCTCAGTTCTCATTGACATTAATGCTGGCACCAAAAACTTTTAGCAGAAGTTATTTTCTATCCTGTAGTGCGATTGTGTTAATTTATATGTGACACTTGTCTGCTGTCTTGAGCTCTTCTGTAACTCACTTAAAGTTCCTCCTTTCCTATAGCCTGTGCGCTATAATACTGCAGACGGCCTTTGCGCTACAGTTTCTGTGTGTGCAGAATACCCAAGGGAGTACATCAAGTACACCATCAGAGGGTCAACCTGACAGCCTTTGATGACCAAAAACGGTTACAAATGCAAGCATGTAACCACAGCCTACTTCAGAACCTCAAGCGCACGAGTTTGCAGAACTTATGAAGTTTAAGATTCCTGTGAAGGTTGCACTCACTTGTTTGCGTTTTGGTTTGCCATAGAAGGTTCTAGTAGAGGGTTCACTTCACTCTTCGTGGAACAACATTTCCAAAATGAATCTGAATATTGGTTTTGAAGAAAAACAAAACAGCTCTGTGAAAAAACCCCCAAAACAAACCCATAAATAAATGAATAAAATACAAAAAAAACAGCCTAAAATATTAAATAGATTAATTAAATTCAATAAAAATGTAGCATACTAAACATCAAAAGGAACAGTGATCTTTATCTTCTAACCCTACCGGAAATGCTGGCTACATTTTTAACAGCCACTGAAGCTGCATGTGTCATCCTTCTTTTGTTTTTCTTCACTGTTATATCTGCAGCTATTTCTCACATTTGGTCTCTCTTCCTTGCCATTTTTGCCACCCTGCTGTTCTCAGAATTCATTTCCTCACGTGCAAATTTCATGCAGCTGTGAGTTCCAGTATGCTTCAAAACATAGGAGCAGCTGTATTGTTAGTGTCTTCTGACGTCCACCACTTCAGTATCTAATATCAGCGTGGGGTTAGCGTGGGAGGATCTTACTTAAATTGAGCAAAGATTTTTTTTTTTTTAAGAGAAAGGAGGACTGGGTGTATAAGTTGAGCTCTTCTTATTTGGATGCTTAGAAAGTCCTTTCTTTTTCATGAACACTAAAAATAAAGATATACTGTATATATAATTAAAACATGGCAATATTTCAACACTTATGTGTTATTTACAAAAGTTACAATAGATTAGCGAGTGCCAGTAGATTATCTTGCTGTGTCTAAAAATCCACTGCTTCTACTGGTGAGATTAAAAGTGTACTGTATATGTAGCAGCCTAGCTTCCCCCTGTTTCCAGTCATTTCATGCTAAGTTTATGCTAATTGGCTCTTGGGGGGAAAGTTCCAAACCCATATGATACTGGTATCAATTTTGTCATCTATGGCTCATGCAAAACTTATACCAAGGGATACAAAACAACCATAGATATACAGAAAATGACGATAAAGCTAGAATACAAAACTTAGCAAAGAAGAAAATAATGTGTATTTCATCAAGTAAATAAGCTGACATTAATACAGTGCACATTTAGCATTGCTGTTCAATAAATTTTCAGTACACAGTTCTTATTTGACAGGGTAACATAATAGAGCATGGCTGCTTAAAGACAGATATTTCCCCAATAAATGCAAAAGTCTTAATTTCTTTATGAAAATGAGAAATAGAAGCAAACTGAAACTTTCAAACATCCATGGAAATGCAGTATATAAGGAGAAAAAAAGTTGTACAATTCTACTGAGCTTGAAAGTCGAAGTCAGTATTTTAATTGACCACCTTTATGCTTCAACACAGCTTGAATTCTCTTAAGCAAGCCTTCTCGTAATTACTTTAACCTCCTACGACCCGAACTCTTCCACAGCATGCATTTTTAATTTCTCTTTGATATTTGGGCATATTGGGGCCCGATGAATGTAAAAACAAAGAATTACCAGTTTGTTTGTTTTTTACCTTATTTTTATTTTTAAGAAAAATAAGAGCCACATATGAGGATATTCGTTTAAAAGTATTTTGGTCTAAATAACCCAAAATGTGATGTCCACATATGTGGATGCCAGGGAGGTTAAGTAGTCTTTAGGAATGGTTCTCCAGCCTTCTTGAAGGACATTCCAAAGCTCTTTGGGTTTTGGCTGGCTTTGGTTCCATTTTCTGTCAAGATTATCCTGCACTGCTTTAATAATATTAGGACTGCGCTCTTGATCAATCCAAGACTAATACTAATACTAATGGTATTCCAGCTATCAAGGTATACGTTGAATGCAATAGCAGTGTGTCTGAGATCATTATTCAGCTGAAAAACAAAACTGTTGCCAGTCAGATGCTTCCAAGATAGTATTGCATAGTGGATCAAGATCTGATGGTATTTTTCTGCATTTATAATTTCATAAATTGTGACAAGATCCCCAACACACTGGGTGAAATGTAGTCCCAAAATATGTCAGAGCCACCATCAAGTTTTATAGATGCCCGTAGATACTCACTCTTCCACCTCCACGCATACCGACGATATCTACAGAGTCAGTGTTGCCATTAATTTCCAGTTTCCAGTTCTTGTGTAATTTTATTATATCTCAGCCTGTTTTCCAGTTTCTAAGTGACAGCCACCCTTCCACTGAAAGCATTTCTAATGAGGCTTCAGCGAACAGTAGATGGATCAACTGAAAGGCCAGATGCATCTCTCAGGTCTTGTGTCAGGTCTTTGCTGGAGTTTTTCCTATTTCGTAAGGACATGACTTTCAGATACCATTCATCTGCAATCGATAGTTTTGAAGGCCTGCCACTTCTTCTTTTGTCCTCTGCTTGTTCCGTTTCCTCAAATTGTTCACGACACACTGCAAACCATGCTAACGTATGCGAGAATATCTGACAGATATAAGTTTTTGGCTGATAAAAATCACCTTGCTGGTGAAAAAAAAATAGATTTTTTTTTTTTTTTTTTACATCATCCGTTTCGTTTCCTGTTCCTATGTGACCATGATGAGTAAGATATTATTAACCCTGATTCTTGGGCCAGTCTGGGGAAGCAGAAAGGCAACACTGAAAACAGAAACCCCCTTTTCAGGTAAATAAGAAGACTAAAGCCTTCAAAACCACTATTAAAGGAAACTTTGGAGGAAGTTGATGTCTTGCGTCATAGGGACTGGAATCAAAATTAAGATTAGGGAAAATGAGTTTTCCCCAAAACTGGATTTCTCATTGCTGATTCTATCATATTGAACTGGTGCATAAAAATGTAACATGTTTTTATTTTTTGTTCAAACCACAGAAAATAAGCTGAAACGTTCACATATCCTATACATAAGTTACACATTGCTAAAAAGCAATCAAAGAAAAGATTTATAACATAGCAAAGTTGAATATCTGAAAAATATGTTCCGTTATACACTCAGCACTTGGTTGTGGGCTCCTCTGCTGCAGAGTTTTTACTGGTCATGGTCAGCAAAACATTAGTAGTAGCTTTGGTACCGTGGGCACGTGCTGAGTCCTGTCAGAAAAGTAAAACTGGTTACTCCATACAGCTTTTCAGCAGCACAAAGTGCTCTCAAATCTTCTGGTAGATGGCTGCATTACATTTGGACTTGGTAAAACACAGTGGACCAAGCATCAGCAACACCAGCAGATGGATGGTTCCTCAGATTATCACAGACTGTGGAAACTTTAAACTTCAAACACCTTGAATCTGTGCTTTTCCACTCTTCCTCCAGAATCTAAGTTATCCCAAAATGCAAAGTTTACTTTGACCTAAGTAGAAGACTTTGGACTACTGTGAACTTTTTAAGATGCACTGGTGTAGTTTCTTCAAAGTCCTTTATTTCCTCTCTGCAGATGAGTGACCGAGACAGCAGCATCTCTGCCTCTCAAACAGAGGGAGAATTCGAGGGAGAGATGGATGAAGAGCTTGAGGGAGACACGGAGATGGAAGAAGAGAAAAGTGAGAATGGGAGAGGCAGTCCGGCCCCCAGTCTCTCCAACATCTCCTCCACTCTGCGCGCCGTTATACGCATCAAACAGAAGTACCAAGCGATGAAGAAACGGCGTCAAGAGATGGCCCTGGGGGGCCAGTGTCCCCTCACAGGCGCCCCAGGACGAACCAGCCCCAAAATCTTCACCTTTGATGGAATCACCCCCACTGCTTTCTCCTCTCCATCATCCAGCATCCCACAGAGGAAGAAGAGGAGGAAGAAGAAACGGGTGTTGTTTCCTGAAGGAGGGAGACGAAGGGCTGCACCAAAGCAGGACCGCAGCCGAGCCAAATATTGCCTGTATCTGCTCTTTGCCATCGTCTTTCTCCAGGTAAATAAATAACAACACATTTTCCAACAAGTGGTGGAATGCTTCTCTAATGTGCTCCTCTGACCTTTTTCTGGTGCCATTAAGAATTTGATTTGCAAAAACATTGAATGAATGAATGAATAGCTTCCATTATTATGACTCATCTCTTGCTAGTCTGCTTCTTTTGTCGCCAGCTACAGTATAAATAGGGAGGGCGGGAAAATTGTGCTATCTTCAGCTCATGTGTATGATTAAATATAGACCTTCTACTTGCTCAGTCATGTCCTAATTCATTCAGACGAGAAATACAACATGCCATGAATCAGTCTAAGGTGTGTTCATCTTTGAGGAACCTTGAGGCACTGTTCAGCAGAGATTGGTTAATCCAGCCGTCACCGAGCTGCTTTATTGTCATGTGTATCTTGCAGCTTTGTTTATGGTTTATTTTGCCATTTCAAATGTAAATATTTAAAACTGGTCCAAGTGTATTTCCTGTTCTAGTTTGCCAAAGTGAGAAGCTGGGCGGAAATCACTCTCAGCTGTTTGCCGTATAACTCCAAGGAGATAATCTGTATATCAGTATATTTATATATTTCTAAAGATATACAGTCATGCCAAAAAGAACATTTTCACAAAACGCCATATAGTCCTGTGAATGTAGTATTTATACAGTAGTATGCTTGCTGAAATTTGGATACTCTATAAAAAACACATATTTGGTGGAGTGAAATTGAGGTTTAAAAACTGTAAGAAATATGGTCCCTTCGAGGACATAGCCACACACCTCACTGTCTAATCACCCTGCATATTTAATACTTAGTGCAGAAATATTATTATTAACAGTTTAATTTCAAAATTAAATAATTCTGTATACTATTAATTAAATTGGATTCATGACGTTAGCAGTAGACTGGCTGCTACGCAGAACTTTTCTGCTTAAACACTCAAAGTAGAACAACTGTCATTCAAACATGCATTCCTATCTAAAGATTCACACTGATGAATACATCAGGAGCAACTTTGGATTCAGTATCCTTGGGCAAGATAATCAATCTAGAACAACTATAGTCTTCTGTTAAGCAGATGATGTGCTTTGCCTCCTGAGCAACAGGCACCCCTACTTTCACTTCGTAACACTTCATAACGCATGCGTCTGTAAACGTGTCAGTTATTTCTTCCCCAACACAGCAGTGAGATTGTGTTTTACCTTGGGCAAAATTTGAATTGCTAATATATGAATTGATCTAGTACAATAAACTGTGTAACACACCAGGAAATTGGGGGTTTTCTTTTGTTTTCAATAAGAAGATGTTTTTTTTAAACTGTATATTCTGACATATCTGGAAGTTTAATGATTGAAATTCAACAAGTTTATTAGCATTATATTCTACATTTATTTAAGTACACAATTGTTCTTCTTTTTAAAACCTTCTCAAGTTTCACTTTATATGTAATACTGTCTATATAAAGGTTCAAGGACTGCAGATGAGTCTAAAATAATTCTTTGTTTTCAGTGTTCTTGGTCCAAGGAGTGCATCCATTTTTAATGAATCCTCGAAATGCCCCTGCACTCGGCTATATTCTTAATAGCTGTGGTTTGTTTCTTTCAGGTCTACAACGCCATAGAGAACCTGGATGACCACGTTCTTAGATATGACCTGGAGGGATTAGAGAAGACACTGAGGAGGGAAGTGTTTGGGCAGCAGGGAGCTGTGGAGAGCCTGCTGTCCCACCTGAAGGACTACCTGTCTACCTACGTCCACAACAAGCCTCTGGTGGTATCCCTGCACGGCCCGACCGGGGTAGGTAAGAGCCACCTGGGACGCCTACTGGCCGGACATTTCCGCTCCGTGGTGGGTGACACGCTTGTGCTGCAGTACTATGTGCTCCACCACTGCCCCCAGGAGGCGAACGCCCTGCAGTGTGCCAGTGACCTCTCAGCTCAAATCTCGGAGATGGTGGAACGAGCCGAGGAGGAGGAGAAAATTCCGCTCTTCATCTTCGACGAGGCAGAGCACATGCACCACGAGATCCTAGACACGCTGTTGCAGCTCGTGTCCTCCAACCAGTCCAATGAATACCTGAATGCTATTTACCTGTTTCTAAGCAACCTGGGTCATGCACACATCACCAAACATATGCTGCACAACTCTTCGAGTATTTCCATGGCGATGACAGCATCAGGTCGTCATAGTAATCTGGTAAAAGAGCTGACTCCTATTTTACGTAGCATGCTGGAAGAGCTTCACCCGCTTTGGACAGAGGCTGATATCTTACCTCTCAGTCTTTTGGAGAAAGGTCACGTAATGGAGTGCTTCCTGGACGAAATTACTCGAGAGGGATTCTACCCGGATCATGCTAACATAGAGCGGCTTGCGGGGGAGATTGAATACTACCCTGCAGTAGGGGGGCACGAATATTCCCAGACAGGCTGCAAGCAAGTGGTGGCTAAAGTCAACCTGCTGTGACATGCTCTTGTTTGCATTCTTTTAAACATGGAGAAAAAGGATTGAATTTACAATTATGAAACTTGAATGACACGATTCAAAGCCAACGCTTTTAAGAGTGGTTTTGTAAGAATGTAATAAAAAAAATTCACACACAAAAAGGTGGGGATATTAAACTTTGTTGGGGGAAACAAGGAATAAATTTGGTGAACACTAAAAATGCGGCAGGTAGTCCCTGAAGGGTGGGTTCACCCAGTGTACATAAATAAAAGATGATTTAAGTTCCCTGTTGTTGTATCTCCCAAATACCTCTGAATAGCTGCATAGAAACAGGAGAACACCTAGACATCAGTACAGTGCTGGTTCACAGAGGATATTTCAGTAACTCCAGGGACAGTTCACCTAGCACTACCAGTAAGTAAAATGTAACTGTCTAATTAAACCAATCCAAACACTTAATGAACTGGCACAAAGGTATGTTCAGACATTCAGACACTGCTAAGAGTTTCTGGTTTGACCACCTTGACATTTGGAGCAGACACAAAAGAATCTGGGAGGATAAATCCCACTGACTGTTCTTCTGTATACATAAATCAGGCCTGGGCTGTGGTCGAAACCCTCAGTTATTGGACTGTGCTTTAAATCAGGCTCCAAATTCTCACCTCTAGCAGCACAATACGAATGCCCCCGGCCGTCCCTCTTAATCATGGCCCCAGTTCAGAGAGAAAACCCACAAAACAGAACCGGAGTCCTATTCCATTATTCCTAGCTGTCCCTTGCCTACAGATTGAGTATCAGTCAGTGTCTGTTACACTCATGGTGAATTTTTTTAATTGATTTTTAAATGTGGGGCATTATAAAAGCAGCTCTATCTAGTCATGAATGCTAATAAAGAAAAACAAGTGAAGGATATACACCTTACTAATGGTCTTTTGTGGTATTGAGAAATCTCCTGGATAAGGTTAATAACATGCACTGGAGCTGTGTAAAATTAATATTCACTCATTTATGAAGGAGGAAGTTCATAATGCAAAAGTTACTAATACCTATTACAGGATGTTCACAGGATGTGTGACAGATAATGCAAGACAGCGCAAGAGCACATGGTAGCAAAGTGTCTTTGAAGGCAATCAATATATTTGAAGTCTGGTCTCTGGTAGGGTCATCCAAACAAAGACAGCACAGATGGGCATCACCATATATGTTAAATTGGACCCATTATATTTTTCCTTATTTTCTTTTATATATTAATATTTTATTTATTTTCATTATTTCATTATTTTTATTTTACTTATACTATATATAAATTCCCTATATATAATACACACCCAGTTACATTGGAGGATGATCATACTAAATGTATTTGCATAAAATGACATCAATGTAGTGCTCTAAATGCTCTTTCTGTTTTTTTCCTGCTCTTCTTGCTTCTGATGTTAATTAGAATTGGTATGGGAAGACAACTTTGAATGGGAAGGAGCTAAAAACCTCTTGTTCCAGACAGTGGAAGAATTGAGGGGCTCCACCAAAGCCCAGCACAAGTAAACCGTGAATCATGTAAAGGTACTAAATCAAAGTACAAGAACTTGCTAGTACCTGGGTGGAAATGACCATATTGTTTAAGGTATCTTTCAGTCCAATTGATATCAACTTTATGTGCAGAATTTACTTTAAACACCAACACTATTCTTCTTGATGCAAGTGCAACTTTAAAAGAATATTTTTATACTTTAAGAAATCTGTTTTCTTCTCAACAGACATGGCACGAAGGATAGCACATAACATTTGTTATGAAGCTAGTGGCACAAACTAGCTAGCTCAGTTTAGCAATAAGGTGGCTACAGATTAACAACTAGCTTAACAGCCCCATGTAAAGATAATTGCTTTAAATTATAAGGAACAATAAGCTATCACGTATAATTACATAAGATAGATTTTGTTATTAACATTCATGTCATGTGTGGTAATGGTAGTAAGGGTACATGTATTTTGGCCTGACAACTGTTACAAGCTTCTCTATTAGGGTATGTAATGGCAAAGAAAATGACTCCTACATTTAAGTTAGATCCAATCTTCACTTGTCATTTAGATCTTTAAAATCCCAAGATAGTAAAAGTCATGCTCAGCTCAGCTACAGCTACAGAAGCCTGGCCACCACTGCACTGTAAGAGCAATATAATACTAAATACTGAAGGCATTAATTGAGACAAAGAATTCAATTCATTAATAGGTGCTGTTTTCCCTTTTTTTTTATTATTAGAGTTCTCTTAGTTTACACTGGAAAAAATGAGGTACTGTGTCTATGTGACAAAGAAAAGAAAGTCTCATAATAATAATAATAATAATAATGACAACACAAGATGAAAAAGAAACATTCTGATGCAGGATTTCCAACCAAAGTAACAGGACAGACATCTGGGGACACAACACTCCTCAAGTGTTTCGACTGGAATTACTTGGAGGACAAGCACCTGTACTTTAATATACAGAGCTTAAGAGTGGAGATAGTTTTGAAGACACGATCACTGACAGCAACGAGTGAGGTCCCCGAGCAACATGAGGAAACAGCTGGCAGTCAAGTTAAGATAACTGGTGCCTCTGAGATACAGAAGCAAAATAGCCTCACTTTCATTGTAACCGTTGAGCTGAGACAGATAGATGAAAACAACACTGTAGAAATGTAAAAACACAAACAAACCCAAAGAGCTACCAGAAGATTCCATTATGTTGATTTCACCTACCAAAAACAGAAGTCACAAAGGGCTAAAAAAGCATTTTGAGACATGTGCAAGAATGGTAAATGGTAAATGGCCTGTATTTATATAGCGCTTTACTAGTCCCTAAGGACCCCAAAGCGCTTTACATATCCAGTCATCCACCCATTCACACACACATTCGCACACTGGTGATGGCATAGAATAGATCTAACATCGTTCATGTCGTCATTCCAGAAATCGGTCTTTAACTTCATCCACCACTACTTCAATATTTAATGATATGTGTTGTATGAAAACAATGACATGGATTAAATAGTCCTTGGATTGCAGCAAAAAAAGCCAAAACCGTTCAAATGGATACAAAAATAAAGCGACGACACTCTGCACCTCTTTTAACCAAGCAAATAAGCTTTAAGCTCTGCATCCAACCCTTCATTTGACATGCTTTTAGGAATGCAGTAATAACTCAGTACTGAAGCTTTAAATGAGCTACACATGTACACCAACAACTACTTCATTCAAGACCTACAGGGAAATAAATAGTTATTTCAAACGCCATAAAAACAATTCTCCACAACTATGCACCGCCAGTTTCAGGATCAGCCACACAACTTTTTAAGCATAATGCTAAGACTTGACTATTACTGTCAGAAATGCTCATCAGAAGTATGAACAAGGGAGGGGTGTGTGAGGGAGAGTCCAGAGACAAGAGAAGGAGACAAGTTATCGTGATAGGAGGGTGCCGAAAACTAAGTGCTGAAGTGGGCTTCTTCTTCTTTATTGGTAGGTTTCGTGTTTACGCTTCAACCTCGAAGCCCATGCCGACTTTGTGTCCGCCGGCGTTGAAGTTCTTGCCATCAATGAGAGCTGAGAGGGTGACCTTAACACCTGCACAGACACAGTCATAACGTTGTAGATACACTTTCAATTTTAGACCTGTTCAAAAAAGTTGACATGGGGGCACGAGTATCAGTGCGTCTATCCTATCCTAACTATCCTGTATAAGTGTGTGGTGTAAATTTCAAAGCACATGGTTTGCCCCTTCTTGCTTGATCAAGATCTTAACTCCTGAATTTCTTAGTCAAGGTTGCCCTCACAAGCTTCAAATTTTCGATCGACTGAAACGGGTTAAAATAAAAACATTTTGTACAACCAAACAAGTTGTTATGCTGTGTAACATGTAAATAAAACAAAGTGCAATGACTTGCAAACATCATAAACTCATATTTTATTCACACTAGAACATTAAAAAAACACAAACATTTCAAATGTTTACATTTTACTATTTCATGAAAACTATTAGCTTTTAATTTAGTGGCAGCCATACATTTCAAAATAGCTGGGACAAGAGCAAAAGGTCAATAACATGAGTATGGGGGTATGGGTATAAAGAGAGCATTTCAGAGAGCTAGAGTTTCTAAGAAGTAAAGACAGGGAGATATTTGAGTCTGCGGGGGGAAAAAAAAGTTGATATTCAGAATATTTTTAGAATAATGTACTTTAATTTTACGTTAAGATGTAATATATAATTGTGAAGACTTTGAATATCTCAGGATCTAAAATGCACCATTAACAGGGAAAGTTCTATGGTTTTAGTAAACAGACAAGATCTTTTACAGGGAAGAGCGTTCATGGTTCAGACAGTGCTAAACTCCATACTGTATATGTTACAGGAGCATGGCTTCATATTCGAAGATTCTAGCTGCTTAACTGGCCTGTCTGCAGTCTAGATCTTAAACCATAGGTGTCAAACTCTGGCCCGCGGTCCAAATTTGGCCCGCAGCCTAATTACATTTGGCCCGCGAAGCCATACCAAATTACTATTAGAGCTGGCCTACTGGTATTATACAGCTAATATATATATTGTTTAGTATTAAGCTTTGCTTGTTCCATATTCAGTTTTTCAGCAAAACTTATTTGAGTCCATAAGAAAAGATTCATTCTTATATCTGGAGGAAGATTTTTTTTTCAATAAATATTAATGTTAGCCCGTGACTTTGTTCCAGTTTTGAATTTTGGCCCACTGTGTATTTGAGTTTGACACCCCTGCCTTAAACCAACTAAAAATATTTGGTGCATCACAATCTGTTGTTTGCTTAGAATCATATATGCAACAAGAATATGAAAACATTCCCCTCGCAAATGTCCAGCAACTGGTTTCCTCATTATCTAGACATTAACGTACTACTGTGTTACTGCCATCAAATTCATTATGACCTATTTTTTTTCTTAGAATTTTTATACCAAACTTAGTTTAAACAAGTGATTTTTTTTACTTTCTATTCTGAATAAAAATTCAGTTTGTGAGATTTGCAAGTCATGGATTTACATATTATATACCATTGTATTGTATGGTCTTTACCTTACAATATAAAGCGCCTTGAGGCAACTGCTGTTGTAAATGGTGCGACATAAATAAAATTGAATTTAATTGAAAAATATCAGTTTTTTTGGAAATGGGGTTGTATTTTTAAACAACCAAGATCTTCCTGTGTAGGTTGGGAAAGTATTTTGCTGGGTGCCAATGGCACAGTTGAGGAAGGTAACTCACCTGGTCGAAGGCTCTGGGTGTAGCCTATTCCGATCAGACTGGCATTGTTCACTTTGGCCTGTAGGGGAAACATGACAAGGCGTCAGACACAACAGCACAACGGTTTGTGAGAATATGCTTCAGCAACAGTGCATGTGAATGTGAAGAGTCAGTCCTCACAGACAGAGAGGCATCTTTGTCCAGCTTGTATTTGGCAGCAATGCCGAAACGAGTGTTGTTGCTGCCAGCTGTCCAGGCCAGAGTAACCGCTGTCTCCAACTCGTCATTTACCTTTTGGTAGATGGAGCCGCCAAACTCAGTCCCGTCATTACTGAGAGAGAACAGACATTTATTTACTTAAGCTAACAGAAGTCTATCCTGCAGACCAGTCTCCAAATTATAAATTCATCCCTCTTTGTATTCCACTTATGACAACCCATAATGAAATTAGTAACTGATGCCCAAAAATGTGTTTTAGGTCACTGGGACAATTTGCCACTAAATTCAAATCAGTTCCAAGTGAACATTTCCATGAGAAAAGTCTGGTTCGAGATGGGAGGAGACACAAATCCTGTGGGGTAGTTGCTCTTGGGGTAGAAGGGTAGAGGGGTAGAAGCAAATCAAGTCCAATATGAGGATATTCTGTCTGTGGGTTTGAACAACCTTTAAAAAAAATGCTTCCACCCAGCAGGTTTTTGTGCAGAGCTTTGACTACAGCAACAGAAGTTAGATATGTGATGCCCATGATTTGAAAAGCAACAAAGCATCTTCACAAACTGTTTATGTACGTATGTAAAATCACTCACACATTGGTGTGAAGCTGGAAGTCCCCGGCCCTGTATCCGAGTGCAAAGTTGTTCTGAGCCAGTTTGGATTTGGCCGTATCAAAGGCCATCTGATAGCCTGCCAGCCAGCCTTCATAGCCCAACACAGCAGAAGCGTGGATGATGGGACCCTCAAAGTCAACATCGCAGCCAATATTCATATAGTCACGCTTGTAGCCAGTCTTGAGCTTGCCACTCTTCTTGCTGAAAAGTTGGTTAATCACAGTGATGAGCCATTAAAATACCAAAACCAATGACAACAATAAATTCCAACTTATCTGGAAACAATATGATGTATTGAATTCCCAGATCACACAGCTCCATGCTGTTAAAAAACTATTTAAACCACATGAATGAGCCACACTTTTGCATAAGCTGACATGTTCTGTTATTACTGTAAACACAACTCTAATTAGATTCTGACACAGACAGAGTAGGAAAGTCAAAAATATATTAGTAGAGAGGGAATGCTTTGATAAGGGCATGCCAAGAGAAACAGAGTGGCCAATAAGTTAAAGGAAATATAAGACACTGAGAAATCAGCTTATTCTTTGAGACTCTGTAGCGGTACATTACTATACATCAACGTGGATACAATAAGTAAGAATAACAACATTAATTATTAGAGGCATTGAAGTACACAGAAGAACTTTCAAATTTGAATATATTCGAGGTGTAGTTGTTAGATGTTACTAATAATTATAGGAACCTCTATGTGTGTCCATCTTTTGTCAGCACACAATAACATGTAAAGAGTGAGATCAGCTGGATGAAAACTTCTCTTATCTGTTGATCTATCAGATTTGGAAAATATTAGTAAACTAAGTGTACAGCTTTTACTATATCGGTAGTTAAAGGTTTAAAAAGGAGGACTGAATTTGAGGATACAAGAAGTTTAAAGCATGCAGCTAATTATTAACAAGGCAAGAGTGGAAAAAAGAGTCAGCACTCTGTTTATCCAGGATTGACCCAAAGTTAATACTGATTACATAACACAGTATAAGTCACACAAACCAATAAATGGAGTCTCACCCTGTGTTTGGTACAAAAGATGTATCCAAGCCAACTTTCAGTCCTTGAGCCAGCTATAGGTAAAGTAAAACTTGGAGTCAATAGTTTTTTTTAGGAACATTTAAACAATTAAATCAGTTTCTTAACCACAAACACACACCTGGTCCTCCACAGTGACTTCAGTACCCAGGGTGTTATCTGTGTTCCACTTCTGGTTGACGCTCAGGCCTAGCTCCTTCATCTTGTACTTGGTCTCCAGGCTCCCTGAGGCCTTCCCTGTATCTGTGTTACTGGAGCCAGATGTGTTGAACTCCTGGTGAAGGACCAATTAGCACAAAGCATGAGTGTGGAACGCAGGGTATTGTTGCGCAGATTGTTGAATTGTTGGATATCAAAATGGAAAAAGGAACTGAGACCAAATATAATTAGTCATGTCAAAAATACAGTGATAATCATCAGCATGTACTCTACATATTAAACAATACAGATACACTGACATAATAAGACAGTCTCACAGATGAATGCATGCAAGACACTAATGAGGCAGAAGACAAACAAAGTGAACACAAAAACAATGATAAACATGATGATTACAACAAAGTGATTATCTAAACTGCCACTGACAATAAGCACTAGAACACTTTTTCTAAACAAGAGTGCATGCTTAAAAACAAAGGAAAAAAGAGAACCTTGAAAAATATATGTAAGAATGCAATGTAATTCTCAGACAGTGGCTGTTGCCCTGACTTGCATTTATTAAAATAAGATTAGACTGCTTTTATGCATAGTGAAATGAGTAAGAACAGTGCCAAGTCATTAGAAAAACACAAATCCACCTCCCAATGTTAATAAGACATTTTTCTGTACTGGCATATCAACATCAGTCCTACCAGCAGAAATGTATTCTAGTTCCGATCACACCCATTCAAGTCAACAATGAAGATTCCACCAAATTCAACGCAGCATGGTTCAGAATTGGCTTTTAGCCTTGTGTCACTAAAATCACAATATTGTCAAAAATGTTACCGGATGCCAAGATGATTTTAGAGCCCTCTAAATGTTACCGGATGTGTATAGAATAGAGATATATATACAGCTACCACACATGAATGCTGTAGCAAATGTAAACAATATTAAATGGACTGGATCTTATACAACATGCCTCTTTAACCTATATTCATACAGGCACTTTTTTCTATACCTAAGTGCTTTCTGTGTAACATTAATCCAATTCTTTCATGTGATGGATGCGTCAAAAACCAACTTGGGATTCAGTACTTTGCCCAATGATACTTTGGCAGACTGGAGAAGGCAGGGATTGAACCACCAATAAAAAAAAAAGTACTTTATAACAGAAGGTAAGGTCAGCTAATTAATCCATATCCTGAGCCTGAATTTAGCTGGCACTTTTCAATGTATTTTATAAGCTAACCCTCTCAGCTAACGATCACAGATTTATACAGCACAGCCCAATTACAGCTAGCTAGCTAACGGTATCTAGCTTGCCAACATCATTGCCAGTAAAATAATATCTGAAAGGTAATACGAGTTAGATAGTGTTCCAAATTACTTAAGGTAGCATTGTACAGAAATCTGTAATCTGTTAAAAAGTAATGCAACATGTGGCATTGTTTTTGTTTTGTTTTTTATTTCAAATTTTATTTTCAAAGCAAATTATATTTGATTTAAATTACAATCAGGGCTTTTCTCTAAATAAATTCTTTATTACAAAGTACATTTAAAGTGGTGCCCTGCTGATGATTTTTGTATCGACAAGTCTTTCAGTGTGTGCTAACGATAACTAATTTCATTTTACATGTCAAAGCAGAAAAAAAACCTGAGGTAATGATCAGATAAGTCATCACCACACACTATGTATGCGTCGCAAAACAACATATGTATATGAATCAACAACATATCTCTGTGTGAAAATCTGTCAACGAACTGAGACAACGGCAGCACAGTTTCTGTGATTGTACTTCTGTGAGTCCAAAGAGATGGTCCTTTAGCAAATCTCAATTCAGACACAAATATAAGAAAAGTCAATGCAGCTGTATTAGAGACTGACTAATACATGCATCATGTTGTGACAAAGGCCTTCATAGCACATGATGTCCAATAGGGCTGTGCGATATGACCAAAATCTCATATCCCGATATAAGAATTCTATCGTCGATAACGATATAAATCACAAAAATGTAACATTTTCTGTAAATTCTGTGAATCTCGGGCAGCTCGACTTGCTTGAAGTGTTTCCAGCTGGGCGTCGTGTAGCTGGAGTTGTAACAGTGACCATCAAAATGATGAAAAAATATTGCCGTAAACAGTTTATTTTGCGACACCACGAAACAAACGATAGCGTAAAATGAAATGATAGATGTTTTTATATCATCATCCGATATATATCGTTATATCAAACAGCCCTAATGTCCAAGTTAAACTGTTCTAAAAGCTTAGTCACCATTACTGAAGCTACCAAACAAACACAGACGCTGCTTCCATCTTTAACACACTCAGGTGACATTTTATGGCATTTAAGAAAGATTGTGTGACTAAGAACCTCATCAATTACCTAGTAACTGACCAGGAACAGCCCTAGTCATTTCCCTGGGTAACTGCAAACTGATCAGTGTTAAGTCATTCGATTCATCCTATAATACAGAACACGACAATCAAAGTTACTGAGCTGTTTTGCTCTAGAGTAAAGGGGGCTGTTGACAGAATAATGAAACAATGCCATTCAGATTTTTTTTAAATAGCTATAAAAGTGTAGTGCAGCCCTGCCACCCAATGCATCTTTTTGCTTTCTTCCCGTTTTTAAATTCCTCCAAGTCTCTTCTTTTCCTTATTTTCTCTCATACATATCTTATTACAATGATGGCTGTTTGGGGTGGCTGTGACTCAGGAGGTAAAGGAAGATCGGTGCCTCGATTCCCCGCCAATTTATTCTCAATTTATTGGGAAATATACTTAACACCGAGTTGCCTCTGATGCATCCGCTGAAGTGGGAGTGTATGCGCAAATGTTAGACAAAGGGCTTGGATACAGAAAAAAGTGTGTGTGTGTGAGATTGTGTGAATGACGCTTGAGTAAAAAGACATTTACCACTGAACATGTTCAAAGTTTCAAATAATGAGGACTGGTTGTTTACAACTACCTTGACTGCTCTAAACAGTCGTTTTCAGAAGTTTTTTTTTTTAACTCTTGGCTAAGCATGATGTCAGCAGGGAAATATCCCTCACATGGTATTCTCAGGCACACAGCACTAGTGATGAGCACCGAAGCCCCACCCACCCACTGTTCAAACCTTTTCTGTTCAAAATGTAACCAATCAGTGGCTAAAAAAGAAGAGAAGCTAAAATGTCTCGTTTCCACCAGTGAAATAAAGACCAAGTAAAACATAAATACAGGACTATTTTGAGCAGTAAAGGTAGCACAAAAAATTTAAATATTGAGCCTGAAATTAATATAATAGCTTAATAATATTCTTCTCCATTTTCTGGCATTTTATCAATCATACAACATACTGTTTGGTCAGGTATAATAATGCAAAAATAATGTAAAGGAGTACAACCCAAAGTAAAGACAATCTCCATAAAGAAATGGAAATAGTATAAATGAGTGTGAAGAGAGAGAAAATCATTTTTTCATGCTTTATGAATATTATAAAGACAAAAAAACAAATTAACCACAATAACAACTGAAAAAATGACTTGTAATTGAACAAAGGTTTAGGTAAGTTAACAGAACAGAAATCCATGGAAACTTGTTCTGAGTTACACAGACAGACAGAGCAGTCAGCCCTGACACCGATCTTACCATCTACATTAGAGAGCGAGCAGTCCAGGGCAGCAGCGTGGAGACAGAGCAGGGGTTAGGAAAGGTGACCAGAGAGACAGACAAGCCACAAATGCACACCTGCAGGCCTGTCATGTTTCTCAAGAACAGAGAGCACATTAAGCCAAGCAGGTCCACATTCGTCCACCTGAGATGTTTTTACACATGAACTCAACAGACGTGTTCTAATGGAAATAACTCTGTTTGGTTAAGGTGAGGGTCACCTGAAGGAAGCAGCACAGACAGTATATGACATTCAGTCACTTGCTATGAATTCTCTAAACAATCACCTATCAAATTGCCACACAGAGATTTAATGTCCAGTCTGTCTGGACTTCTGCCTTCGTGCAGGCAGCACAATGTCTAAAGAGTTCAGAGGTATAGTTTATGTGTGAAAACAGCTTTAAATCCCTTTCAGCTCCGAGTCACAGCAGGAGTCCAGTTACTGTAATTAAATAAGGCATTGAGCATGAGAGGGTACCTGTGCAGCAGGATTTGGAGGTTAGAGATTAGCATGAAAAGGCAAAGGAAAGGTGAAGAATAAAGAAAGAACATGAAAAGAAAAAAGTGTTCTCACCACTCCGCTTTGTGATTTGGTCTTGAGGTCCAGCTTCACAACACCAAAGCCTGATTGATTACAAAATATGAGTTAATAGTTATTATGTGCAAGACAAATCAGAGACAGGAAGGTTTAAAAAGGCATAATTTAACATTTTTAGATAGATTTCCTCCACAAAGGTGGTTTATTAATTGTAAAGACTAAGCCACGTTGTGGTCAGACTAGCTGTAACATCATTTTAAAATGTTAAACGAGCAACAGACGAGCTTGTAAACCTTCCTTCACGGTTTCCTACACAGACTTTACTTGGACAGGCTGCCCAGGTATGCTGGCGGGCACCCAATTTATTTACTAAAAGACAAGTTGATTTCTTTTGTTTTTTAAAATTCAATCACTGCTTACCAGTTACATCTGCTCATTCTCAAGTGCTTCACCACATTCGAGGTGCTGCTCTGACAGTTCTCCATTTCATTCAGCTTCCTTTAGAGACTCTTGTCTGTTGTTAGATTTATACAATTTATATACTCCATGAATTCATACATAAATTATATATTTTTTGTACATACTGGTATCTCCTTCAAAAAACAAATATGTACCTTATATGTACAAAACTGTAATTTCAACGTTCAAAAAATGAGTATCTAATGTCTGAAATTATATCCAGACTTTTAGTTCTGTTCACATCAGTGTATTTATTAAATGTGTAGTGTGGATAAGAAGCACACAGAATAAGTTGTACTTTAGGAATTCCCCACAGTTAATAATTTACTCCTAAGCTTAAAACAGTGCTCACCATATCCCTTGCTGAATATATCTTTGGCGGCCTTGCCCAGGTCTGAGTATGCTGGAGGGACAGCCATTGTGCTGGAGAAGATAAAGGCAGATGTTTCTTTTGTCAAATTTGAAACTTCACAATATTCTACACAAGTGTTTAAAGGCTTAGCAGTAAAAACTCATCTTTAGAAACAGGGTATGACCATCCATGTTGTTCATCAATTGGTTATACTGCTCAGTTAAGTGCTCATACTGAATGAGCACTTAACAAAAGTTAAAGTCTCAGTGGTTTTTGTATATAGTCACAGGTTACTTCACTAGATATACATATTCAGCTGCTTTTTAAAAAAAATATCTAATCAGCCAATAACAAGGCCACTGCATTAAGGCATGGGTATAAAGATGGTCATGACCTGCTAAAGTTTAAACTGAGAACAGAGAATGTTTGCAGAGCATGTCTGAAACAGAGAAACTATCCAGTGAGCAGCAGTTCTCCATGAAAATGCCTTGATGCAAGAAGTCACAGCACAATGGTCAGACTGCTTAAAGCTGACAGGAATGCAACAGTAACTCAAATAACCACTCATCACAACTAAGGTATGCAGAAGAGCATCTGTGAATTCACAACATGTTGAACCATGAAGCACATGAGTTGCAGCAGCAGAAGACCGCCTGTCAGCCAAGAACTGGAAACAGGTTCCATCAAGATCACAAGCCATTCTCAAACTGGGTTCTTGAACATGATAATGATTTTCATTGTACTTCATTCTTCACTGTCTCTACAGTCACCAGAACCTTTTTGAAAGTTGCTGACGTTTGAGATTTTTTGCTGAAGTCCCCATTTTGTTAGGATGGACTCCCGTGTACCTACTGAATGCAATAACTGCCTGTACCTGATTAAACAGTCGGGTTACCTATTGACATCCAGCAGAAGGGAACAAGCTGTTCTTTGATAGACTCCTTTTAAGCAAACAACAGTATTCAGGCAGAAACTGGTGTACTTTGGTTAAGCAAGAAGAGCCACCAAGCAATGCACTGAGTCAGGAAGGTCCAAAAAACCTCAAGCAGAAAACTGTTTCAATGCCCAATCCATTAGGTTCAACTCTATGCTGTTCTGTGTTTACTACACCACCAGTCAGCGGTTACGACCTGGAGAGCTACAGTGGTTTCACATGGGATTCACAAGCTGCACAAACACCTGGGTTAACTGCTCTGTTCTGTATCTCTTTTTCCTCGTGATCTCAAGAGCTTTGACAGACAATATAAGAATGAACCATAACCTGTACATGAACATCTACAGCGCAATACAGGACCAAATAACAAAGCTAAGCTGTGTTTTACACAGTGTCAACCTAACAGAAGCTACGCCAATGTTAAAACCACAACTAACATGTCCACTTGGATTCAAACCAGTTTCCACGAAACATAAGAATTTAAACAGTTGCCACAGTGAACATGAATCAAGTTCTGCTGCATTTTGGTTGTTGTGAGATGCATGCCATTGATGATGATGACTTTTACAAGGTGTTAAAGTGAGTAAACCTTTGATAATTAGTATGCAGGGTGCAAACAGCAAAGTGGCAGCAGTTTGTAGGTAATTCCCTCTAGCTACTGTACGCCAAGAGCTCTTTCTTGCGTATTTGTAATGGTCTTCTACTAAAGCATATACTGTGGTAAAGCGAGTTGACTTTAGTTCTGACAGCAGTACTGTAATTATCAGGCTCTGGCTCTCTCTTACTCTCATTATATTTGATGAAACATCTGCTGTTATTACTGCACTTATGGTAACCTACCCTACCTACCTACCTACCTACTATGTTGTTATTATATTATATTATATTATATTATATTATATTATATTATATTATATTATATTATAGGAAACCACTGCACACACGTTTGGGTGTGTGTGTGTGTGACAAGATATGCACTCACAGTAAGAGCAAGGAAATGAGAAACTAGCGGTACTGTACTGATGACTGATGTAACTCTAAATAGACTCACACGGAGCTCTAAACGAGACATGTGCAAAATAATTTGGTAAATAAGATAAAGCCACATTTCCATATATTTGTACACGCGCGCTAACTCATGAACCGGCTACGATTGCTGCATGAAGAACAAAAAACTCAATGTGGGATAGCATACAAAAGGGGGGCTCCGTGTTTCTTTCTCTACTGAATATACTGCAGTTATAATCGGACTATTACCTTATGTGTACAAGCAGCTGGTATAGATAAGTTCCCAAGTGACCAATGCTAAACAACAGCTCGTTCTGCTCATCGCAAACGTTCAGTGCTGCATCTCTTAGTTGGGACAAAGGATAGCAGATGGCCGGGAGGAAGGCGTATAGGGGGTTTGACAGTCAGTTAGCTGGTTGCTGTCTAAGTTGCACTGACACACTAACAAGCAAAAAATATGATAGTTGCGAGCATATTAGTGACACCCTACTCCTTTCCCAAGCACACACACGCACGCACACTTTTATATCCAGCTAAACAGAAACCCCACTGGTACGGCTGCTAAATCCGTGCCTAGCTTGACTGTTCTGTGTCGCTGCAATGGAGCTCTAGAAACCAATGAACCAAAGGATTTAACTGTGCACTGCAAAGCTAAACATCATTACATAACAGATACCGTTAGCTATACCGTTACAACATGCTAGCTGGACATCTAACCTTGGAGATAAACGCACAATTCTCAAAGAAGCAACAGCACATATAAATAACTACGCAGGGGTTATAAAGATCAGCGATGTGTTTAACATTTATCAGCACTGTTACCGATGCAGCAAAGGTATTTGCAAAAGGAGTCTGCACAGCCCGGAGCGTCCCTGGCGTGATGCGGTGGAGTGAATTGACAGCTAACCTAGCTTGGAAATGCTTATAACGGGGACAGGGCACAATGAAGGAGATCTATCATGGCGCATGCGCGCTATCGACTAGAAGCGAACAAAGAGGTATTATAAGAGCAAGAGATATATCTGAGACACTGTTAATGTGAGGCAGTAAACGTTTATTAGAACACAGAGGCGGACAACAACGTGCCTTATTCGTGGACGCTTAGTCTTTGGACATTAATGCAGCTTTCAGACTGTCAGTCACATTTACTGTATCTTACTGTAGATAGATACACTGTGTGTCCAGGAGACGTGGCAGAAAGGAAGCAAGTTCTTCCCTTCCACCTGGGAAGAGAAATGGAGCAGAGGTAGTTTTGAAGGAAGAGAAGGCATGAGGCATGAGTTTGAAGCTGGAAATCAAAGGGGTGATGTAAAATGTTGTCAATCCATATATCCCAGAGGTTGGAAGACAAAGAAGAGAAAGAGGAATTTAGTAAGTTAGACGAAATGGTAGAGAGTATCCCAAGGATAGATAGGTTGGTGAACAGACTTGGATGGAATGGAAATGTATGTGAACGGAAGACATGTGATGAGGATGGGTTGGGTAGGGGTGGTGTTAAAGAGAGAAATGCAGGACAGATGGTAGTGGATTTTGGAAAAAGGATGAAAATAGCTGTGGTGAACACAAAGTTAAAAAATAGGAGGGAATATAGGGTGAGGTATAAGAGTGGAGGAATGACTGATCATTTCTTCCTGACTGGCAGCTCCATCTTCAACATCCTGTTGCTAAGTATGGAAGACAATGAATGTGGAAACATCAGTCGTCATACAGTTTTTGTGCTTTTGGACATATATTCTGGTCATTTACTTTTATGTGCTGTTATCTGAAATAAAACTGAATTAGTCTGATATATCAGCTTGTAAAGAGATTGTGAGGAAAGAACCACTGTGAGTTTTGGTGTTGAAGAAATGCCAGTTGAAATTGAACTCATGTAATACCACTTTTTAATGGATTTTAAATGCTATTTCTATAGAACCCTTGTGCTTAAACTGAGCACTCAAAGCACATTTTCCTATAAGCCTCAGTCACCCAAGCAGACATCAGACATTCATTCAAGGATTTTTCTCTATACCTAAGCACTTTGTCTAATCTTCATGCACATTCCGATAGATGGCAACTTGGGATTTAGTGGTTTCCTTAAGGACACTTCGACATATAGACTGGAGTAGCCGGGGAACTGATCCATCAACCTTCAGTTTGATAGATGACCCATTCTACTGGTATAGTGAGTCAATGCAACTTTTATTTAAACACTCAAAAGAACATTTGTCTATTTCTGGGACCAGCACTCCAATACAGGAAGTCTGGATCCGCTCTCTAACTAATCCTAATCTCTGATCCTATGAGTATTACCCAGTTGGCAATACAGAGCTTAAATGGGGCAGATGGTTGAGGGGACTCGCCCAGTTCTAATTGCCTCAAAAGTCATCCATGTGTCTACCCTGCCTCCACAGATAAAAACCAGACTCTGAGTAGTTTTACATGCCCGGTCAGTATCTTACCAGCCACACCAATTCCGACAACTGCCCTGTAGATTAGTGCACTTGGTAACAAACTGTGTTAAATATAACAGGTTGGAAAACTAAGCCCCAAGGGTCAGTTACTTTTAAAGGGCTGGAGTAACCTGTACGAGTTATTTATACTAATGCAGATTAATACTCAAGTTTTTACCTTTACTGTTTCACAAAGGGTTAAAAAGGGAATGTCCACTCCTTAGATTTTTTTTTATTAGAACAATTTAGCAAGAACAAAGCAAAGGGGGAATCAAATCATCTGAATTACACTTATCTAATTAACCTACTCTGAGCTAATGCTAACTTTTGTCTGATCTTTGTGAGGAGAAAAGTTGGAGAGAACAGGCACATCCAGATCTGAAGTTGTGCTTATCTCTGTGCTCTGTGAAGTCCTCTTGATTCTATAATATAACACGGCAAAAATGAGCAGAGGAAAAGGCAAAAAATACAAGACCGATTTGCAGGTTAATAGTTTGGGCAGCTGTTAAATCCTCTGGCATCTCTGCAGCACTTTTCGGCCGTGAACATCTTACAAAGGGCAGAAATCTTTATCTCATCTGCACAAGATTTTTATACCCAGTCATCCCTTCTCTTTCTGGACATTACATTTTCTGAGATGACATCTGGCCTCACCCACTCTGACATCCATAGACTGTTGTTGACTACTAATCACCCGGTGTCCAGTCACACCTTATCATCCTCTCTCTGACTTTTCCACATGCATGATTTAAAGCAAAGTTTAAACTTTAAAATCACTTAATTACATTTTCTTCTTTGCTGTGTTATTCTTTGTGTTAAAATTCTATTACATATGAACATTCAATCAAATATAAATACAATTCAGTTCATGTTTCATTCAGTTTATGCAATTTTATTTCAATTAGCTTATTCTCATATGTACATCCATTTTAGTAAATCCCTTTTTAATTCAAATACAAAGGAATACTTTCTCTCACTTCAAACTCAGTGTTTATTGATCACACTATACGCAGTACAATTTCTTTTATCAAATCAGTCATGTTAAAATCAGATATTCTTTTAGGTCCGTGGCTCTTCAGCTTTGCTCCCTCCCTCCCTCCCTCACCCACTCACTCCAAAGTCAGACTCTCAGTGTGACAGAGGCCTGTCATTAGAACCATTATTTTCCAAGGTCCAAACTGGATCATGTCTACATAATCCAGACATTAGAACAGTTTTAATTACTCAAACTGCATTTCTCATGCAGCACATTAATCAGACTTATGCTTTTATTATATCTTTGATTAAGAATAAGGATGATTTACTATATTTTTCAAAAGCACATATAGAAAAAAGTCTGTTGCAGCACTCTGCATCACTTTTAACATATAAGGCTGGATGTTAAAGACCTTTTACCCTCAGATGTGATGAGAAGCTGGGAGGACTTCAATCTCTCTCTGTCCCCAAATGGCATCTGGGAAAAGGCAAAGCCTCTTGAAGAAATGGGTACAGGGTTAAACATTAATACAAATCAAAGTTTAACTTCATCCAACTTCAGTTAATGTGATGTTAGATAAGCTATAGGAAAATTAATGGTTAAGCTAGAGCTCTGTGCGGAGGTCTTGAGCCACTGCACAGTTCATCATATTTTACTTCCAAGAAGTTACCTTATTGTAATTTTTAAAGTGGTCCTGTGAAATAGTTTTCCATCATTTAGAGTGTTTCACTGGACACTGGCTGCTTGTCATTTTCAGTCAAGTCCTTGTACCTTACAGTTTTCAGACACATGTTTTGTTTGTTTGTTTGTTAAGTCACTTAGGACCATTAAAAAAAATCAACAGCAGATTTTCAAAGTAATCTGAAAAAGGAAAAAGATTTGCACAGGAACTAAGAGGTGAATCTAACCCTATAGTTTATCCATATGCTGTTACTGACTCCTCATCAGAAATGGTCTCAGTGGCAAGGTGACTGTCTTGACGAAGGGAAACAAGGAATAAGAAAGTTCAGTCCGTGTTAAGAATAAAGGTAGTCATATGAAATATTGACTTTAAAGTTCATTAGAACTTGTACAAACTCTGTTTTTGCAATATTGCAGAATAAAGTCCTGTACTGTACACTCACTCCAGCCCAGCAGGTGGCGGAAATAAGTCCAATTATACGAGGTTAATCGCCGCACAGAAGAATGAAAAGAAGAGAAACGGCGCCCTCTAAAGGCGTGTCAAGTATGTCGCTTAATGAGGCCGGTCCTCCTTAAATGTTTGTGACAAACATGGCGTTGTGCGGTATTGGGGGGGAAAGTGACACGTCCTGCCTCGCCCTGAATAAATACTGAGTCGATGCTGCCAACCTCTGTATGGCACGGAGGGAAGTTCCCTGTCAAAAGTACACAGACATGCACTCTTAGCCAGCATCAAAAGTCCAATGTTCAGCACCGCCTGCTCGCCTTTTTATTTTTCCGCCGCCGCTGCACTGAACACCCAGACTGCACCAGGACTCACAGCTGGCTGAGTTTGCGGCGATAGAGGAGGTCCGGATTGACTTCAAAAAGAAAGTTAGGCCGGGGTACCGCAGTCATGTCTGGACAAAACACATTTGTCAGCCCGTTTCACAGACCCCAGTGTTTGGCTGCTGCAGCTCCCGCGGGGAAAGCCAAACTTACCCATCCCGGCAAGGCCATTTTAGCAGGTAAGAAAGTTGATGTGGGACTGAGCAGAGGCCGCCCTGCAACTTGTTTCGAAGTTTCAACAGTGAGCCTTTAATTGCAGGTGGGATCAGAGCATAGCAGTAATCACTTCCTAGTGTCTCCGGCAAACATCTGCTGCTCAGCCTCTGTGTTATCACTATTATTATCTTCTTTTTATCTTTTCAGGCTAAAGTGTTTGCTTGTTTCTCTTTTTGTTGTAGAAAACCTGACATTTGGTAGATTTGGTCTGTTCAGCCAAAACATTTAGCAATTTGGTAAATGATAAACTTAAAATAAGTCTGCCTCTTTATGACCCAGGATCCAGGAAAGGGGGTTTTGCACACGTCTTACTATTTTGCTAAGTATTGTACTGTTGTACAAGTACAGCATGGTTATTTTGAGAAGTTAGCAGTCCACCCTTTATAGTCGACTGCAGCAGGCTTATCTGTGAACACCATAATCAGGAAATAGCGGGTAGATAAACATATCTGAAGTTTTCAAGTGTCTTAAAAAATAATGTCAGAGTTCAACATTAAACCAGGATTCAGTCTGAATAGGAGCAATAATTACAGCAAGCAAACTCTGATGTGGTAAGAACAAAATTTAAAGTATTTCTAAACAGAGGAATAATTATGGCCTCTAAGACATGAACAGAAGGTCCATGTGAGTCTGCTGTGGTACAAAACACTTACCTGCCTGCACAGAGCACCTGCTGTGACAAACCCTGCTCCTCAGCTTGGGGCCAGAGGAGCTGGTATGATCTGGGACTTGTAGACTCTAGCATTCAGACAGCTGAGTGAAATGAACTCTGGTGTCCTGCAGGTTTCACAGGTCAGTCAGTGACATACACATATTTTGCACAGCTCAGTGTGTACTAACTAGAGGACAGTCAACATTGCAACATTGTTAGCATGCACACACATGCTCCAGTTTTACTAAGCTTATTTTTTAACATTAGGATCTGGTTGTATGCCAGATATCAATTAAGCTTGGTCCTAGATTATAAATGTCAAGTGGAGCTTTCTGTTGAACTTTGCTTTTAGGTCCAGCTTTAATCCATTTTTGTGAAACTTGTTATAAAAGTTCAAAGATAAAGCCGCACATGTCCGTGTGATTTTTCTCTGTGTCACAGTCAGCAGTTCAGTGGGTGTTTTCTGCTGATGTGCTGGCTGTGTATGGTGTCCTCAAAGGCCCAGCTCTCCATGTTCCCTATAATGAGCCACAGTGACAAAGCACATTGCTCTCTCACCCTTTGCATGCATTCTCCAACATGCCAGCCACAAATATGGTTCTCCTGCTCTCTCTCATTGAATCCTGGCAGAAATGACCACTTGTTGACTAGAAGCACACTAGAAGAGGACTTTATATATCCAACTTTGTGTATAATGGGAATAATCTGGCTGTATCAAAAGTACTGTAAAACACACTATTAATAACCCAGTATATATGTGATGTACATAGATGGAGCTATTGTTGAGGCATTTTTGCCAAGAAATCCCATTTTTCTGTTGGCACTGAAATGCCATCTTCTACTTTTTTTTCTTTTCTTTTTTTTTTTTAAGGTGTAGTTTGACAGTTTGACTCACTGCATTTTTCCAAACATACAGCTTTCATATAGCTTTCATGTGAAAGTTGAAGTTCTTATTCACTTGGATAGTGTTTGGCAAGTGTGAATGGGAGATTATCCACACACCATGTGATGTCACAGACTATGTAAAAGATGTACATGGCCACTTTTATGTCACTCACTGGTTAACACAGCATTAAGATGAAGCAATTAGCCTGGCTTGTTCAAAGATATTAGAATTACTATATGTTGCTATTACCTCATAAGCTTACTGGCACAATATGCGCTCTTATCCTGCTAGTATGAAGTAAAAAAAAAAAAAAAAGTAAATGTAAATTAAATACTTATGTATGATTTTTTTTTTTTTTTTCTGAAAAAGTACAGGTCATGTTAATAACCTATTACACCAGTAATATCTTGGGTCTGTTTTACATTCCTTCCTACTGTAACATTTCCAAAAGATACTACTAAATATTGCTGTTCTAATGTTTCCTAAGGAACCACGTGCCTTCTCTTTATAGAAATAATTTTTGTTATTGTTGCAAGTAATTTTAAAAAGGAAAAAGTAGTTTCAGAATTCCTGCTCGGCATGTCTGTACATGCTGGACTTAATAAACCAGTTCTGTATCTTTTTCCAGCTTCAATATGGGGAACGAGCTGCAGGTACTACTCAGCTGCGTCTTGATGCAGACTGTTTTTTTTTGTTTTGTTTTGTTTTTTTCTATTTAGACAGAATTATGCCTGGGTGTGTCATAAATGGCACCGTTTATGTAATGGGCTGGTAGCCAAAATGCTACCATGTTTGATGTTGTTGTGAAGACAGTGGTTAGTCAGACTGTAATTAAGGGTTTTTTGTTTTTTTTCACAAACAGCCCCACTTGCTTGTTTGCGTGTGAGCTAGAATCATTGTTGTGTTGGATTTTTCTGCATGACATTTGTTTGAAAGAATGCATGTTACACAACAACACAGAACTGAACTTGTGAATGAATCCAAAAGTAAACATGAGTGAAAAAGCACATTAAAGCCTTTATTTTCATCCACTGAGTTCTTAGTTTTCCCCATTATTGCCAGATACTCTCAACACATTGAACCCAGAAGCACACTGGCCAAAACAACCTATATTTTGTCTAGCTTTTCCCCTTTTTACCCCACTTTTTACAGTTCTTAATGCTTTGACAGTTTACTACTTGTAATTTAAACTTGTCCCTTCTGGGTAGTCGAGGAACTGGTCCGCTGTCACCTTGCTGAATCCATCCTGCTGCACATTAATGTGTATGGAGAGTACACACCCCCTTGAGTTGGAGATGGGCCAAGGGGAGTATCTGTAGTCAGAAAACAACTGAAAAAACAGCTGAGCCAATCAGCTGCAGGATGCTTGTTAGCTGTTCAACTGCAGATCTGTAGCAACCAGGCTTTTAAGGTGGAGCTAGTCTGCACTTGTACATGAATAACTGTATAGCAGGCATCCGTGAAACAGTGCAGTGTAGATGTGGTGAATGCTAATGTGCACCTCACTAACATTTTTGAAAAGCAACTTTTCTTTTCACACTTGCTTTTATTCTACAAGCCGTATCAGATATCCTTCACACCTAACCACACCAAGGTTTTTATCTGTATTCCTTTGAGCTTCTTTTAAATGGTCACATGGCTTGCATCTTGTGTGTATTTTATTTAATTGATTTTGTTTTTTAAATTTATTGCATTTTATTTTGTGTGAGCTGCAAAAATAAATCTTTTAGTCTTTTAAATAGCTCGTTTTGACTCTTTTGAAACCAGCATTTTCTTTTTCCCCCCTCCTCCTTGCCCGTTCTTTAGGTGGGATTGCAGGAGGCATAGAGATCTGCATCACCTTCCCAACAGAATATGTTAAAACACAACTGCAGCTAGATGAAAAGGCCAATCCTCCTAAATACAAAGGCATTGGTGAGTCCTTGTTTAATGTTGTCTTTTTCTTTTTTTTATTTAGTTCTAGCACTTTTGATGATATCACAATTCAAAAAAAACAAAAAAAACACATTTAACATACCTTATAATTAGGGGTGCAACGATACACAAAATTCACGGTTCGGTTCGGTTTGATTCTTTGGTGTCACAGTTCGATATTTTTTCGATACAAAAAAAATGTTCATGCCTTTTTAATTTGTCATTTATTAAAATTATAAATATTAATTTTAACTCAAAAGTACAGTTTTTAAATTTAATGTTGCTGAAACAAAAAAGTAATAAAAAAATAAAAATATCTGATTGAGGAATCACTCATCTTTGGAAAAGAGAGTTTATTACAGAGAAATGGCTCTTTCCAAAATAAAAGCTATACTATACGCTTCTTCTGGGCTATATTCTCAGCAGCATATTAAACATATCAGGTCCCCATAAGGAGAATCATGTGCTAACGGCTGTCTAAATGACTCGGGTAAAGTTTGTAGCATGCGTGCTTGTTGTTTTTGTCTGCTTCCACTTGTCTTTGCACTAGGATGCTGTCGGAGTAAATGTGCAGTCATATTCGTTGTGTTCCCACTAGTGCTGTCAGCATTAATCTCGTTGAAATTATGTTAACGCCACAACACTGCAAATCTCCGTTAACGAGCTACCGCCGATCGCCCCGTGTGTGGGGCTAGACGGCCAACACGTTAACGAGCTAACTGCGCTAACACACTAGTTCCCACCCATGTAATTGAGCATTGCGTGGCACATCCAACATACTGTTTTACTTTAGTCCATGACGCGCTTACCTTCAGGGTCATACGTCACATGAAAACCAAAATAGTTCCAAACGCCAGATCTGAATGAGGGTGGGGGAGGTTCAATTTGCCATGTTGCAAGGAGAGCTTCTGTCTCGCTAGCTTCCCCTGCGCTCAGTGAATCTGCGTTCGACTACTCCGCCTAGGCTGCACTGTCGAGTGCAGATCCACTGAGCGCTCAACACAGACAGCATCGTCAGAAGAAAAGTTGATAAAATAAATTAAAAATTTTGTATTGTTCGATACATATGCGTACCGAACCGAAAGCACTGTATCGAACGGTTATCAATACGAGTGTCGTTGCACCCCTACTTATGATGCTTCAGTACTTTATATTACATAAAGTACAGTGCTGATGTAGAGTTAACATTTTTAATAGAACTTATGTGTTGTTATAGTGGCTTCAGAGCATCGGTAATATGGATATCAGTTTAGCAGAGTATCTGTAACTTCACAGAGATAAAACTGGTATCAGTCTTCTTATCTAACTACCATAGAAATCTTTCTGAATCTCTCAATCTATCTCAAAGATTAATTATTTAAACAGAAATCATAGATACTGTTGAAGGAAAAAATCTGAATGAATAATACTTTCAGGATTTCTTTACTTATTAAAATACAAAATTGCAATTCTCAGGTCAGGTAAGGACCTATGTATACGCAGGTATTGACGTTAGGTGGCTAATCTAGATCTGAATGACTGTGGGCGACCCTTACAAGCAGACAATGTGGAGGAGGTGGGCCAAGTTACCATTTCTGTCCTTTGAACTTTGCTCTGCCAGTTTCACAAGACAGTTGATCCCTTAGTAATCAGGCTTTGTACTTATGGCAGTTGACTCCTGTTGGATCTGGGGGAGAATCAAAGCTGCACATGCTGATCTAAATAGCTGAAAAGGATGTTAAACATGGCATAATAATAGATAAAAGTTCAACTCATTGACAAAACAATGATAATGGGCATTCTGGACTGGGCCTTATAATGGCTCAGATGGGTGAGAAAAAACACAACAAAACATCATCTTTAAATTATTGCTCGAGACATACAGTAGACAATACAGAAAATGCGTTTGAAAATGAAAAACCAGAACAAGCAAATAACACCAACACTGTAATAAACACATTTAAAGTTGTTTGCATGAAGATACTGCGACTCGGCTCAATGCAGAATTTCCAATGATGTAAAAACGTATTTGTTTAATGGCTACTTGAAACGGTTAAGGATCAGCTGTACTGGGTGTTAATCATTAATTGTTTAATCATTTATGTTGATTTGAAGTTGTCGCAATCTTTTGGGCTGTTTGCACAGCTCTCCTGACTTACACACCTGGAATAACAAGCATTGTGAGTGCGCAGACATTAGCAAATAGTGTTTGTGTAGTAAATTGATCTTTGCTCATGAACTTTGGCACAAATCGTGCTTGCGTACTGAAACTGAGTACACAGTACAAACCTCGGTACAAAGGACTGTTTGTTGTTTCCATCAAATTCAGTCTTATCTGTTAACAGTTTATTAGAGGTTTTTTTGTTTTGTTTTTTTTTGTTTGTTTTTTTTAAATAACTGTGCATATGCACAACTGATCTTTGATACCAGTGGATCAAAGTAAATTTCTTTTTAAAAGCTGCTTCCTTTTGCTTTTTCTCTTGTCATTTATCCTGTTTCCTTCCCTCTGCAGTTGACTGTGTGAAGCAGACAGTGAAAGGTCATGGTGTGAGGGGTCTTTATAGAGGTCTAAGCTCGCTGGTCTATGGCTCTATACCTAAAGCAGCTGTCAGGTATTGCAGCGCCACAAACAAAAAGCAAATGAGCACACTAAACACGTTTTGGAATGTGCACAGTCATCTATTAACTTTACAGCAACTTTTTTCCCAACTTAACTTCAGGATTTTTTTCAGGGTTTTTCACTTTGTTTTACAGTGTAGGAATAACATCATGCCATCAAAACTCAAAATAAAAATGTTTCTAATTTTGAAGCAAACTGTAGCTATCACACGATATTATCAAAAGATTTGTCATTGATTTGTATTTGCTTTATGATTAACTGAATATTTGATCAGTTGATTTAAAATTTATAGCCATATGAGTAAATAAAGGTAATTGCTTATTTTTTTATTTGTTCTTAGTTTTGATTGTCACTTGTGAATAATAATTGATGATTTGCCAGGATTTTTTCTCATCCAGACCTAATCTATATTCTCCTCAAGCTTCTTCAGGAGTTTCCTAGTACAGGCCATGGTTGTAGTAAGAAAGGCCAAATGTTAATTCATTAGTTAGTGCAATTCACAATAGGAAAGCCCAAAAGTTGTTACTATTAATGGCTTCTAAGTGAGATGAAATGTATCTCTGAGTTTGTTTAAAAAAATTCTCTCACTTCTACAGATTTGGGATGTTTGAGTTCCTCGGTAATAAGATGCGTGATGAGAGTGGCAAACTAGACAGCAAGCAAGGATTTTTCTGTGGCCTTGGAGCTGGAGTGGCAGAGGCTGTGGTTGTAGTCTGTCCTATGGAAACAATTAAGGTAAAAAAATAAGTTGAACACATCATGTTGTGTGTTTCAATTCAAATATTTTTTATTACGTGTGGTGGAGATACAAATCTCTCTGGGCTTACATCAGGAAGGATATCTGGTGTTTCAATCAAATCAAATAAATGGAACAACCCATTGGTGCAGTCCCTTGTGAATAAGGAAGGAGCCAAATGTAGCTTTTAGTGGAGTAAGTAAACTTACTTGTGTGGTATATGAATCTTGGCATGGTATTACAGTAACATAAAATAACAATATCAGAATCAGAATCAGAATACTTTATTGATCCCTGGGGGAAATTATTTTTTGTTACAGTGCTCCATTTTAAACCAACATTAAGACAAGACAGACAATACGCTAACTAAGAATAGTACAATATATACATATAAATAAATATTTGGAAAAGAAACATGTGTAGTTGTAGCAGCAAACAGTGTGTTAAGTGGATGCGTTGTACAGGGAGATGGCCACAGGCAGGAATGATTTCCTGTGTCGTTCAGTGGTGCTTTTCGGTAATCTCAGTCTCTCACTGAACGTGCTCCTGTGACTGACCAACATGTCATGGAGTGGGTGGGAGGTGTTATCCAACATTGTCTTTATCTTGGACAGCATCCGCCTCTCCGACACCACCTTGAGGGAGTCCAGCTCCATCTCCACAACATTGCTGGCCTTACGGATTAGTTTATTAAGTCTGTTGGCATCTGCGACCCTCAGCCTGCTCCCCCAGCATGCAACAGCATAGAGGATCGCACTGGCCACCACAGACTCATAGAAAATCCTCAGCATTTTCTGGCAGATGTTGAAGGACCTCAGTCGCCTCAAAAAATAGAGACGACTCTGGCCCTTCCTGTAAAGTGCTGTGGTATTTTTAGCCCAGTCCAGTTTATTGTCAATGTGTACTCCAAGGTATTTATAGTCCTCCACAATGTCAACACTGACCCCCTGGATTGAAACAGGGGTCAAGTGTTTCCTGGTCTTCCTGAAGTCCACGATCAGTTCCTTGGTCTTTGCCACGTTGAGCTGCAGATGATTCTGCTCACACCACGTGACAAAGGAGTCGACCACAGCCCGGTACTCTGTCTCATCATCCCTGCTGATGCATCCAACCACCGCAGAGTCATCAGAAAACTTCTGAAGATGGCAGGTCTCTGTGCAGTGGCTGAAGTCTGTGGTGTAGAGGGTGAAGAGGAAGGGGGAGAGGACAGTCCCCTGTGGTGCCCCTGTGTTGCTAATCACCTTGTCAGACACACACTGTGGGAGACGTACATATTGTGGTCTTCCTGTCAGGTAATCAACAATCCAGGACACCAGAGAAGCATCCACCTGCATCGCTGCTAACTTATCACCCAGGAGGGTCGGCCTGATGGTGTTGAAAGCACTGGAAAAGTCAAAAAACATGACCCTCACAGTGCTCGCCGGCTGGTCCAGATGGGTGTAGACACGATTGAGCAGGTAGATGATGGCGTCCTCTGTTCCGAGACGAGGCTGATAAGCGAACTGAAGGGGATCCAGATGTGGTCTTACTATGGGTCGCAGCTGGTCCAGGATGAGCCTTTCCAGGGTCTTCATGATGTGGGAGGTCAGTGCCACGGGCCTGTAATCCTGGGGGCCACTGGGACGAGGCGTCTTTGGTACAGGGACGAGGCATGATGTCTTCCACATCACCGGGACCCTCTGCAGACTCAGACTCAGCATAAACAGTTTATGAAAGACTCCACACAGCTGGGGGGCACAGGCCTTGAGGACAAGGGGACTCACTCCGTCTGGTCCAGCAGACTTGCCTGAGTGAAGTCTCCTCATTTGCATCTCAACCTGGTATTGAGTGAAGGTGATGGGTGGGGGAGGGGTGTCAGGAATCTCACAGGAGGCAACATGTGAAGAGAGAGGCTGGCACAGTGGTGTGGCTCTGGATTCCAGGCTGACTGCAGGTGAGGTTGTGGGGGTGGGAGCAGACACTGTGGTGTCGAATCTATTGAAAAACAGATTCAACTCGTCGGCTCTATTCTCACCTCCCTCAGTTCCCCTGCTGTTGGTTGGCCTGAATCCAGTGATGGTCTTCATGCCCCTCCACACCTCTCTCATGCTGTTCTGCTGGAGTTTCCACTCCAGCTTCCTCCTGTAATTGTCCTTAGCCTCTCTGATCTTGTCCTTTAGTAACACCTGGACCTTCCTCACCTCCTCTTTGTTGCCCCCTCTGAAAGCCCTCTTCTTGTTGTTGAGGAGGGCTTTGATGTCCTTAGTCACCCACGGCTTGTTATTTGGGTAACAATGAACAGTCTGAGCTGGAACAATGGAGTCGGTGCAGAAAGTTATGTAGTCTGTGATACACTCAGTAAGCCCATTGATGTCCTCGGCGTGAGGCTCACAGAGTGTTTCCCAGTCGGTCACCTCGAAACAGCCCTGTAGTTCCGCTATTGCCTCCTCTGACCACCTCCTAACAGTCCTGGTGGTCACAGGTTCCCTCCTCACAATTGGCACATAGCGGGGGGTGAGGTGAATCAGGTTATGATCTGACCTACCAAGTGGGGGGAGGGAGGAGGAGCTGTATGCATCCTTGACGTTAGCATACAGTAAGTCTAAAGTTTTCTCTCCCCTGGTGGGACAGTCCACATATTGTTTGAATGTTGGTAGTGTATTGTCCAGTGATACATGGTTGAAGTCACCCGAGATCACAATAAAGGCACTCGGGTGCTGAGTCTGTAGCCGAGCTATGGCAGAGTGGATAGTGTCACATGCAGCTGTGGGGTTAGCAGAGGGGGGAACATAAACAGCCACCAAGATGACGTGAGAGAATTCCCTGGGTAAATAATACGGCCTGAGTCCAACAGCACACAGTTCAGTGTCCGGGCAACAAATCCTTTCTTTGATTGTTATGTTGGCAGGGTTACACCACCGGTTGTTAACTAAAACAGCAAGCCCACCTCCTTTACGCTTACCGCTAGCGATGCTGTCCCTGTCCGCCCGAACAGTGTGGAAGCCTTCCACGGAAGCATTCTCATCGGGAATGACCTGGTGCAGCCATGATTCGGTGAAACACATCAGGCTACACTCTCGGTATTCCCTCTGACTCCGTACCAGTGCTGAGAGCTCGTCGATTTTACTTGCCAACGATCGCACATTTCCCATCACGATAGACGGCAGACACGGTTTAAACCTCCTCCTCGCTTCGAGCCTCCGCTGTCTCACCGTCACCTTTTTTCTTCTCTTCTGTCCTTGACCTCTGCATCCCCGATGTGTTTTCCTCCAAATTTCAGCTGGTACTTCTGCGGGCACTTCTGCGGGCCTGGCCAGCGAGCCGGCCGGCATCAGGGCGATCAGCTGATCTCTGGAGTAAACAGTCCGTGCGTGTAGGAGATGTGCCGCGGTCCCGTTCCATGATAAAAGTAACAGTTCCACGGCCACCAGAAGAACAAAAACTCTCTCAATCCACATGATTGAGTAAGAGATAGAAAACGGAGGAAAATACAAGTCAGAAAAAAAAAAAAAAAAAAAAAGAGGAAATGTTGTTAGTTTTAGCCTTTGCCTGGGTAGGTACATTTGTCAGCCTAACCTTGATAAAGTTTCTTTAGACAGGTTCCAAACTAAGTGAAATGACCCAGAAATACCTGTGTGGCAGCCACAAGAAAGGCTAGCTGATTTCTCTAAATGCTGAGAAAAAGTGCTTCAGTGCTCCCTTAATTAGCTCTATTAGGAATAAATACACTTGACCAAGGGATCAGAGTGATGCATTCACAAAGAACATCGACAAAACTGACAGTGGTGCATAATGGTAATGTTAATTATAGGTGCATTTTCCATTTCGTACCATAACTTGCTACATGTATTAAATTTTCAGTAAACAGGCTGTCGAACCCACAGCTGAACTCTAAATTGGATCATTTTCCTCTGGTTAAGATTCCACTGAAAGCATTAACAGGTAGAATGAAAGCTTTCACACTGAATCATCTCCCCAGAGAGTAAACATAAAATGCAATAAATTTGATTTTATAGGTTATATGTTAAATCTTTGGAATGACACAATTATTTTTTTCATGGTTCTCATTTATATTGATCTGAAGTACAGCACAACGAAATACAGTAAGAATGAGTCAGGGTGAAGTAAGATGTGCATGTATTGTTGTATTATAGCACTTCTAGTCAATCTAACATCTAATTCATATACTAAAATGGAAACTAATAAACTAAAACGGAATCAAACATAAACCTTTTATACGGTTAAAAACTTCAGGCATCAAAATAGAAAATATAAACACAATAAAAACACAAAACTAATATCCCTGGTGCGAACACAATTGGAAAATTAAAGTTATGGGATACTGCAGTCATTTAACAGTTCAGCTTTGTCCTTGCAGGTCAAATTCATCCATGATCAGACATCAGCAAATCCAAAGTACAGGGGATTTTTCCATGGGGTGAGGGAGATTATTAGATCCCAAGGTAAGAAGGGCTTCAGTTGCATTATACTGCCACCTGTTGTTCCTACCATTTATACACATGTGTTATTTAGATAATTATCCTCCTTATGACTTCTGAGAAGTTCATGAATTCATTTTAGGTGATAAATATGAAAGCTGTAATGAAGGTTGTCATGAAAAAGTGATTATTTTACTGTTGCACTTTTAGGACTAAAGGGGACTTATCAAGGGTTAACAGCCACTGTCCTAAAACAAGGCTCAAACCAGGCCATCCGCTTCTATGTCATGACTTCACTAAGAAACTGGTACAAAGGTAAGGGAGTCAATACATTTGCAACCACTTGATGCAAATAAAAATGCAGTAAAAAAAACCAAAAAACTCTTTTTGTTTCTTTTTTTTTTTTCTGACGCCTAGGTGATGACCCCAACAAAGCCATTAACCCTTTGATAACTGGACTGTTTGGAGCTATTGCCGGGGCTGCCAGTGTCTTCGGAAACACTCCCCTGGATGTCATTAAGACCAGAATGCAGGTTAGTACCTTAACATATTTCCAGTTTTCCTAGTTTATCCCTTAGCTTTCCAACTAACATGTATATATGCATATTTTCCAACAGGGCCTTGAAGCGCACAAGTACAAAAGCACAGTAGACTGTGCGGTCAAGATCCTGAAGCATGAGGGACCACTGGCGTAAGTTCATGTGCCTGGTTGATATAGTATCTGGGGAAAAATGATTTAAAGGTTTTAAATATATATCTATTTATTCTCACTGTTGGATCTGGCCTTGTTTGAACTGTTAAACTGTCAGTTACCACATTTATATTGGTGAGAACATCATGTAATTTAGTTAGTGACTGCATAGTGTAGTGGTTTACACATCTGCCTAACATACCTGGTTCAAGCCTGGTAGGACACATACATCCTTTGGAGGATGTTTCAGGAAGGGAATCCTGTGTGTGTGGTGACTTATCCATCTATCCATTAACCCACTTTATACTATAGACTGAGATTAAGCCTGTTCATTGTAGGAATGATAAAAACAAAGGTGTATTTAAACTCAGAACACATCTGCAGACAATTCAGAATCAAAATGATGTAAGATTTGGATAACCAGAGGAACACAAACTGAAAACTCATCTGTTTATCTTCATTTTGACCATTTTTTTCAAGGTGTTGTGTTATCGTTAATGTCAAAGTTGCTTTAGTTTGATTCACAGGGAAACTTTGTATGGCTCGTCTGTATAGCTTTATAGGTGCTCTGTTTCAGACTAGGTCTACAGCTGCTAATTGATATTTTATCCTCCACTTCATAACTGTTCTTTAAAAAAGTAGTCAGCAGCACAGTAGTGGAGTTGTTAGCACTGTAACGTCACGGGACTGGTTCAAACACTGGTTGGGCTCTTTCTGGGTCGAGTCTGCATGTTCACTCTGTTGTGCCTGCGGGGGTTTCTCCTCTGTACTCCGGCCTTCCCCGTAGTGGCTCAATAATGTAGCAGTTTACACATTTGTCTAACAAGCAAAAGATCCCCAGGAGAGACTAATTCATTTAGGGTCACATCATCAGGTGTAAAAAAAAAAAAAAAAAAAAAAAAAAAAAAAAAAAAAAAAAACCAACTATAATAATAATAATAATAAAAATATAGCTCTGGCTTCCTCCCACAGTTTAACAGCGCCCATGTTAGGTCAACTTGTGGCTGGACATTGGGTGTGAGGTAGATGAAGTGTGCAAAGTATATTGAATAAACTGTTGTATGGTTAAATGTGACTTATAGTCTGACGTGCTTTGAGTGGTTAGTAGGACTAGAAAAGCACTGTATAATTGCAAGTGCCTTACATTGTCATTACTTCATTACAGTTCTGTAATTTCATAAATATAACAAAAACTAGGGAATGAATAAATGAATATACAAAGCACAAAAATAAAAATAATTTACTGCAGAGTAGCAACATATTATACATTTAAATATTTAAAACTTTAGTTAAGCTGAATTTATACTTATAGGCTCTGTCACCTATGATCTACGGCTTCATATAGATATTTTTGGTCAGAAATGACTAAATTTGGCTTACAGAGTTATTGCCACTAACTTTTTAAAATTATTTTTTATTGACCCTGTAGTATTGTGAAACTCTGATATCATGGTTGCCTAATGTAACATTCACTGTCTGTTACTTCATTAGGTTCTACAAAGGTACTGTGCCTCGGCTGGGTCGGGTGTGTATGGATGTCGCAATAGTCTTCATTATCTACGAGGAAGTTGTGAAGCTCCTGAACTTGGTTTGGAAGACGGACTAAAATCAAGTTGTGCTAAATAAGCAGGACTGTCATGACAGGCCAATCTCCTTAAATCCTGTTTCTAGGTTCAAATATCTGCCTCCAAGTGATTTTTCAGAAAGAAAGAAAGAAAGGGATTGGTATGTTCTTGATTTATTTATAGCCCAGCAAACAGTAGTTGGAACTATTATCTAGCAGAATCACTGCTTACAGATGCTCTTTTTTTTTTTTTAAATTCCACAGAACATTTTTTCACCCTGCTCAATCAGAGAACTGAGAGTGCTCTCAACACAAACAAGGAACTAAAGTTTGTACGTACTGAATCAAAGACAAACCAGTTACTTACCTAATGTAATATATAAACTATAGGTTAAAAAATTATGGGGAGTTGACTCAAATTTATTGAATCAAAAATTTAAACCCCTTTTATATGCAAGTTGTCAGAGAGGTTAGAAACCATTCTGAGGATGTGAAATGCTCCAAAAGCTGCAGGTACATTAAGAACTGCATGGCCGAAGTCAAGATTACAGAGTAATCTGCTTTGTGATTTCTTTTATCCTCTCCATGCACCTTGGAAGCAGGTGAAGTTGTGCCAGAAAATTATTTTTTGCTAAGATTACAGAGTAACCAGTTGTGGAAGATGCAGCATTTCTTTAAATGATAATACACATGTTCACATTATTTAGAAATGCACATTTCCATAAAGAAAGTGTTTGTGGGTAAAGAGGGTTCACTATTAAGTTGCAGAGATGTTTTAAATCAGTTAACTTACTAATGTCACTAAAAGTGCCTACGTGCTGTATAATGAATTTTGTGGTGTTTTGCGAATAAGAATGATTATTTAATGTTGTCACTAAAGACTAGAATAATTTACACATACTACTCTGTTCCAGTCAGTGTCTAATAAGTTCATGTCTTCTATTATCCTTCGAACTGTTAGTTTTTTGTTGTTTTTTTTCATTCATTGAGAAATGGTGTTATTAGTGCCTTCCATCTCGTTCCTTTCTCATTAACTTTTAATTGCAGTTTATTTTTATTCTTAACTGTGTAATATTAGTTGCCTTTTCTTTTTTTAAATCAACTGATGACCCAATGTGCCAACTGCTGCTTGAAAATATAATGCCATGCTATTAACTGGAGTTCTAGACACGGAGTCTGGTTGTTTACATGCAATGCCTTTTAAATTAGTTTGCTTATCTTATCTCTTTGTGGAGGAGACACAATGTTTACCACATGTTGCCTTTTTCAGCCTCCCGTTTAACCAGACCCTACAGGAGCATCACACTTTGTCACAGATTTTTAAATATTTCTGGAGTTTTCTTGTTAACAGGTGAATATTCTATGAAAAATATACCAGGAGTTAAAAGCTGGTATTGTGCCTTCAATCTTCTTAATTCTAATATCAATGCTCAGAAATAAACATGGATCAGACTGTTGGTATGGTCTTTTTTCTTTCAAGCCATCATCCAAATTTCTCCTAACTTTTTGTCAGAATAAGCATTGTATTCTTTGAATGTGTAGGATTAATAATAATAATAGTGCTATTTGTGTTGTACTATATTAATTTTTTGTGATTACTTACTGTTGTGTGTAGTACTGGTGGTTATTTGTGGTTTTCTGTGCACAAATGTTATCTTCTTTGCTAACAGTCACCAAACAGACATTAGCTATCATTGACAGAATGTGATAAAATGCTGTTATATTGTTATATACATTATGGCCACTTGCCCTGTGACTGCTGAGATAAGCTCCAAAATCCTACGGAACCCATGGATGGATTATTTGTTGGCATATTGTCGATTTGCCCTTCTTGGACCTTACGCCTGCCGTAGCTGTCAGTACAGCCCAATGACAGTCATTGGTATTCACTAGCTACTCGTTGAGAGACGCTTGAAAGAAGATGCTTGTGTGTTTGTAGTTCTTCCAAGGGTAGTTAACATGTCTCTCAATGGAGGCGGAAGCAGAGGGTTTTATTTCAACACCGTCCTGTCTTTGGCAAGGTCGCTGGCAGCTCACCGGCAGGCACCTATAGACAAGGTAACGCTTCAGTTAGACTAGCGACCTACCGGTGACCAGCTAATAGCCTAAATAGTCTCTGACAGTAAGGCCCGTCACAGACCGCTTTTCTACCAGTGTGGTCTGTGTTATGAATCAGAATAGACTCTAAACATGACTGTTTTGTCAATATATAAATTATAGAGTTATTTCAGGATTAAGGGGCGCCACATAGCATCACTGGTACCTTGCTAATGTCGGCTAACGTTAGCTGTTTTTAGCCTGTAGTTTTCCTTTTAAAAAAACCCAACTTTTCCCCTCATGTGAACAATTAGATCCTTACTCTTCATCCGTACATGTTGGCACAGGAAAGCAAACCCTTTTTGTGTCCTGATTCAGTCGAACACCCGCTGTATGTACAGTTATACATTTACACAGTATTCTAAACTTTTAGTTTGAGGGTCATTACCAAATATGGTGGCACCAGATCTTTAATCATTGTGGTCCGAACATTCTTTGAATGGACCAACATGTGTAGTCAATGTTGTCAGGAGAGGTGCGGGATAAATACAAGTGTTATGAAAATATGTTAAAAAGCGTTACTTATCTGTAATTTATACGATGTATAAAGAAATAAAATATGTATGACGTAATCAAGATTTGTCCAGTCACCTAAATATTTTGGAGCTGTTCCAATGAGCTGTTTATTTGGCTGACTTCAAAATGAATTTGTTTTTAAATGTATTTATGTATTTGTTTGTTTGTGTAGCGTGTATTTTTATTTATTTGTGGCAGGAAAACACAACGATAGTTATGTAAAAATGACTGCTTTTAAACTCTTTACCTTCAAAATAGACACACAGATCAAGATATAAATTATAAGCCACTGTTGGTCAGCAACATCTTTTTTGCTGTTGTATAGTGTGTGTGTCTGTGTGTGTTTAGTACAGTAAGCATATTGTAAATAATTAAGTAAACTAAGACCAAGACAAAATTGTACTTTAGCTCAAATCATTATCAGTTTTTTGTTTTCTCGTATTTAATGGGAAAGGTTAATAAGTTCATAATTGGTAGTCATAGCTTTAGCCTTGTGGTTTTCAAAGTTTTGTGAAAGCCAAAATTTATAGTGACAGTTGTATTCATATCTGCTTAAAACTGTTGACGTGTCATGAGTTATTTTTTCAATTGCACTTTCAGAAAGAGTTTTATTGCATATTTTCAGCATCTGTACCTAGAATGACATCTTTAGTCTTTCCAATAAGCTCCAATAGTGTATTTTATATCGTGCCATCATGACCTTATCACCCAAAGTGGTCGTCCAGAGGCTGAGGGTGTAAAAAAATTAAACTCTTTAACTGCTTACAGTCAGTTAACAAAAGCATATGTATCCAGCATTTGACTTTGACAGAATGATTTAGATGAATGATGTAGTATTTACCTCCTTGTTGTTGTACACTACAGTGATAATGAATGGTTGACAAAAAATCAAGACACACTCTGACTTGGCTATGCCTAGGGCATATCAGTTGCTCTAATACAGTGTCAGCATACTTTAAGTTCATTGTCCAATGTTGTGTAATGTTACCAAATCCAACATGGCTCACACAACAAGTGTATTCAGTTTTTCTCACTTCTGCTTGTATTCAATGTGTCCAGGTCTTATGTCAGGGAAAGAAACTGTGAGACCAATAAATTCTGATCCTGTTCCCAAACATTTCAGTGATGAGGGCTGAAGTAATATTTTAATCCATAGTCACATGCAGAAGTTTTAGCTGACATATATAGCGTTAATATTGCTGGCAGAAGGTAGCAGAATATATGGTAAGGTGGAGTTTCACTATAGGAGTACTAGCTCGATTCTGAGTCCCCTTTTGGAGTAGGATAAAGCTGTCATCTGTGGTGATATTTTTAGTGTAGTTGATGGGTAACAAGGTCCTCAAACAGGTTAATCTGTTCATGACAGGAAAGAGGGGCAACTTCCCTGTTCTCTCAAATTAAGAGGAACAAGGCAAGAGGTACACAAAGAGGGAACAAATTATGACCTTAAGGTTGTCAATTTCACACGAGTCCATCTAGTTCCAAAACCTACTGCAGATGCCAACTAGCAAAAAGTGGTTTTGTTTGAATGGCATGATTTTAACAAACACTGATTTGAAATTGTTTTATTACAGTGGATCAGTCTTGAAAATGTGACACTGAATGTTGTTGAGAAACCTAAATTGTACAGCCAATTCTCTTCTGGATGAGCCAGTGTTACTCAGTTGAATCGTTAGGATATGTGTTCAGAGATTAAGCAGCTGAGTGTATTGTAAAATTCTACAAGAATGCAGAGGTTGAACTGATTAGAAAATACATTTACTGAGAATCAGAAGGGGGAAACGCTAAACAGGAAGTACACTCCTTGATAAAGAGCCGTGGCTGCAGTAATATAATGACCCGTCAGCCCATTGTGTTATTGTTTAAGAAGTGTGTGCCAGTTTGTGGACTTTATTTTGCTGTTTTTCTGTCTGCAGTAACCTGCTCTATAAATCTGTATGTGATCGTATTGATTATCTTTAGAGATGTAGGATGTTTAAGGGGTTGTCTGATAAACAAAATTTATTTATTAGTCATTGTTCTGAATTTTAGCCAAGAACTACATCTGGTATTGGAGACCGTGTCTGTAGAGGAGGGACTCTACTTAAAAGCCATCTTTGAGTGGGGATTTTTAACTCTTTCTGAAGATTAAAAATATTAATGAATAATAAATTATTATTATACTTCTTGCTTGTTGTTAATGAATGAATAATAAATTATTATTATACTTCTTGCTTGTTGTCTGAGTTACGGAGTTACTTTCAGTGGATGTTAGAATGTCCTGTGGTTTTTTTGTTTAATTTCAGAATCAGTTTGTAAAATGGAAATGTCCTATTAATCTAATTTCTGCTTATCTTTTCTTTGACATTTTTCAAAAGTCAGATTTAATGAAAAATTTCAATGGTGTCTAAGCCAAAAAGACAGCAGCAGTTTGTAATAACCTGCTGAATACTCATTTCCCTCTCTTTCATTTATTAGTGTTTTGTCTCAAGCTTATTGAGATATTATTTAGTCTTAATAAGCAAATCAGTCATCTTACCTGGATGATTGATTTGGTCTTTGGCTTTGAAATCAAATAGTTTTTAGTGGAATGTTTTATGTGAAGTCTCCACAACATCCCCTTTGTGGGCTTTAATCATTTAAAATATCCTCTCTCTCCTCTCATGGAAAACAAACAGGAAGTAGTGGCCCTGCTCTCTGTTTAAATGGTGGTTAATCCCTCACTGAACTCTCAATCATGGGGCTAATTAATGCCACAGGCAGGTTTTCAACTGGACTTTTAATTGGATTCAAATCCTGAGGCCCATTTAGATAGTCAAAATCATTAACATTAATGGGACAACAAAGTGCCTGTTTTAAACCCACCCATATGGAAAAGATATATATAAATCTTATAAAGTTTGTATCTGTCTTGTGTGAAACTTGTATGAAAAGCATATAAGTGTGAAAACAGATATAAGATCCCTTGAAAAATTATATAATGAATCTTGTATGTTTTGGATACTTACTAAAACAATGTATGAAAGTAATGCCAAAGTGGCCACTTTCATGAGTAAATCATGTAAGCCTTATATGATTTACTCATGAAAGTGGCCACTTTCATGAGTAATCACATATAAGTTTTTACTATTTCTTTTCCATATGGGCAGTAGGCAAGAAATTTCTCTATATTTAAAATATTGTTATATTTAATAGCTTCCTAAAGTTGAGAAATGTTTACAACTCCTCTTCATCCACCCACATTGTCCTCCCACAGGTTCAGAAGCTACAATGCATGTGTCCAGTGGACTTCAGAGGAATCTTCCAGCTAGATGAAAGAAGGAGAGATGCTGTGATTGCAGTTGGCATTTTTCTAGTCGAGTCAAACCTGCAGGTAAATAGCGTACCTCGTTTCCTCTCCTCATTGTTGTACTTTTGTGCTTGTATTAATTTAAGGATGTTCATTTTCTTATACTCTGGAATACATGTATTTCAGCACAAAGATGCTATTGTTCCCTACCTTCTTGGGCTGCTTAAAGGACTCCCTAAAGTTCAGTGGATTGAAGAAAGCTCGGAACGCAAAGGAAGGGGTGGGTAACAGTCTTACATGTACTTTATCCTGTCATTTCTTTTCATTTTAGAGGTGCTGTTTAGTCATTTTTTATTTTTGTTGCAGATACCCTTCCTGTGGCAGAGAATTTCAGCTTTTGTCTTGTGACATTGTTGTCAGATGTCGCCCAATGTGATGAAACCTTACGAGGGCAGGTGTGTGGTAATGACTCTATATATACATGGGTATAGATGCTGTTTATCTCATGTGTACTCAGATTTTTAAATACATTAAGCTCTCATTCACACAGGCCTAGAGCCTGGTCAGCAACCATTTGACAACCACCGGTCGCTAGGGAAGAAAACAAATATTCCCCAATTGGTTAACATGTGTGCTGGCAATTCCTGGAAGTTATTTGTTGCTTCAGAAGAGTAAAAATCAAAATGGTTTAAATATTAATAAATATTATTTAAATGATTATGTTATCAGATCCTGGAAGCAGTTATGGACATCATGCAGGTCCTGCAAGATATCTGCAAAAATCCAGAAGCTCATGACAAAGGTACCAACAGAGACCTCGTTCTTCCGTTAAGTGCTGCTATAGATCATTCCAGTGCTAAATAACATCCACAATATTCTTGTACGTATTCTTGTATTATTCTTTTTCTTGTACAGAATACCTATGTAGGTACACTGTGCCCACCTTGCTTGGTGTTGCAAGAGCATTTGGCCGATACAGCAACACTGACGAGCCGTTACTATCCAAGCTGTTTCCTCGACCAGTTGTTCCCTTACTGTCCACAAATGATGATAGCGATACTGTCCGGCGACGGTCCTTCAATGACTTTCGTTCAATCCTACCAAGCTCCTTGCTCACAGTTTGTCAGGGAGACTCTCTGAAACGCAAAGGCTCCTCTGTGTCCAGTGTGTCACAGCAGGTAATAAAATGAAACGGGCAAGAAGGCAAAACTAACAACATGTGTTTATTTAAAAAAAAAAAATAAAAAATGAAATCCTGATTTTGTTTTCAGGCCAGTCCAGAGAGAGCAGGTCTGACACCCAACTCGCCCGCTGATCCCTCTGCACAGTACTTTGAAGGTAATTTCAGATCAGGTTGACACCTCTTTTTGGGTGCAGTATTTCATGCTTTCAGAAGTTGTTTTGTTTTTTACCGCAAACAGAATAGACATTTTTACGGTACATAATTTATTCTTCCCTCTATGTTAAGGTTCTTACCTCCCCGATGGCAGTGCAGTGGACCCTGACTACTACTTCTCCACCATAAGCTCCAGCTTCTCTGTGTCCCCTCTTTTCACTGGAAGCAGCACTGGAGAGTTTCACGTCCCTCTAGATATGCTCAGACAACTCCTTCACATGGTCAGCAGTAACCACACTCAGAGTTTGGTTTTGTACATGCATGCAAGGTGAACATTGTATTACTTCTTTTGAACAGGTTCAACAGATTGTCTCTGAGTCGTTTTTAAAATCACTGGATGACACCTTGGCAGAACTTCAAGTGGTATGCCTCTCAAGTCCACTCAGATTTCTCTTCACTTTACTTTTCATGTTACGCTTTATTTGTAAATTTCTGTTGCTTTCTTTGCAGGTGAATCCTGGTCTTCATCTCTACTACAAAACCTTCAGTGATCCTCTTTATGTAGCCATATTTAAAATGCTGAGAGACACTCTTTATAATATGAAAGGTAAGGAAATCTGTAATAGATCCTTTAATTAAAGGTAGTTTTACCCTTAACAAAATCTAACTAATATTTTCAACACCTTCAGGCAGTGGTAAATTAACAAGGTGATTCTGCTATTTGTATCTAAAAAGTGCTGTGTTTCTCGTAAAGTCCTTATTTGATGAAGAGAAAAGTTAACCAGAAACTACAGAAACAGTGGTGGTCTGCATTGTCAATTGCACACTTTGATCAGGAATAAAAATATGGTGCCAGAATTACAGGTGATAAACAGTGCTGTAACTGATTGCAAAAATGAGAACCAGTAATATTCTAACTTTTTATTTTTAAAATTGTCTTTTAATTTTGTGATGTTTTTTTTTTTTTTTTTTTAAATCTACTGTGATCTTGAAAATGGTATTGAGTATATTACTGGTTATTAGTATAGTGTTTGAAATTTTAGTGTCATGAAAACCCTACCTATTAATTGCAGAAAATGTGCAGAAAAGTAGATGGATCTGAGATCCCTCAGATAACAGAGTAATAAACAGCTAACTGAGCTAAAATTAGGTCAGTTGCATATATAGATTTTGTTTTTCTGAAATTTGTATTACAAAGCTAACTTACCAATCTAATTTGGAGTTTTTGATTAAAATACTCTAAAAGCTGCCTGAATCATACACACAAAGTGAAGAGGTCCAGTTTAAGACTCTTAGTACATAGGGCCAATGTGGGCCTCATAAACTACAGCCTTAAGTGCAACCTAGAGGAACTGCAGTTATTACAACTTACACATTAGCTTCCTTGTAAAGCTCTCAAGAATGCCTATCGATTCTTTCACATTAGTATCTGTATTTTGTCTCCCTTCCATGTTTGGTGAAGAAAAAGTGGATGCAAGTTGCATTGACTCACCACATCATCTTGTGGTTTGTTACGCCCCACTTAAAAACGAAGTGTTGACAGTGCATCATCCACCACATTGTCCATACCTCTCTGATGTTGGATGTCTATGTTGTACTCCTGAGCAAGCAACGCCCATCTCATCAATCTTTGGTTGTGATTGTACATGTGTTTTAGGAATACCAGAGGGTTATGGTCAGTATAAACCATAACAGGAGTGGTGGTTGACCCCACGTACACGTTGAAATGCTGCAAAGCAAGCAACATGGCCAGGGTTTCCTTCTCAATGGTGGAATAGTTGAGTTGATGAGGCTTGAACTTAGCTGAGAAGTAGGAAACCGGGTGACTGATGTCATCAACTCCATCCTGTAGCAGTCCTGCCCCAGTGCCACTTCTAGCTTGAAGACCTTGCTGAAGTCCAGAGCAGCCAGTACAGGGGCACTGCAAAGGAGAGACTTGGCACAGTCAAATGCATGTTGGCACTCAGCAGTCCATACGAAGGGTTCCTTTGGACTGCACAGATGAGTCAGAGGAGCCACTACTGTCGAAAAATTCCGGCAGAAACATTGTAGTAGCCCACTAGACCCAAGAAGCGCCTGAGCTCCCGTCTTGTGGTGGGCACCGGGTAGCTCAGTACGGCCTCCACCTTTGCATTCACAGGGCGCACCTGGCCGTGTCCTACTTGTTTTCGGAGGTATGTCACTACCGCCTTGGCAAATTCACACTTTGCCAGGTTCAGGGTTAGGGAAGCCTGGGTTAAACGAGCAAAAACATCCCTCAAAGTACTCACATGATCAGTCCAGCAAGAAGAATATACCACAATGTCATCCAAATACACATTACAATTGTTAATGTCCGTTAACACAGAGTTCATAAGTCGTTGGAAAGTGGCTGGTGCATTTCGCGTACCAAACGCCATCACTGTGTACTGCAAGAAATGGTCTGGAGTAACAAATGCTGAAATATCAGAGGCTCTGCTAGTTAGAGGAACCTGCCAGTAACAGATCTAGCTTTGTTATGTAGGTGGTGGCTCCAATGCTGTCTATGCAGTCTTCCATGCGAGGCAATGGGTATGAGTCAGGGACTGTGACTGCATTTACCCTCCTAAAATCAGTACAAAAACGAGGAGAACCTTTCTCCTCGTTTCAAAAACGAGGAGAACCTTTCTCCTCGTTTTTGGTGTCAGCAGACATGAAGAGCTCCAAGAGCTATGGCTAGGTATCGCCAAACCATTTTCAAGCAGGTACTGTACCTCTTTTTTCATTAACTCCCTCTTGAGTATGTGTGTTGCTTAATAGGGCACGCATCACCCACGTCAATGTTGTGCTTTAACACTGGGGTTCTAGATGGTACATCCCCAAACAGACTAGGGTGCGCTTGGATCAGGTTTTTCACGTCATCTTTCTCGTCATGGGGAAGATAGGAGAGGTACGTGTCTAAGGCATCAAGAACCTCTGAGTTCACAAGCCTACCACTCTGCTGACCTTCACTGCCCTTTACCAAACCATCATCATGGTTTATGGGCACAGAAATGAGTGAGATGGAGCCCTCTTTATCGTCTTCCCTAGAGTGAAACAGTTTCGGCATATTTATATGGCAGAGCCGTGTTTTGCGCCTTCTATCCGGAGTGCGAACAATGTAGTTTGTGCCATTGACTTTGCTCTCTACCACATATGGACCTGCAAATTGGGCTGACAGAGATGGACCAGAGGTGGGCACCAACATGAGTACCTGATCACCAGGTTTAAAAGAACGCTGCACTGCCTTCGTGCCATACTGCTGCTTCATTTTCCCTTGGGCTGCTGACAGAGACTTCTTGGCTATTGCACAAGCATGGTACAAACATTCCCGACACTGCGTGACAAACTCAAGCACATTTGATTGCGGCTGCACATCAGATAAAAACTGCAGCAGGGCTGAAACCAAGGGACTCCTGGTTTGCTTCACGAGCTGCAAACAGTAGGAATGGCAGTCCGTCATCCCAGTTCTTGTCAGTCTCCAGACAATATTTTCGCATCATCAACTTTATGGTCTGGTGCCATCTTTCTAGTGCGCCTTATGACTGGGGATGGTAAGGGCTGGAAGGGATGTGTTTGATACCAAGTGATTGCAAAGTCTGCTTGAACAGTTTTGACTGAAAATTGCTACCTTGGTCGGTTTGAACAACTCTGGGCAGACCAAATGTTGAAAATAATTTAAGTAGAGCCTTAACTACGGTGGGAGCGGTGATTTTTCGAAGTGGTATGGCTTCAGAAAAACGGGTTGTGGCACACATGATTGTCAAGAGGAACTGATTACCCGCTTTTGTTCTGGGTAGAGGACCCACACAGTCCACTAAAACACGCTCAAAAGGCTCCCCAACTACCGGGATGGGTTTAAGAGGAACAGGTGGCACCGTCTGATTAGGTTTACCCACAATTTGGCAAACCTTGCATGTTTTGCAGAACTTGGCAACGTCTTTCTTCAGACCTGGCCAGAAAAAGTGCTGAAGAACGCGGTCATAGGTTAAAGTGATTCCTAAATGACCTGACCGCGGGTGTTCATGCGCAAGCTGCAATATGCCGCCCCGGTTGTCCCCTAGGAATGGCTATTTGGCGTACCACCCCCCAACCCTCATCACCTCCTTCCTGCTGTAAAGCAGGTCTTGAGACCCATTTCCTCACCAGTAACCCATCCTCAAGATAAAACCTGTGTGCCTTTTTATTGTTTATTATCTCACTTACCTCTTTAAAACACTTAGGAAAAGTGAAAAAGAAAAAGCCAAAGCCAAAGTTACACAGAGTTTAAGTTCTCTCTCACTCACTCACTCACTCACTCACTCACTCACTCACTCACTCACTCACTCACACACACACACACACACACACACACACACACACACACACACACACTAAAGCCTGCTGCCCAAACCACTCTAGCTCACAGCACAACCTGGATGATTTGCTCACTGGCAGACCTGTAACATAGGAAAAGGAGAAAAAAAACTCTCACAGAGGGAGAGCCACTAGAGGTCAGCAACCATAACATGGTTCAAAATGGAGTTAGATGAAAGTACTGCTGCTTTCGAAAATAGGAGACTTTTCTTTATGTTCTGTTGATAGCTTTAGCTGATTTTGGAGTTGTTAAAATTAAGTATTTTTTTAACACTGGATTTTACAATAAGTGCTTTTTATATTATTCAATAACAAAATCACAATTTCTCCTTCCCTAATGTCTCTATAATAATAATAATATTAATAATAATAATAATAATAATAATAATACAAACATAATTTGTTTTCTGTCAGAACTTCAGACAGACTATGTGAAGGAGGTTCATGACTTTGTACTGGAGCAGTTTAGCAGCAGCCAGTCAGAGCTGCAAAGGATTCTTCATGATGTCGAGTACCTCCAGAGTGAACTGAGCCCACTCAAACTGCGCTGTCAGGCTAATGCCGCCTGTGTGGACCTCATGGTGTGGGCTGTTACTGAGGAGCAGGGTAAGTCTTGCTTCCTGTATCTTAGTCCAACAGTGAGTAATCAGTCTCGATAATCTTGATTGTAAACCTTTTTTTGTTTGTTTGCCAGGAGCTGAGAATCTTTGCACCAAGCTCTCAGAGAAACTGCAATCAAAGACATCCAGTAAAGTCATCATTGCTCACATGCCCCTCCTGATTTGCTGCTTACAGGTAAAGAACTACCAGAGAGGGAAGAAAATGATGTGGGAGCAGGAGTAGAAAAGTGTTGTGTCCTGTTAAGATTTTGTTTCTCTTTGACAGATTAGTGCTTTCTTTCTTTTCTTTTCTTTTCTTTTTTTTCAAGCCAATCAGTATGGTTTATACTTCTGAGGTATAGCAGGAGAATTTTGACAATGCTGAAATCGGGCTAAGATGCTCACATTAGAGCTATAACGATCAGTAGTTTGGTGTTGATGACAAATTTCTGAAACCTAGTGGTACTTGATTTTCTGGGTTATCACTGATGCTTTAGGTAATCACAGACTGTATCAAATCAGAAATTAAAAGCTTTAAAGTAACATCTATTGTGGCTGTCCTGTTGGAATGTTTCTCCTGCTTTCTTCACAGTAAATAGCTGTAAACCTGGGAGGAATGCAAATATTATTATTACAAATGCACATTTAGAAATACTTTTTGTGTTCAGGGGTTGGGTCGTCTGTGTGAACGCTTTCCAGTGGTGGCCCACTCTGTTACCACATCCCTGAGAGACTTCTTGGTGGTGCCCTCTCCTGTTTTGGTGAAGTTGTACAAATATCACAGCCAGTACACCCCAGGTAACTCATGCTCCACCACTACCAGCCAGCCAACCGTGTTCCTTCCAGTTTAATGTGTTCTTACAAGATTATGATTTTGTTTAAGGTGGTAGTGAAATAAAGATTCATGTGACCAATGAACATTCCCAGTCAACACTCAGCACCCATTCGAGCAAGAAGAGCCAGCCCTCCATGTATGAGCAGCTTCGGGACATCTCCATTGATAACATCTGCAGGTGAGTTCCCCCACAGGTACATTAGGCACTGGAGCTTTCCATTTTCCAGTTTGCAAGAAAACAGTGTAAATAACAGGTTCACAGAAGTCTTCATAAATAGAACCGTTTAAGATCCAATTTACTCCCACAGAGTTTTTATGAAGGAGAAATAATGGTTCAGCAGTTGTAGTGCATCGGCATACCACAGAACCTGCAGACTGCTTGTCTATCTGCAGAGAGCATCTGTTTTGTTAAATGTGGGTAGTGCTAAAAATATGTGTTATAACCAGTATGTGTGCTCTCCAAAAGTTGATTCTGGATGATTGAGCATGCATCAAGACCAGTATGTGGGCTATTTTTGCTTGTGCTGTTGTTGGTCTGTCAGCAAGCTGTGGAAAACTCTGAAGTTATAACATACAAAGAGATGAAAGTGTGTTTAAAAACAATGATAAATGTCCACTGTGAATCCACACAGGTGTACAACGTGCTTCCCCTTAATATAAGGCATTGCTGAACGAAACCCATCCCACTTGCGTGTACATGTCATTGTCAACAAAGCCTTCACTCCCAGTCTTTCCTTCTGCTCTCAGGTGCCTTAAAGCTGGCCTGACTATGGATAATGTCATTGTTGAAGCTTTTCTCGCCAGTCTGTCTAATCGTCTTTATATCTATCAGGAAAATGACAAGTAAGCCTCTCACCGAAATTATACTCTGCTCTTGACTTGGGAAGTTAAAATAACCAAGATATTGCCCCACAGGGATGCTCACTTGATTCCAGACCACACAATCAGGGCTTTGGGTCACATTGCTGTGGCCTTACGGGACACCCCCCGAGTAATGGAGCCCATCCTTCAGATTCTGCAGCAGAAGTTCTGCCAGCCTCCCTCCCAGCTTGATGTCCTCATCATAGACCAACTTGGCTGCATGGTCATCACAGGGAATGTGAGTGTTTATCTTCAAACTTCATGTGTCTTAGAACTTCAAGCTTCTAGAGTAATTCAATTGAATGCAATTTTATTTATGAAGTGCCAATTCATAACAGCAGTTGCTTCAAGGCACTTTATATTGTAGGGTAAGACATGGCTAAACAAAACTAGGGTATCATCTGCATAGCAGTGTCTTACAATAATAATGCCCAAGGGAAGCATGTATGATGTTAACAGATTTGGTTCCCAGCACAGAACCCTGTGGAACTCCATTACTAACTTTTGCATGTGAAGAAGGCTTCCTAATTATATTAAGAAATTGGAATCATAGGAATCTCTGTGATTTAAACCACTGCAGTGCAGTTCCTTTTAATACTTACGCACAATTGTGAGTTATACAAGGGAATCAAGCTTCTGTGGTATGCTTTCTTTTTCAGAGGAAGGACAGTATATGACATCATATGCAGTGATATTAGACCCAAATCTAACCTTTTTAAAGTGTAATTTTTATTTTTGAAGGGGAACTTTGTGGTTTTTTTTCTCTTTTTCCTTCCACTTTAGCAATACATCTACCAGGAAGTTTGGAATTTATTCCAGCAGATCAGTGTCAAGGCAAGCTCCATGGTTTACTCTACTAAAGATTACAAAGATCACGGATACAGGTAAGAATCACCTTATAGGGCAGATGAGGAATTTTAGTCTTAAAAGAGCATTTTTCCCCCCCCTGGTGTTATGGTTTTGCTTGTTCACATTGGCGTCATGTTTTGTTCTTTACTATTGTCATTTCAGTGCAAGTGTTGGCCACTTGCTCTACAGTCCTGTGTTAGCATTCAAATGTTTATTTCAAGCTTCAATGCAGCTGAGTTTTCTTTTGTTTTTTTTTCTCCATCTTGAGCATCAGCAAGCAAAAACTGTATCAATTCTCTTATGGGAGCCTGAATGTGAACCATACCCCCGCTGTTACAGAAACGCATGTGCTACTGCTTATCTCGTACATAAATGTTCCTTCCTCTTTCTGCAGACACTGTTCCTTGGCTGTTATAAATGCACTGGGTAACATAGCAGCAAACCTTCAGGCTGAGCATATGGTTGACGAGCTGCTAGTCAACCTGCTAGAACTCTTTGTTCAGCTGGGCTTAGAAGGCAAGCGAGCCAGTGAAAGGGCCTCAGACAAGGGCCCAACTCTGAAGGTATGGCACACACTCACATTGCACATTCCAGTATAAGATAAGATAAGATAAGATAACCTTTATTAGTCCCACACGTGGGAAATTTGTTATAATGGGAAGGAAAAACAACACAAGTGGAACTAAAAACAACATAGGGTAGTTAGGTATAAGGTCAAACAAGTCAAGTGAAGTCAACACATGCAAGAGGAAGTTTTTACCTTAAATGGCTTTGCTTCATTTTCTTGGCAATCTGCTTTCATAAGATAACAGCATACTATAATTGGGAAATGATTCCGATTTTTACAGTTTTCCTGCAGCTAGAGCCAGGAAACATAGGTGATGCATATAGTAGCTGTTAAGTCACACTGTATTTAGTTTCCTTCAGATCCCAACCCCCCTGACTTTATAGTTTTTACAGTGCTCCATAAATTAAATTTTTCAAATTTTAATATTTTTATTAGCATGGGAATTTACAGGTTTCTTGTTTTTTTTTTTTTTATGCTAGGGTGTTTAATAAATTTGTTAAACACTGAAACTTTTGCTTGTGTAGAAAATATTTAATGTAGTTAACTCATTAATTAAATAAAGTGGTAGTCTATTTTCAAGTGGCTAATTCAGCTCTGTACCTTCAGGCATCAAGCAGTGCCGGAAATCTTGGAGTCCTTATTCCAGTCATTGCAGTGGTAAGTGATTTGTGTATTTTCATCATATAATCTTTGATAATTCAGAGTTAGTGTAAACCTAGCACTTTTAAAAGGTCTGTTATCCCTCCTCTTCTTCTGTTTTTAGCTGACAAAGAGGCTACCACCAATCAAGGAGGCAAAGCCACGCCTGCAGAAGCTCTTTAGAGACTTCTGGCTCTACTCCGTAGTCATGGGATTTGCTGTGGAGGGTTCAGGTAGAAGGAGTTGTTTATTTCTGTTGTGTTGTGTACAAAAATATCAGAAATATCAAAATTTTGTTTGTTTTATCACAGTAAAGCAAACTGAAATTTTTGTAGCTCTATTTCTGTTTTGCATCCTTAGTCCTGTAAAATGTCAGTTTTACTATTTTGTCTCCCATTTATTTTAGTAGTCTCATCATATCAGTCTGTTTTAAATTAGGAAATGCAGTGGGAATTTGTGGGAAAGTTTTCAAGCAAACATTTTTTTATTCCTGGAATCACCATTATCTTTAATTTATTATAAAAGCCTTAATGAATTCATATATCTGTAGCTTCTTTTTAGGATTAAATGTAGTACTGTGCAAAAGTCTTAATCCACCCCTTATTCTTTATATATTTAATTTAATTTTTATTTATCCATTCATCCATTTTCTTCCATTTATCCTTGTCAGGGGCATTCACATTCATACCTATGGGAAATTTAGAATTACCAATTAACCTAACCCCACTTACTGCATGTCTTTGGACTGTGGGAGGAAGCAGAAGTACCTGGAGAGAACTCACACAAATACAGGGAACATGCACACTCCACACAGAAGGGCCCCGGCCAGGATAGGTGGAATCAAACAGGACCTTCTTGCTGTGAAGCAACAGTGCTAGTGGTGCGGTGATTGTCCCATCTCAAGGCACTTTATATTGTAAAGGAAAGAGCCTGCAATAATGGAGAGAAAGCCGGAACAATCGGACAACCCTCTATGAGCAAGCACTTGGTAACAGTGGGATGGAAAACTCCCTTTTAACAGGAAGAAACCTCCAGCAGAACCAGGCTCAGGGATTGGCAGCCATCTGCTGTGAACAGTTGGGGATGAGGGGAAAGAAATAGGACAAAGGACACACTGGATTTAATCATTAGTTACTATTGAACTCTGGCTCTCTTCCACAATGTGGTTTATATACACATAGACAATGAAAAGCTGTGAGTGAAGAAGAAACACTTGGTGCATAATGGGAACCCGCTAGTAGCCTAGGCATTTTGTAGCATAACTAAGGGAATGTTCAGACTCACCTAACTATAAGCTTAAAACTTTCCCTTTTTTTAAAGCATATACAGTACTTAAAACTAGAGAAGATTTCTGTCTGCTATATCTAAACTGTAAGCTGGTTCCATAGAGAGCTGAGGTCTCTGCCTCTTATTTTACTTTTAAATACCCTAGGATACCCTAGTGCTCTATTGCGGTGAAAAGGTAGTATGTCAAGGCCTGTATATGAGGAGGAGGATTTTTAATTTCATTCTGGATTAACAAGGAGCCAGCAAAGATAACAAATGGGATAAATAGGCTCTCTCTTTCTTGTCCCTTTCACTACTCTCGCTGCAGCAGTCTGGATCCATTAAAGCCTTTTCAGGGAGCCTTTAAAACAAACTGATAATAATGAATTACAATAGTCCATCCTAGAAATAGTAAATACATAAACTAGTCAATCACCATCACTCTGTGACAGGATGTTTTGAATTTTAGAGATACAATGCAAATGCCAGGAAGCAGTCCAAAATATTTATTATTTATTTATTAAGAATTATCCTAATCAAAAATTATGTGAAGATTCCTCACAGTATTACTGGAGGCCAAGTTAATATTATCCGAAGTAAGTATCTGGAGAGACACCATTTTTCAAAGGTTTTTAGGGCCAAGTACAGCAACCTTTTTTGTTTCATCTGAATTTCAGGTTTATGTCTTTAAGACATTTCTGCAGTTAAACTAATTTTGTGTGTGTCATTTTTGCTTTGGATAGATGAAATATATTAGATAGATAAAGCCAGAAAAGGGTGGAGTGCCCACTCCGGGTCAGGGACAAGACCCTGCCCCAAGTGGAGGAGTTTAAGTCTCTCGCGGTCTTGTTCATGAGTGATGGGAGAAGGGAGCGGGAGATCAACAGACGGATTGGTGCAGCGGCTACAGTGATGTGGACGCTGTACCGGTCTGTTGTGGTGAAGATAGAGCTGAGTGTAAAAGCGAAGCTTTCAATTTACTGGTCGATCTACGTCCCTACCCTCACCTATGGTCACGAGCTGTGGGTAGTGACCGAAAGAACGAGATCGCGGATACAAGCGGCGGAAATGGGCTTCCTCCGAAGGGTGGCTGGCCTCTCCCTTAGAGATGGGGTGAGACGTTCGGCCATTCGGGAGGGGCTCAGAGTAGAGCTGGTGCTCCTCCACATCGAAAGGAGCCAGCTGAGGTGGTTCGGGCATTTGACAAGGATTTCCTCTGGGCGCCTCCTGGGTGAGGTTTTCCAGGCATGTCCCACCGGGAGGAGGCCCCGGGGCAAACCCAGGACACACTGGAGAGATTATATCTCTCGGCTGGCCTGGGAACGCCTTGGTGTTCCCCCGGATAAGCTGGAGGAGGTGGCTGGGGAGAGGGAGGTCTGGGCTTCTCTGCTTGGGCTGCTGCCCCCGTGACCCAGCCTCGGATAAGTGGAAGGAAATGGATGGATGGATAAAGCTGAGTTTCATCTGCATAGTAATGAAAATATATGCTATGCCTTCTAAAAATACAGCTTTAGGGAAGAATATATAACGTATATAGAACGGGTCCCAGCAACTCCTTCCAAGGAGTCAAAGTTTTTATTTTTCTAATTTTTTTTTTTCTAACAGACATTGGGTGATATATTTGTTAGTGAGTTAGTAAGGAAGCTTTGAAAAATACAGTAATATGTGGATGAGATTAACCATTTGGACATTTACTCACATGACACCATTCATTTTAAAGATGTAAATCCTAAATTTGCTGCTGTTGAAATGTTTAGGTTTGTGGCCAGAGGAGTGGTATGAAGGGGTTTGTGAGATAGCGACCAAATCACCGTTGCTCACGTTTCCCAGTGGAGAACCTTTACGCTCAGAGCTGCAGTACAACTCTGCCCTGAAGAATGATACTGTCACTCCGGTATGAGAATGCCCACATGCAGACAAACACCCAGATATTTTGTAGTTTACCTGCTGGCACTAGTTTTTGATTGATTGTTGAATTCCAGGCAGAGCTGAATGATCTACGCAGTACCATCATCAACCTGCTGGATCCTCCTCCAGAGGTGGCTGCTCTCATCAACAAGCTGGACTTTGCCATGTCCACATATTTGCTGTCTGTTTACAGATTGGAGTATATGAGGTAAGCCAGCATGAGATTTATTTATTTATTTTTTAATATAAAATCTCATGCACATCTTCTCCAGTTTGTACTAGACAAATAAAACTTGACTAGTATATATATCTAACCTTTATTCTGGTTTGTTTTTCTCACATCTGTTAGGATGCTGCATTCTCTGGACTTGGACCGCTTTCAGGTTATGTTTCGATACTTTGAGGACAGAGCAATACAGAAGGATAAATCTGGTAAGAACAACTAAAAAAAAAACATTGAAAAATACCAATTTACTGGCAATCATTTATTCTGCACATTCAAATGTTTTCAGGTATGATGCAGTGTGTGATTGCTGTTAGCGACAAGGTTTTTGAGGTCTTCCTGCAAATGATGGCTGAAAAAGTAAGTAAGATGTTAGAAGTCAAAGTATATCTTAAGTGCATTTATATCTTTACTTTATTATTCAATGTGTTCTTTGGTTAAATACATATTATTTGTCATGACCTGACTCAAAAGAATGTATCAAAAAAGGGCGATCATACATAGCATTAGGTTGCTGTTAAATGATTTATTTAAATAAAAAAACAAATACTGGTTTTTAGTATATATGCAGTGTCTGATTGCAGGGAAAATGTATGAGTGAGTTTGTGCATGCAAAAACAAAAGAGAGTGCTCTACCAGTCAGCAAACAAGGGGATAGGATATGAGTAGAGAAGAGTCAGCCCAAGGGACTGATTTTCCTCAGCACCATCTGCTCAGGTGTGCTGCGTCCTAAACTGGGTCAGCGCCACCCACCAATTACCTGGAATAGATAGACACAGAAAACCAACACCAGCCATGCAGCCGTCACACTCTCCCCCATAAGACAGGGTTCTTACCCTTAACCAAAACAGAAGATAAACTGCACAGATTTAACAATTTGGGTGTTTTAGGTGTGCTATTCATAACCCCTCACATACACTAAAGGTCCATCTCGAGACTCAGTTGTAAATCAAATGTTTTGTAACAGTTAGATAACATTAAGCAAAGCTGAAGTCATACGCATCAGATCCAAAAACTACTGCAGGAGCGCTGGAAGATTATCATATAACATTTAAAAACATGTTGGTTGTGGAACAAAAGTAGACAGGACCCAATTAAATCAATATTAGTCACTCATCTCAAATAGAACACACAGTTAATAGAAAAACACTGCAGTTAAAAGACAAGCACCCAACCAGATTGTGTATAGACTGCAGTCAAACTGATTCAGTTTTTCTTTTCTGACTTTGCTCTCCAGGGAGAAACAAATCAAAAATAAATGACCTACTGTACACATAAACTACACTTAGAAAGGTTCCCAATTGTAGTCTTAAAGGACTCCTGATATACTGATTTTAGATTTAGATTTTATTTTTGGACTCCAATAGAGTTGCTTTACATGATTTACAGAAGCAATTCGGTGAAAGTGAATTTCCAGCTCTCAAATGTGAGGATTTACTGCTTTTCTCAGTTTCATGTCATGTATATCACTGTAAACTATTTTAATGACATAATCTTGAAAATATTCTACAATAAAATTACATAATGTCACACTTTTAGCCAAAAACCAAAGCCCATGAGGAGGAGCTTGAACGCCACGCTCAGTTCCTCCTGGTGAACTTCAACCACATCCACAAAAGGATCCGTAGAGTGGCTGACAAATACTTGTCTGGCTTGGCTGAAACGTGAGCAAGACTTGATGCACATGTTAATTTACTTAAAATATCACCCAGAGTCACATTAACTGTACAAAAGCAGGTTCCTAATTGACTGTATTTTCTCTCTACTTAGTTTCCCCCACTTGTTGTGGAGTGGCCGTGTGCTGAAGACTATGTTGGACATTCTGCAGACTCTTTCCCTCTCACTCAGTGCAGTATGTGATGATCATTAAGACTGTTATACTGCATTTGTATACCATGACTTATGCTGTATAATTTGGATCTATTGCAGGACATTCATAAAGACCAGCCTTATTATGACATCCCAGATACACCATACAGAATCACTGTCCCAGACACGTATGAAGCCAGAGAGGTAATGTTGCTTTACTTATGATTTGTGTTTTTCAGTTCTTTCCCCTATATATGTATTAATTCAATTCAATTTTATTTATATAGCGCCAAATCACAACAACAGTCGCCTCAAGGCGCTTTATATTGTACAGTAGATCCTACAATAATAGATACAGAGAAAAACCCAACAATCATATGACCCCCTATGAGCAAGTACTATTAGATAATAGATTTTTGTAATGTATTGTCTATGTAGTAGATTTTTTTTTCTCATATATAAAAGACCTATTGTCTCTTTGGTTCTAGAGCATAGTGAAGGATTTTGCAGCACGCTGTGGAGAAATTCTTAAAGAGGCTATGAAGTGGGCTCCATCTGTGACCAAATCCCACCTACAGGTAACATTTATTTTGAAACATTCTAGTCTGTAACATGCAAAACTCCACATGTTGCCTTAAACATGCTTTAAACCACTGTGCTTTACCTGGTCTTTTCAGGAGTATCTAAACAAACATCAGAACTGGGTATCAGGCCTCTCCCAGCACACAGGCCTAGCCATGGCCACAGAAAGCATCCTGCACTTTGCTGGTTACAACAGGCAGAGCACCACACTTGGGGTGGGTGATACACTCATCATTTTTACAAATTCAAGTGTTGGGGTTGCTACAAAAAAAAAAAGTTACATGTTTTGTTATTTTAGTAGTAATTTCTCTACTTGTTTTGGAGGAAGGTTCAGAGGAGGTTGGAGATTGTTACCATCATGGGCTCATCCGGTCAGAATGAGAATGAACAGTCAGTAATCACTTGCAGGGTTTTTCGTTTTATTGAATGAATTGAAGGAAAGACACACGGACTGCTATCTCTGAAAGGAAATAAAGTGTGATTTAAGTAACTTAGTAACTCAAAATAATACATAAACTCAGGAGACTCAAACAGAAACTCACCTCAGCTGCCACCTCATGTGAAGAAAGAGTGAGGTGTAGGTGAGTGCAGTCCTTATATAACGAGTGACAGGCGAGTGCAATTAAGGGGAAGCACCACACCCAATCAAATGTGAGGAAAAGAAACAAGGCGCATCTGGTGAAGTGAGTGTTCTGAAAGGTGAGCTTTTACAACACTACTACTACACTACTCTACACTACTTATTACATTACCTTTGAGTTACTCCATAACATCACCTGAAATAAATAACTATCAGTCAGCCATGTAAACCTGAGATAACGGTCCCACACACCAGTACATAATCCTATCATAAGGAGGGCATACATACAGTGCTCCAAAAATATTTTCCCCCAGCCTGATTTTATTTGTGCATCATTTTCATACTAACATGTTTCAGATAAAACAAATTTTAGTTTTGGACAGAAATACAGAACACAGTTTTTATGAAGTCATGAAGTCATTATTTAAAAACTCAATTTTTTTTTATTTATTCTGGTTATCTTTTAATATTAAAATGCATTTACAATGATTTTTCTCCAGAAACATGTACAGATAGAAATGAAGGCTGCAATACTGCAAGCCTGACTCCTTATATCAGCTTTTGTTATCTGTTGCAGATAACACAATCAGGTTCTGGTTGTGTTTTTTTGGCTGGCATGTACTCAACTTTTACATCACCCTGGGTTGTTTGATAGCTTTGTGATAGCATGTTGTCTGTGCAGATGTTTACACTCAAAGTTGCCCTAGCATTAGTGGCAGTGCAGTCAGTCACATGAATTTTTTCTTTGTTTTCTTAGATATTTTAATATATTAATTATCAGAGTACATTATTAGTGATTTTGGGAGAGTTTTGCCATTTAAGTTTTCTTTATGGACTGATCCTAGTGCAGAAATGTGATTTAAAAACCTTCATCAAATAAACCTTCTGTCATTGTAAAGGTAACATTGCTGTGTGTAATAACTCTGTTGCTTTTGTTTGTCTTCAACTGAACAACTATGCATGTGAATCGTTAAATCTGTTTTATTACATTAAAATGTCAGTAGTGCATAAAATATGACCTAAAATATAAAGTGCTCTGGTTTACACAATAGGGTTAGCAAATCTGCAACAAGTTATTCAGTACTCTATTCACACTTGACAGATAAACTTTTGTTCTGGTAACTGTCATGTCACGTTGAGCACAAATGAGTTATGACTGTTTTTTATTAGTAACAGTTTATGCTTATAGTAACAGCGTGGTTTATTAGGCTCTTCTTTGTCACTTTCTCCTTTAGTCCACTCAACTAACTGAGAGACCAGCCTGTGTGAAAAAGGACTACTCAAACTTCATGGCCTCCCTCAATCTCAGGAACAGATACGCTGGAGAGGTAAAGTCACAATAAATATTACAACCCATATTCACTAAAAGACTGGGGGATGGAGAAAAAAAAAAGAAAGAGAAGTTGGGGAGAAAGTTAACAGAGGGAGAGGAAGAGAAACCTGAACCTCAGTGATGCACCCCAAGGCCCCGCATGTGTGTTGGTGTGATGAAGTGGGAGGAGAGAAGCCATTAGGGATGGGGAGGAAAGGATCGGGGTGGCCAAAGTACTCCCCCCCCTGAAGCCAGAGAGGAGGTACTTTGGGGTACCAACCGCTAACCCCCATAGGCACCCCTGTTCCCCGAAATATACCAAGGACAGGCAGGTTTAGGCCCATCAGACGGGGGTCCATGGCAGCAGCAGCACCAAGCTCCACGCAGCCCATGGTGGCCCACCTGACTCCACAGCAAAGGAAAAACTACACCTACTCCAACAATCAGTCCCAAACTACATAAGACAATAGAAGTCACCCAGATTGAGTCCATCCTCCACCTGTGGTAGATTCCCCCCCCCCCCCAAAAGTGTGAAGGGGTGATATTGTCATGAAAAGGGTGGCCTGAGAAAGGATCAGCTAATGCTAACAGCCTTAGTTAAGAGTGCACAACACAGGAACATATACTTGCTAGAGTAACTACAACAAAGTAACATGCCAGTAAAATACTGGAGTTTAATTCATTGGGTAAGTTGTTAGTATAATTAACATCACAAGCAATACTACTAGACAGATCTGGAGGCTGTTTTTTGGCATTTATGTGTTGGCTTAATTTTTGATCCTGGAGGTTCCAAAATCTAGTTGAGTTGTCGGTGGCCATTGTTGATCACACTGTGGATAATGGCCACTTCTAATGGACCAGTACCTGATCTAATGGTCCAGAGATCTCTGTAATGTAATCAAAGGGGGAAAAGTTGGACTGCGTTAGCTATTGCGTTAGTGATCATGGCCACATTATTTTGGTTGAAAAAAACACAGATCCTTCTGAAATTTTGTTTGGTGAATGCTGAAATCTTGAAGGGCTCATAACGGTGCCAGAGTGAAACCAGAATACGATGCAGGCAGATTTTGGAAACATAACATCTGTTTATTAGATACATTTTTCATACTCATAAATGTTCTCTTTCATTTGTAGGTATCAGGCATGATCCACTTTGCCCAGGCAGTCCGGGGACAGTCTGATTTGGGCCGACTGATGATTAAACAGTTGGGAGAAGCATTAGACTCTGCACAGCCTGAGGCTTTTACTGAGGCCATGTTCAAACTGACTGCCTTGCTCATTAGCACCAAAGGTTATTTTCCTTTATGATTTACTTTGGTATTTTGGTATTATAAGTGATGATGTTGGTATCAAATTCATGTCTCTCTCTTTTTTTGGGGGGTGGGGTGGCATTTTCTCTCCTGAATTGCCTGTAGATTGTGATCCTCAGCTCCTGCACCACCTGTGCTGGTCTCCACTCAAGATGTTTACAGAACATGGTATGGAAACAGCAATTGCCTGTTGGGAGTGGCTGCTGGCGGCACGTATAGGAGTGGAAGTACCGGTACATATACTCAAACAAACAAAAACCTCTCTCTCTCTTGTCGGCATACTTGAATTGCATACATAGTGTCAGTATCCTGTATGCCCGCTTAGTTCATGCGAGAGATGGCAGGAGCATGGCAGATGACTGTGGAGCTGAAGATGGGCTTGTTCTCGGATGCTCAGGTGGAGGCTGATCCTCTCGCTGCCTCAGAGGAAAGCCAGCCCATCCCCTGCCCTCCAAATGTCACCCCTCACCATGTCTGGATAGAGGTTGGATAACTGCCAATCTGCTTGAGTTGTTTATGTGTTATCTTGTTAGTCAATTCTTTTTAAATTCTCGCCTTGTTCTGTGTCTCCCTGTTCAACTAGTTTCTGGTCCAGAGATTTGAGATCGCAAAATACTCCAGTGCAGATCAAGTGGAAATCTTTGGCAGTTTGATGCAGCGCTCTCTGTCTCTAGATGTTGGTGGGGCTAAGAGTAGCCTCAACCGCCATGTAGCTGCCATTGGACCTCGCTTCAGGTATATACCAGTCACAGTGTTTACATAGTATTTATGGTGTGCTTATACAAAATCTCTTTCCTCTATGAAAACCATCTTTCTCTGTGCTCTAGGCTGCTCACTCTTGGTCTGGCTTTGCTCCACTCTGACGTCGTCACCAATGCAACTGTAAGAAATGTGCTCCGGGAGAAGATCTACTCTACTGCCTTTGATTACTTCAGGTAGTCAGACTCAGATGCTTGCTCTTCTTCAATCAAATCTAGGCTTACAACAAGTTAACATTTTTCAGTGCTAGCTGATTAGCATGCTAACTTCAGCATGTCTGTCTTCAATCTTTCACCCAACCTCCTAGCTTTTGTTTATTTGTATTCTGTTATTGTTTGTAATTAAATTTACATTGAAACTTTTTAAACCATCCTATATATTATTACTTTGTAAAGTAAAAACTTATAAATAAACTATAAACTAGTGACAATTCATCAATTCATCCAACAACTGGCAAGGCAGTTAATCAATCACAAAAAATGTAAAACTTGAAAAAGTGCTGCATGAAAAGGGGAAAAAATTGAACCATTTTGGAACGAAAGTCAGGTCTCTGTCATTCTCGCTGTCTTTAACGTGTTGAGCTCTTTTAATCTGGACCAAAGAAGTAAGTTAACCAGCATTCCAACCTTTAGAGCCAAGATAGCCTTAGGGTTAGCCCTAACCCTAATTCAGGATTTAGGTAGTATTAGCCCTAATCTAACCCTAGTGAGACATTTAATGTTTTTGTCTTTCTAGTGTGGCTCCAAAGTTCCCCACCCAGGGTGACAAGCGTCTCCGTGAGGACATCAGCATCATAATCCGTTTTTACGCCAGCATCCTGTCTGACAAGAAGTACCTGGCAGCATCTCATTTGGTCCCACCTGGTGAGCTTGGTACTACCCCAGCCCCGAGCACGCTCTCTGCTGGGATATTTGGATCGCTTATCGTGTCCAGCACTTCTCCAATATCTATCTTAAGTAAGCCTAAAGCAGTGGAGCTTCGACTGCATTGCAGCAGGGGCATGCTTTTACGTGGGTCAAATTTGAGATTGCTTTTCCTCACAGTCCTCCTGATATATGCATCTTTGATATTGATTTAATTTACTTTTCTTTTCTCTTTTCCCTAAACGTTCTTATTTTGGTTCCTCTCATATGCTCAGTTTTTCTACTCTTTCTTTACTCATTTCCTCTACTTTGTGATCCATAAAATTTAAGTCAGTTTTTGTCTTAAATATTTAGAAGCTGTGAGGAAAAGCACAAATTTGTCAGCTGCGTCAACATGCATGACTACTCATCATATCAGCCCACCAGTCCCCCAAGTGATCATTTTTAAAGAAACCATAAATTGAAAAAATATTTTTTCTTCCAACCAAGAAATTTCCTTCCTCTTCATACCCAAAGACCTTGACAAAAGGCAAGGCAAGGCAAGGCAAGGCAAATTTATTTGTATAGCACAATTCAGAGACAGAGACATTAGAAACAAAAACAAATAAAAAGCACGATTTAAAATTGATTAAAACAAACAAACTAACTAAACACACACATTTCACACCTGTTCGCGCAATCTGAACCCTTATCGTAAGGGGAGCTACCAGTCCTTCTGTGGACGAGCTACTTTCTATTTTAAATTCCCTGAATTTAAAATACTCTCTAGACCCAGTCTAGACCCAGTTGGGGAGCTACCCAGAGCTCTAATCCCACACCTGTTCGCGCGATCTGAACCCTTATCGTAAGGGGAGCTACCAGTCCTTCTGTGGACGAGCTACTTTCTATTTTAATTTTAAATTCCCTGAATTTAAAATACTCTCTAGACATTGTCTCATACTCATACAGAGCATACCTCTTCAGGTCCTCAGTGCAAATTCTGGCTCAGATTACTTGCATCCGATCCAGTATCAGTGCACCGGCTACCTACATTTATTCCGGAGTCCCTCGATTTCAAATACATGATCATGACATCAGCAGAGGGCTAAGTGACATGGTTCATCTCGCTCTTCAACAACTCCCTCATTATCGCTCATATTGTTTGTGACTGTTTTATGTGTAAGGAACGCTCTTGTATAAGTTTAATAAAGCACAGATGTAGATGTGCTGAGAGTAACCCACTGCGTTCATGGCCACACTGATTCTGTTTGCATTTGAACAGATAATCAGGATGCATCTTTGAACAGCCTGTCAGTGATGAACGCTGCTGATCTAAGGGGCAACATGGATTCCAGCTCCCGCACCCAACAGACTGGCCAGGGATGGATCAATACGTACCCGCTGTCGAGTGGCATGTCCACCACATCCAAAAAATCAGGTAGAACCTAGGTTCAGTGTTTCGGACAGTACAAAGAATGAATATTTTATTCAAGAGCCTTTCGAAACTGATAATAGCACTTCCTTCAATAATCAAATATAGTTTAAATGTTGCTAAAGTGTGTCATATCACAATGTCATATCATTTGTTTTAAGAGTGTGACTGACATTTCCTTTCAGTCTGGGTGGCATCATAAAATGTAAAATGAAAATATGGACATTAAAAGCATCTTTGATATAGCAAAAACTCTTGCAGTCATTTGGACTGCACTGCTCTAGACTTTGAACTGGTGAAATATCCAAGCCATCACCTTTTCCAAATCAAAGAGACGAACACAGATGGGAAATGTCTGTGAGACATTAAGGTACAAAAAGTCAGTCCATAAAGGACTTATGGACTGACTTTTTGTACCTTTTCTTTTTCTAGGCACATCCAAAAAAAGTAACAGAGGAACGCAGCTTCACAAATACTACATGAAACGCAGGACTCTGTTGCTGGCATTACTGGTGAGTAATATGAGTGTTTTGACTGCACTTAAGATGCCTGTTCATGATAAAACCTTCTTAATGCTCTTGACCTCTGGTTTGTGTACCCAGGCTAGTGAGATCGAACGGTTGACAACGTGGTACAACCCCCTCTCCACACAAGAGCTGGCCATTGCCACAGAGCAGTCAGTGGAGACAAGCATCGCCAACTGGAGGTCCAAATACATCAGCCTGACAGAGAAACAGTGGAAGGACCACGTCAACCTGGCCTGGAGTATCGCTCCATACCTGGCTATGCAATTACCAACAAGGTGGCCAATCTCTAAGAACAATCTCTAATAACTCATTTGTTTAAATGAGTATTAAACCGGTTTTGCCATTTAATTTCCCATTAACTAAATCCATGAGAGCACTGTTCTGAGTCATCAGGGCCAACTGTCCATTTTGTGCATAAGATAGATCAAATCATCTTAAAGGCCTTTGTCAGAGTTTTACCCCTGATACTGCTGGATAAACTCACTCAGGAACCAGGTCACATAGAGCTCAAGTTTTCACTCGCGAGAGGGAAGCAGTTGTCTCCAACCCACTTCAACTTGCTTTCCCCCTGCAGGTTGTTTTTATTGGTTACACACATGGATATTCATAAAGCTGTATTACCTATGAGAAATTACTATAACTGGTTACAAAGGGTGATTGTGCTGTGCAAGCATGATTATACATTGTGTGTGGTTATATGATGGGAGTGCAGCTCTCCCAGATTGTCGTTGGTAGAATCTGTTCTTCTCAAGGCTGCTTGTTCCCCTTATCAATGTCATGCACGTAGTCATATGCGTAGGTTACCTAGATAGCAAACAGAAGCATTCTAGCTTTCTAAATGGCATTATGTAGCTTTTTAAATGGCAACCTACAACACATACATTAAACCTAACAGCCTATCACTTGACTCACCCTACATAATGTTACACCCCGGCCTAGGCAACCGGCGTGCAACGCAGGAAAATAAAAATAAGGAAAAAACACACGACAAAAAAACCCACTAAGGCTCTCCACCAAATTCCCAAAACGGAGGTGTCTCAAAACGAAAGTATTGACAAAACCCATTTACAGCTATTTACAACAAACTATTTATTTACAACACGGGGGGAGATCACGACCATGACATACTGAAACACAAGGCTTAAATACATAGAAGGAGCAATCAGGGAATGGACCACAGGAGGGAAACACAGCTGGGGCAAATTAGACCTGACGAGACAAGGAAACGTAAACTGAACACACTAAGATAACACAGACTTTCAAAGTAAAGCAGGAAATACATGACAGTCACGCAAAAAAACAAAAAACTGACAACACCGAAACATAACAATAAGCTTTGAAAACAATGTTGCCACTAAAAAAGGTCAAGACACAACATCCCTCCTTGTGGTCTGCTGCTTGTAATAGTCGAAATTCTGACTAAGAAGAAACCAGTGCTTAATGTAAAGGTGTGACTATCCTTCTTGTACTAGAGTGTAGATTTTCATTTTAAATGTCTTATTTTCCAGATTTAAGAATGACGCCATTGTTGCTGAAGTGACCAGACTTGTGAGACTGGACCCCGGTGCAGTCAGTGATGTGCCTGAGGCTGTCAAGGTGAGATCAGGTGTTCTTGTAAAGCTTGATTTTGGAAATCTTATATGTTTAATGTGACTGAATGTTATATAATTATCCTTCTTTAGTTCCTGGTGACATGGCACACTATTGATGCTGACTCCCCTGAGTTGAGCCACATCTTGTGTTGGGCTCCGGCTGACCCACCCACTGGTCTGTCCTACTTCAGCAGCATGTACCCTCCTCATCCCCTTACTGCTCAGTATGGGGTTAAAGTGCTACGCTCTTTTCCTCCAGTAGGTCAAGATTTGTTTTTGGGTTTTTTGGGCTCAGCATGGCATTGACTCAAGCTGCTTTCATTAATGTGCTGAACTTTTTAAAAGGATTAGACATTAAAATGTCTTCTTTAAACTGCCAGCTCTCCTGTACAAAGCAATGTGGATTTGCACCAAGAATTGCTTAGTAATTATCGGTTACACTATATTGCCAAAAGTATTTGCTCGTCTGCTTTCACATTCATAGGAGTTTTAGTGATGTCCCATTCTTAATCCATAGGTTTTAATATGATGTTGGCCCTCTGCAGCTATAACAAATTCATCTCTTTTGGTAAGGCTTTCCACAAGATTTCAGTGTGTTTATGGGAATATTTGACCATTCTTCCAGAAGCACGTTTGTTAGGTCAAACACTGATGTTGGACAAGAAGGCCTGGCTCACAGTCTCCGCTCTAATTCATCTCAAAGGTGTTCAGGTTGAGGTCAGGACTCTGTGCAGGCCAGTCAAGTTCTGCCACATCAAATTTGCTCATAAAAGTCTTTCTGGACCTTGCTTTTTGCAGTGGTCATGTTGGAACAGGAAGGGGTCATCCCCAAACTGTTTCCACAAAATTGGGAGCATGAAATTGTCCACAATGTCTTGGTATGCTGAAGCATTAACAGTTCCTTTCATATTAACTAAGGGGCCGAGCCCAGCTCCTGAAAAGCAACCCCAGACCATGATCCCGCTTCCATCAAACTTTACACTTGGCACAGTGCAATCAGACAAATACCGATACTGTTCTCTTGGCAGACTCGTCAATCATATTGCCAGAAAGAGAAGCATGATTCGTCACTCCAGAAAACACATCCTCACTGCTCTAGATTCTAGTCGTGGCATTCTTTGCATTGGCTCGCATTCTCCCAATCTCTCTGTGCACTGTTCTTGAGCTAATCTGAAAGTCATGGGAAGTTTGGACGTCTGTAGTGATTGACTCAGCAGAAAGCCGACTTCTCCGCGCTATGGGCCTCACCATCTGCTGACCCTAATCTGTGATTTTACGTGGCTGACCAATTTGTAGCTGAATTGTTGTCATTCCCAATCACTTCCACAAGCGGTTGACGGTGGAATATTTAGTAGAGAGGAAATTTCACAACTGGACTTAATGCACAGGTGGCATCCTATCACGGTACAACGCTGGACTTAAGTGAGCTCCGGAGAACAACCTATTCTTTCCCAAATGTTTGTAGAAGACGTCTGAATGCATAGGTGCTTGTTTTGGCCATGGAACACCTGAATTCAATTATTTGAGTGAATACTTTTGGCAGTATAGGGTATAGTGTTCCCGGCATAAAACAAGCTTCCGATGGGCCACATGAGAGAGAATCATGAGGCAGTGTCTTGACCTGAGTTCATGTATGACAGCAACTTCAGAGGAGAACTTACTTTGTTCCTCCTTTAACACTGTCACAGCACCAAGATGGAGGATACAACTTCATAAAAACAAATCTTTCTTAATAGTTCTTCATTGTTCTTCCTAGGATGCCATCTTATTCTACATTCCTCAGATTGTTCAGGCTCTGCGTTATGACAAGGTAATATTAACAATTCCACCTTTGCTGATTTCATGACGAAAAATTCCATGCTCTACTCTGTGATAACTTGGGAGATTTTTTTTCCTTCTACAAGAAGTTCATCATATTCCCTTCCAAAAAAAAGAGAGATATTTGTGTTTTTGCTAAAGGCAAAGGAGAGATATATAATTAACTATAATAATAATACCAATATAAGCTTTGTCTACTCTCTATCTCGCTTAGATGGGTTACGTGAGAGAATATATCCTGTGGGCAGCCCAGAAGTCTCAGCTTCTTGCCCACCAGTTCATCTGGAACATGAAGACCAACATCTTTATGGATGAAGAGGGCCACCAAAAGGACCGTGAGTAGAGACTTATCAAATTGTGTTAGTTAGTCTGAGTAACAAAGAAAGAAAAGAATGAAAAACATTTAGTTTCACCCTAACTTCCCGTTATATTAAAACCTACATGAACACACTCAGTAAAAATACTTTTTCAGAGTAAAACATGAAACTGTTTCTATTCAGCTCTTCAAGCTCCTTCAACTGTCTCGTACAAAGTTAACCTAGTTAAGTCCAATTTAAGCTTTTTGAGAAATAAGTAATAGATAAAAGGTGACCATAAAAAAGTAAAGGCAGAATAAGTTTAATAAGAAATAAGTGACATATTCTATTATCATGAATTGACTCAAAGTGGGTAACCAAGAAAGAGTTCACACAAAAAGTTTACTTAAATAAAAGATAATCTATTCAACATAACCTAACCAAAAAAACAAAGATAACCAATGTATTGATGCAAGATGGATTGGAAGAGACAGACTTAACAGTTCTTCGGGGCCAACTTTTATAGCCTGAGGTGAGCTGCATTAGCTGACGATCCTCCCATGCCAGTCATCAGTAACAGCAGACCAGGAATTTCTTGAGAGTGAGAGGGGCTTTACACCCCCATTCTTAAAAAATCAGTGTTCCACCTTGACATTGGAAATTAATCTAAAAGAAATCATAATTTATTAACAATAACGCAACATTAAAACATATCCCATTTAATAAAATGGCCAGCTGATCCATCAAGCCAGCTGATACCAACACCCTTACCAAATCCAATTCCTCTAGCCAGCAACATGAGTAACCTGGATCAAATTCAAAGAGGACAAAAGAAAACGCTAGTAAAAATGCTAGATATAGCTGGAGATTTCTAATAGTGTAACTGGCATATAGAAGAGTGCAAGTGGTATCTCCCCCAGGTTGCAAATCTGTTCTTGCAAATAGGTTTTATAAGGAAAAATTCTTAAACCTCATAATAGCGGGGGGGGGGGAAGAAATCAAAGGGTTGCTCCAGATCTGAAGAACTAGAATCACAAGCCACACTAACCATAATGTCCAAGACATTACCAAATAGGGAACCAAACTACAATAATGTTCGCACCTATTAAAAGTACATTTAAGGAGCTCTACACCAAAGCTACTAGACCAAGCTACCAAGTTAATTCTTTACCGCACTATTCAAGATCAGCTCTGCAGTTCTTACCAGTTATGTCTATCGACATAAGTACCAGAGGTGGGACCAAGTCATTGTTTTGCAAGTCTCAAGTAAGTCTCAAGTCTTTATCCTCAAGTCTCAAGTCAAGTCTCAAGTAATGTCAGGCAAGTCAGAGTCGAGTCTCAAGTCACTGGTGTAAAAGTCCGAGTAAAGTCACAAGTCTGAAACTTTGAATTTCAAGTCCTTTCGAGTCTTTAAAAAAAAAAAACGAAAAAATAATGTCTCGTTCTTTCGGTCACTACCCACAGCTCGTGGCCATAGGTGAGGGTAGGGACGTAGATCGACCGGTAAATTGAGAGCTTCGCTTTTACACTCAGCTCCCTCTTCACCACGACTGACCGGTGCAGCGTCCGCATTACTGCAGCCGCAGCCCCAATCCGTCTGTCGATCTCCAGCTCCCTTCTCCCATCACTCGCGAACAAGACCCCGAGATACTTGAACTCCTCCACTTGGGGCAGGAACTCATCCCCGACCCGGAGTGGGCACTCCACCCTTTTCCGGCTGAGAACCATGGTCTCAGATTTGGAGGTGCTGATCCTCATTCCCGCTGCGTTACACTCGGCTGCGAACCGCTCCAGTGCGAGCTGGAGGCCCTCACCCGATGAAGCCAACAGAACCACATCATCCGCAAAAATCAGAGATGAGATTCTGAGGCCACCAAAGCGAAAGCCCTCCGCCACTTGGCTGCGCCTAGAAATCCTGTCCATAAAAATTATGAACAGAACCGGAGACAAAGGGCAGCCTTGGCGGAGCCCATCACCCACCGGGAACGAGTCCGACTTATTGCCGGCAATGCGAACCAAGCTCTTGCAACGGTTGTATAGGGATTGAATGGCCCGTAGCAATGGGCCAGACACCCCATACTCGCGCAACACCTCCCACAGGACGCCCCGAGGGACACGGTCGAATGCCTTCTCCGGGTCCACAAAACACATGTAGACTGGTTGGGCAAACTCCCATGCACCCTCAAGTATCCTCGAGAGGACAAAGAGCTGGTCCAGTGTTCCGCGACCAGGACGAAAACCGCATTGTTCCTCCTGTATCCGAGGTTCGACTAGCGGACGAACCCTCCTCTCCAGCACCCTGGCATAGACTTTCCCGGGGAGGCTGAGGAGTGTGATCCCCCTGTAGTTGGAACACACCCTCCGGTCCCCCTTCTTGAAGATGGGGACCACCACCCCGGTCTGCCAGTCCACAGGTACTGCCCCTGATCTCCACGCAACATTGCAGAGACGTGTCAACCAAGACAGCCCTACAACGTCCAAAGCTTTCAGGAACTCGGGGCGGACCTCATCAACACCAGGGGCTCTGCCACCAAGGAGTTGTTTAACTACCTCAGTGACCTCGCCCCCGGAAATCGGTGGGTCACACCCCTCATCCCCAGACTCTGCTTCCTCCCCGGAAGACGTGTCAGTGGGATTAAGGAGGTCCTCGAAGTATTCCTTCCACCGCCCGACAATTTTCTCAGTCGACGTCAACAGCGCTCCGCCAGCACTATACACAGTGCAGGTAGAGCACCGCTTTCCCCTCCTGAGACGCCTGACGGTTTGCCAGAATCTCTTCGAGGCAGTCCGAAAGTCTTTTTCCATGGCCTCTCCGAACTCCTCCCACACCCGAGTTTTTGCTTCAGCCACTGCCCGAGCCGCATTCCGCTTGGCCTGTCGATACCTGTCGGCTGCCTCCGGAGTCCCACAGGCTAACCAAGCCCGATAGGCCTCCTTCTTCAGCCTGGTGGCTCCCTTCACCTCTGGTGTCCACCATTTGGTTCGGGGATTACCACCACGGCAGGCACCAACCACCTTGCGGCCGCAGCTCAATGCAGCAGCTTCGGCAATGGAGACGCTGAACATGGTCCATTCGGACTCAATGTCCCCAGTCTCCCTCGGAATGCTGTTGAAGCTCTGCCGGAGGTGTGCGTTGAAGATCTCGCGGACTGGGGCCTCTGCTAGACGTTCCCAGCACACCCTCACTACGCGTTTAGGTGCACCAGGTCTGTCCAGCGTCCTCCCCCGCCACCTGATCCAACTCACCACCAGGTGGTGATCAGTTGACAGCTCAGCCCCTCTCCTAACCCGAGTGTCCAGAACATATGGTCGCAGGTCTGGTGATACGATTACAAAATCGATCATCGACCTACGGCCTAGAGCATCCTGGTGCCACGTGCACTTATGGACACTCTTATGTTATTCCATGTCCCTATTGCCAGTCTTGGCAGCCGGGGGTCGGTCCGCCAGGGCCTCCGCTCCTGGCCGCCACCCGGCTCACAATGCACCCGACCCCTATGGCGCCTCCTGCGGGTGGTGGGCCTGCGGGAGGATGGGCCCATGTCTCCTCTTCGGGCTGTGCCCGGCCGGGCCCCATGGACTAAGGCCCGGCCACCAGACGCTCGCCCTCGGGCACCCTCCCCGGGCCTGGCTCCAGGGCGGGGCCCCGGTAACCCTATCCCGGGCAGGGTAAACTGTTCCCTCGAGATCGCGGATACAAGCGGCGGAAATGAGCTTCCTCCGAAGGGTGGCTGGCCTCTCCCTTAGAGATAGGGTGAGAAGTTCGGCCATCCGGGAGGGGCTTAGAGTAGAGCAGCTGCTGCTCCACATCGAAAGGAGCCAGCTGAGGTGGTTCGGGCATCTGGCAAGGATGCCCCCTGGGCGCCTCCTGGGCGAGGTGTTCCAGGCATGTCCCACCGGGAGGAGGCCCCGGGGCAGACCCAGGACACGCTGGAGAGATTATATCTCTCGGCTGGCCTGGGAACGCCTTGGTATTCCCCCGGACAAGCTGGAGGAGGTGGCTGGGGAGAGGGAGGTCTGGACCTCTTTGCTTAGGCTGCTACCCCCGCGACCCGACCTCGGATAAGCGGATGAAGATGGATGGATGGATGGATGGAAAAAATAATGTTGCAGTTATGCTAAATGTAAATATTAGACCATGTAATTTTTAAATCTGTGTTTTTCTCAACACATGACGAAATAGTGAACGTAGAAAATATACACAAATTGTGAAATTGCACCTCTATAAAATGCAGCTCAATTAAACCTAGCTCCTAGAATAATTTTCACCGAGAGTTCTGAGATAAGCCGCATGTTATTCTTGGATGCGGTTGTAGGACCGGCTTTAAAATCGCATGACAAAAATATCATATACATTAAAAAAACTGCATTACCAACGTAGCCTGGACAACATTTGCTAGTTAGATGAAGTCAGCTATCTCATCGTAGCATATTTATATGCATATTTATAATCATACGGTTCTTGGAGTGAGTGCATACACTCATGAAGTTTAGTAACTTCAGGTCACTGCAACAAGCCCAGGTACAGTTTACCGCCGGATGGGTACAGGACCTTGAAATGCACCGTGTAGAACGAAAGACCATCGTACGTATCATAAGTTTACCAGTCTCACAAATTGTCTTCATAAATACACATTCGTTAACCGTTTATTAATAGGACCTTTGAGTTCAATGGTAATTAATTAGCAGTGGAAATAATTTCTGGTAGCATCACAGAAATGTAGCAGTGACAATAATATTGTATGCTGTAATCGTACTGGGCAATTGGTGATACAAAAACCTGTTTTACCCTGTGAATAAAAGTATATGTTTTTGTCAATGTACCATAATAACAGAAGCGAAACACAATATTGTGTCAGGACAATTCACTATTTATGCACAATAAACAAAGGAGCATAGCGCAACAATTTCTGTTCAGCGCCAGACTTGCTTGTAACCTATATCACCAATTATGTTAAGAAAAATGACGTATTAACTACTACAAAACACTGACCTTCGTGTAAATGCTTGGAGCAGACTAACCTGTGAGCTGGAGGGTTCTGGGACGTTATATTTGGTCTTTGGATGGCTGCAATCCAGGCCACCCGTCGCCTGTTTGTTACTTCGGAAACATGGCTTGAACAATTTCTCTTCAAGACGTAATCCGATAACAACCGATCTCTTTACCCGTCGGCTTCCCGTGGCTGTCATGCGACCGGCTATTGCAGTTAATAATACAACAGCTTCTTGCCATTTTTGTGTTTCTTTTTATCGCTGTGTGACTGATTTCAATTGAAAGCCTGCGTGCGCTAGTACCTCTTGCCACGAGTTCCCAGAATTCTTTGCGGTTTTACCCCTGAATGACGTCACATTTCAATCTCTATATAATATGTATGTTAAATTATATATTTGGGGTGAAATATCAAGTCTTTTCAAGTAAACCGGTTCAAGTCCAATTCAAGTCCCAGGTCATCAGTGTAAAAGTCCAAGTCAAGTCACAAGTCTTAGAACATTTTTTCAAGTCAAGTCTAAAGTCATAAAATTAATGACTCGAGTCTGACTCGAGTCCAAGTCATGTGACTCGAGTCCACACCTCTGATAAGTACTGTACACCATGCCCACTATTGAAAAGTCCAGTCATGTGTTCTGTAAGGCCACAACCCATGAGACAAATGAAGTGGTGAAGCACCAGCAATAGAGCCCACGCTCCCCAGCTCTAGTTCATCAGTTCAAATTATAGACAGATACTGGTGGTGAAAATATTCACCACCAGTATGATCAACTTTTGCTGGTACAATAGACTTTCTGGAAACCAGAGAAATGCTCTCGCGATATTGTCTTCAACCACATTCCCTGCTGCACTAAAGAGAAACCATAGTTGATCTCCTATTGACATCAGACATTTAAGCGTACTAAAGAGTAATTCACCCTTCAGATGAAACCAAGCCAAGCAAAGTGGAGGCTATTTGTGCTCTCTTCCGAAATCAACCACATCAACCATGTATATTAGTCTGCATATTAAAGTATACTTGGGCATGATACATGAGTTGCCCCTACTGTGTTTCTCAAAATGTGAATCTGTGTGAAATATATATATAGAGAGAGCTTAGACATAGAAAAAAGTGTGTGTGTGTGTGTGTGTGTGTGTGTGTGTGTGTGTGTGTGTGTGTGTGTGTGTGTGTGTGTGTGTGTGTGTGTGTGTGTGTGAATAAGACACGCTGTATAAAGAGCGTTCTCAAGTAGAATAGAAAAACTTAAAATTAAAATGAATGTTTCTGCATAGCTGACATTGGGGAGCTGTTGGAGCAGATGGTTGAGGAGATCATAGGTTCACTGTCAGGTCCTGCCAAAGATTTCTACCAGAGAGAGTTTGACTTCTTCAACAAAATCACCAACGTTTCTGCTATTATCAAGTAAGTCTGTTAGCTAGTATTCTGCTATTCGTCAGGGTCATGTATGTGCCACAACCACAGAGAAGTTTAAATTCTGCTGTGTTTGCTGCTTGCGTTTTTTCCCCAGGCCAGTTCCAAAGGGCGAGGAGAGAAAGAGAGCTTGCCTCAAAGCTCTGTCCGATATCAAAGTGCAGCCAGGTAAGGAACTGTCTGAGAGTAAATATGGGTGACTCTGTAAACTGTAAACTTCAGTTAAATCTTCTGTGAAAACAGTTTTAATCTAAATATTTTAACATCACATTGTATAAACAGGGTGGGGTGCTCAAAATGACATCATATAGAGAGTAGAAAAAATGACTTTGGTCATGTTTATTATGAGCATCCACCAGTACTTTACATTCATTATAATACATTATAACGTAAAACTCTGTACCGAGCTTGTACCGAGCACAAAAAAAGAAAAAATATCAATATGAAGATGAATAAATATATTTGCTTGCTCTTAGTCATATTGTATGGGTCTGAATAAGGATCCTGCAGCTATTTATTTACAGCTATTTATTTACAGACTGTCCCTTAAAGACTGACATAATGTTCTTTCATTGTGTCAAATGATATTGATAAAATATCTTCACTTCACAGAATCAGTTTGTTTTGTTTCCAACCACTTGGCCAATATATAATACCTTTTGTCCATACAGACAAACACATGCCTGTGTTGTGATATTAAAACATTGCATAAGCCCTTTGTGTTGTAAAATAAAGGTGTATTCTTATAAGGTCAGGCATTTCTTCCTGCCTGTATAGTGTGCTTCTTAGGAGAGCAAGCTTTGAAGGGACAGATTAAAGTGTTTAATTTACACCCTTTAATTTTGCAAACAGATTTAAGGTTACAACACTGCTCTGTTTACTCTGACAAAGACACAGCAGTGCTGAAATGTTAGTCTGCTTGCAAAGGCAGAAGCTGTGAATTAGTCATTGTGCTTCAGGCCCTTCTGTCCTTTCAGAGTTTGAGTCTTATGTTTGTATCTTGTCTTGCTGTTTTCTAGGTTGTTACCTGCCTAGTAATCCTGAAGCCATAGTACTGGACATTGATTATAAGTCTGGAACACCTATGCAGAGGTAATGTTGGGTCTTTATTTGTGTTTCATAGAGTAGTTTCAATGATAAGTATGACTGTAACTTATGGGAGTGTGTGTTTGTGTGTGTTTTCTGTGTTTGCAGTGCTGCCAAGGCTCCCTATCTGGCCAAGTTCAAGGTGAAGCGCTGCGGAGTGAGTGAACTAGAGAGGGAGGGTCTCCGCTGCCCATCAGACTCTCTGGAAGATGGAGAGGAGAATCCAGATGGGTCAAAGAAGGTTTGCTGGCAGGCAGCCATCTTCAAAGTGGGAGATGACTGCAGACAGGTACAACATTTTTCTTTGACTGATCAATGTCTGACACTTCATACTTCATACTCAGACTAATTTCCCTTTGTGTTTTTCTCATTTCTCCAGGATATGCTTGCACTGCAGATCATAGGGCTTTTTAAGAATATCTTCCAGCTGGTCGGCCTGGATCTGTTCGTCTTCCCTTACAGAGTGGTGGCTACTGCACCAGGGGTATGGTTCTTTTCTCTATTATCTCTTCTGCTTTCATCTCCTTTCCCCATTTACTTCAGTACTAAGTATAAAAAATTTAATGTTTGGTTTTTTTTTAAAGATTTTTCATCATTTTATTTATAAAAATAATAAAACAATCCAAATAGAACACTATAGGAATGGAATACAGCTCTATGTAGCTCTAATTCAAATTGCATTGTCCCCAAAATGTTTTATTTTATTTACAGCTTAAAATACTATGTAAAATTCATTCTGACACATCTACATCCCCCTATTGTTTCAGTGTTTGTGCAGGTCAGCAGCATCTTGACAAACTGGAACATGCTAGAACAACTCTTCTAGTTACTCAGTAAAAATAAATATAATGCTACAATGCAAAGCAACTGCCAGCTTGGCTCTGTTCCAGCTGTGCGTACCTGTCCTGGTTTGACATCACTGTAAACCAGTACAGTGTTCAGATACACAGAAAGAAAAAACAATGGTATCGTCATATTACATACTTTGTAATTGTACTCTAAAACAATGAAAACATTAATTTTGTATAAAATATCATCTTTAAATGTAAAACAAATGCCAGTAAGCTTCCACATTATTTTTTTAATACTGTAAATGAGCATATCCAGTTTTGTTGTTGTTGTTGTTGTTATTCTAAAGACAGACCATGTTGGAAAGTGACCCTAAACATGGTGTATGTTTTACAAACTAATGTACATCAGAGAAAATTGTCGACTTGACATTTTGTGCATCTGCCACAAAGTTACTTTTCCTGTAAGCTTCTGTAGCTGATTTGGGATAATAATGGAGGATATTCTGATAAACGTCACACATCATCGCATCTTCTCTTTCTCAGTGTGGTGTGATTGAGTGCATCCCAGATTGTAAATCCAGGGACCAGCTCGGTAGACAGACTGACTTTGGGATGTATGATTACTTCCGGAATCAGTATGGTGATGAATCCACCCTCGCCTTCCAGAAGGTATGGAGCTTAAATTATGGGACTGTTCAAATCAGTTTTGCATATTTCATAATGAGGATTTATTAATAGTTCAGAAGGATTCATAGATGGTTCTAGTATGACAGGCTAGCCTAGTAGGATAGCCTGCCAAAAAGTCTTTTCAAAGTAAAAGTGGAATAGCCATATGGCTACAGACATGTGTCATGAGTGTCTTAATCTGAAATTTAGTAATCACAGGGACACGTTGTGGTTGGTGGTTTGCTGTCTGCCATTTTAAGCAAGGTGTATATTGCTAGCTTAGTCTGCTAAGACTCCTAAACATCAGTTCAGTAACAGTGACCAGCATGTGTGGACCAATAGTAGCACAAAGCGGTTTTCAACACACAACGTTGTGGTTTAAGCGAGAGAAATCACATACATTGTTTGTGTGGTCACAGCAGAGATATATGACTCTCTTATCTCTTAGCGTGACACAGGAGCCATCTTATGAGACAAACTAAACTAACTATTTATCAAGCTATAGTTGAGTGTAACCAGCCATACAAAAGACCTAACTGAAAAACAATTTTGTTGTGAAGCTTTCTTAACAGTCACTTCTCTTAATAGACGAACTTAACCTGCTTATCTAAAACTGTACTGAAACACTAGTAAAATCTGACACCTGTCACTCTTTATGATGTTCCTTGTGAGAATGGATAAGATGTGTATAAAATTAATAATGAGTTCCTGACATGAAAAGAAAAAGGCATATCCATGATCCTTGTGTGAATGCTTTGGGGAACATGGACTGAACTGTCATCTGAGAGATTTTTGAATGTGGTGGGAAATGGGCATAATTATACCTCATTATCACGTGTATGTTCTTTCTGCAGGCTCGTTACAACTTCATCCGCAGTATGGCCGCTTACAGCCTTTTGCTGTTCCTGCTGCAAATCAAAGACAGACACAATGGCAACATCATGCTGGACAGCAAGGGCCACCTCATTCACATAGGTGGGGTGTATGGGTTTGATCTGGATGTTTCCTTTTTTAACTATTATTATTTTATGATTTTTTTTTAACTGTAAGCTTCTTGAATGTCCACACTTGATGGACAGTAGTTATTATTGTTTCAGTAATTATGATCATTATTAACTTGTATTAATTATTGCTCAAATCTGGGCACAATGTTTTAAAACAAGATTGTACACACCAGAGAGTAGTTTCATCAATTTTACAGAGTAATGGTGAAGGTTTGGCATATTTTGTTTGCAGATTTTGGCTTCATGTTTGAGAGCTCTCCTGGAGGTAACCTGGGCTGGGAGCCAGACATCAAGCTGACAGATGAGATGGTGATGATCATGGGAGGCAAGATGGAGGCCACACCTTTTAAATGGTTCATGGAGATGTGTGTCAGAGGATATCTGGCTGTACGGTATGAAGCTGAAAAAACAAACAAACAAGTGTCTCGCGTACTTTTTTAGAAAACAAAAAGGCTTTCATGGTTGTTTAAAGGTTTCTGTCAATTAATTTTTGTGCTACATGGGATTCATCTGTGAAGAAAGTAGTGGCGAAGAAGTTGTTGGTATTGTAAGTTTATGTTTTGTTTTCTCTGGTCAAACAGCCCATACATGGATGCAGTAGTTTCTCTAGTGACCCTTATGCTGGACACTGGACTCCCATGTTTCAGAGGACAAACCATAAAACTTCTCAAGTAAGTTCAACAGTGTGACATCTGAGTGTTTTTGCTTCTATGGTGAGTTATATTGTATGTAGTCAATATTATGTCAAAAATCTCCCATGCAGTAAAATCCTGCCAATTTATCTGAGACTAGAGCACTATAAAAACTAGTATAGAAATAAATATTTGGTAATACAGGGAGTGCAGAATTATTAGGCAAGTTGTATTTTTGAGGAATAATTTTATTATTGAACAACAACCATGTTCTCAATGAACCCAAAAAACTCATTAATATCAAAGCTGAATGTTTTTGGAAGTAGTTTTTAGTTTGTTTTTAGTTTGAGCTATTTTAGGGGGATATCTGTGTGTGCAGGTGACTATTACTGTGCATAATTATTAGGCAACTTAACAAAAAACAAATATATACCCATTTCAATTATTTATTTTTACCAGTGACACCAATATAACATCTCCACATTCACAAATATACATTTCTGACATTCAAAAACAAAACAAAAACAAATCAGAGACCAATATAGCCACCTTTCTTTGCAAGGACACTCAAAAGCCTGCCATCCATGGATTCTGTCAGTGTTTTGATCTGTTCACCATCAACATTGCGTGCAGCAGCAACCACAGCCTCCCAGACACTGTTCAGAGAGGTGTACTGTTTTCCCTCCTTGTAAATCTCACATTTGATGATGGACCACAGGTTCTCAATGGGGTTCAGATCAGGTGAACAAGGAGGCCATGTCATTAGTTTTTCTTCTTTTATACCCTTTCTTGCCAGCCACGCTGTGGAGTACGTGGACGCGTGTGATGGAGCATTGGTCCTGCATGAAAATCAAGTTTTTCTTGAAGGATGCAGACTTCTTCCTGTACCACTGCTTGAAGAAGGTGTCTTCCAGAAACTGGCAGTAGGACTGGGAGTTGAACTTGACTCCATCCTCAACCCGAAAAGGCCCCACAAGCTCATCTTTGATGATACCAGCCCAAACCAGTACTCCACCTCCACCTTGCTGGCGTCTGAGTCGGACTGGAGCTCTCTGCCCTTTACCAATCCAGCCATGGGCCCATCCATCTGGCCCATCAAGACTCACTCTCATTTCATCAGTCCATAAAACCTTAGAAAAACCAGTCTTGAGATATTTCTTGGCCCAGTCTTGACGTTTCAGCTTGTGTGTCTTGTTCAGTGGTGGTCGTCTTTCAGCCTTTCTTACCTTGGCCATGTCTCTGAGTATTGCACACCTTGTGCTTTTGGGCACTCCAGTGATGTTGCAGCTCTGAAATATGGCCAAACTGGTGGCAAGTGGCATCTTGGCAGCTGCACGCTTGACTTTTCTCAGTTCATGGGCAGTTATTTTGCGCCTTGGTTTTTCCACACGCTTCTTGCGACCCTGTTGACTATTTTGAATGAAACGCTTGATTGTTCGATGATCACGCTTCAGAAGCTTTGCAATTTTGAGACTGCTGCATCCCTCTGCAAGATATCTCACTATTTTTGACTTTTCTGAGCCTGTCAAGTCCTTCTTTTGACCCATTTTGCCAAAGGAAAGGAAGTTGCCTAATAATTATGCACACCTGATATAGGTTGTCGATGTCATTAGACCACACCCCTTCTCATTACAGAGATGCACATTACCTAATATGCTTAATTGGTAGTAGGCTTTCGAGCCTATACAGCTTGGAGTAAGACAACATGCATGAAGAGGATGATGTGGACAAAATACTCATTTGCCTAATAATTCTGCACTCCCTGTATGTGTTTTGACAGCTATTCTGTAGGTGTCAAAAAAGGAAGACAAACAAAACGCAGCCACCTGGAGTTAAAAAAAACAAACAATGAGTGCAGCATGTAAGGCACACTTCCAGTGCCACTGGACTGTGAAACTGTTATTTCCACCCAAAATGTGTTCACATTTATTGTTTTTTTCTTTTGTTTTTTGTCAGAGGACGTTTTAATCCACAAATGAGTGAAAAAGAAGCAGCAGCATTCATCATCAAAGTCATCCAAAGCTGTTTCCTCAGTAGCAGGTGACAAAATACTTGCATTACTTAATTTGTGCTGCAGTTGTTACAGAAGACAAATGTATAAGCCCATTGCCAAAATTGGTCAAATATTGTATAGTGTCATTTTGGGATATTAAATAACTTTATTAACACACCCATAGTTAATAATAAAAATATAGAAACACCTTTTTGCTTTAACATTGTTCCTTCTAATAAATATTTGTTAACTTCATTTTAACAGGAGCAAGACATACGACATGCTGCAGTACTACCAAAACCAGATTCCATACTGAAGATCGTCTGTCAGCCTTCCACTGTGCATCCAGAACAAACGAGCAATGCTGTGTTTTTATAAAACTGAATGAGGTGGTGGTCCCGAACACTACTCTGCTCCTCAGATTTTGGCAAAAATGATGCACTTTAACGCTAAATCATCTCATTCTCATGTAATTACTTACACAAGACTGAAAAATGATGTGTGTCGTTTACTAAACAGGTATCTGAAACGCCCTTTAAGTATTTTCTTGATGCTGTTACTTGTTACTGTGCAAACACTAACTTAAGGGTCACATTAGAGGAACTTGGCCTAAAAGGGAGCCATCTTTACAGTGTTTGTAAAAAGCAGCTGTTATCATTTTGTTCCTATGCTGTTACCCATTTTGATGCACTTTATTGAGTACAGTATTTCTGCAGCTTCACCTGCCTACAGTCGAGAGATTAAAGCTCAAATGTAAGACATTAAAATACTCTGAAAAAAATGTAGATGTTTTTAAATTCATCCAAAATGAACGCAGCAGTCAATCAACATTTAACCTAACAGTAGTCTTTAGAAATGTAAAGGTGTTTAGAGAATCAGACATACTCATGCTGTAGCTTGTACTGTAGATTATTTGCTGTAGAATCACATCAGCACAGGCGGTTTCTGTGATATATGTGTAGAGTTATGTGTGACAAACTTTTAACTGTGCTAATTTGATGGTTACACCTTTTCATGCAAGTCTTTATATGTCATATCTGTTGTATGGAGGCATTTTTACACTAAACTTTGGTTCTGGTTGAGCCTTTTGTTTCCACTAATTTACCAATAGTTGTCATTGTATCTCTATTTGTCTAGAGCAGATGCACACAGTAGAAAGTTCTGCGAAGTTATACATTTAAGTAGCACTTACTTAATCTGCAAAACAGCTCACGTTAGTACAATTACTGTTAAATAACACATAAAGAGAGCAAGTGTTGCAGCTGGAATGTGCATGGCATATGTTACTCACAATCAAAATACAAAACTTATTTTGTATGAACAAAATAGTTACATTAACATACGCGAATATGAGCAATATTAAAAGACTTTCATGCAGCGTTTATTGTGCAGGACTGTGCGTCTTTTCTTGCTACTGCCTGTCTTTAGATTAGAAAATAGAGGCACAACTCAGACAAAAAAAAGAAAAGTGAACCTTATCTTATCTTGACTTACAGTGTTAATGAGCAAAAAAAACAAGATTTTACTTTATAGTGGTTATAGGTTGTCGTTACTTGAGGGGCCATGGTGCTAGTACATTAAATGCAATGAATAAGAGTCCGAACAATTTGGTGGCAGCAATATTTTTCCAAGAGGAAAAGAGCAAATAATGTATCTTTGATTTCACTGAAATTTTTATAAACTCTTGGAATGGATCCAAAAAGGTGGCAAAACCAGGTAGTCCAAATGTGAAATTCCATGTACACTGAAACACAGTGCTTAACATCTGTGGCCTACTTTATTACTCGAGAGGAGCCAAATTTGAATCAGCTGCTACACCAGAAAGGAGTTCCAGGTTAGAGAACACTGGAAATAAAAGCACAAGGTGTTGTAGTGAATAGACCTAAAATAGGCCCACAAACTTAACCAAGAAATTCATTTTTCCTACTTTTTCAGTTTCTTTTTACTACTTCCTTATTTCTTTTCACTTTTTACTTTGCTCTTTACCCTTCTTCCAAATTTTTCCATGTTTCTCTCCATTTTTAATTTTTCATTCCGATCCCTTTTTCTTTCATTTTTCTTTCCTACTTAGCTTTACGCCACTCTATCATTTCTTATTACTTTAATTCTTTATTTCTCCATCTCTTGTTTTCTTTTTCTTGTCTTTTTCTTTATTTCTCCTGCACTATTTGTTTGTTTTTACATTTTTTCCCCCACGTGTAGTATTAAATGCTTAAATACAGCACACAGGCTGGACCATGACCCATTGGTTACTACTATTCTGTCTGTCTGATAGCATGTGTCAGAATACATGTGTGCAACATGTCTGCAAAACCCTGTTTGGAAGCATTCCTCATATTAACATTATTATTAATCTTTGTATCAAAACAATCCTCTTGGCTTACTGATGCAGATGATGATTATACCTAAAAAGCCATTTCTCCTTCCCATAGAATCACAACTGTAGTAATACTTGACATAAAAATAACTTTATGCAATATATATTTATGTGTATTAATCTTGTATCTGTGTGTTGTGTTCTGCAAATGAAATTGCAATGATTCCCTCTGTCCTAGTCCTTGTGTGAAAAGTTTAATGCTGCAGCCATGTTTTCTTATTGTATTTCTCAAAGCGTTTGAGTATATGGAAATTAAATGGGAGAATGTCCCTGCTGAGGTCAGTAGTAGGTTTTACTGAAATTCTGTTATTTTAAACATGTAAGTCATCCCTTATGTTAACCAATATCTCTCTGAAGCTTTGGTCATCTTGCATGCTTTACCCATATATGGTTGTCTTTGTGAGGTACAGTCTGGGTTTTAGCTGGGAGTGAAGTCAGGGAATTTTTTCTGGTCATCATTTTATGACAGACCTTCATTGAGCTGTTCTAGGGTTCAGAACAGAATTAAGTATGGGTCAGGATTAAGGGCCTGGGAGTGCATTCATTAATGCCCTCATAGAAATAGCCATATGGTGTGTGTGTGTGTGTGTGTGGGGGGGGGGGGGGGGGGGGGGGACGACAGTTGTTTAGTGCATTGTTTAGATGAGCATCCGTTTTTTTTTTTCTGCTAATGTGTGGAAACTTGTTATTGTCAGAATAAATGTTAACATTTCACCAGAATCAGACTGTCAGTGTATCATTAATTCTTTTTTTTTGTGTTCCTCTAAGTCTTATTTCATTGACATGTTTCCTTTCTCCTTACATTGGCTCTTTTTTTTTTTAGCTGTTCCTTGTTTTGTTTTTTTGTTTTTTCCTTGTTTTCTTTTTCATTTCATTCTTTTACATACGTTTTGTACTTTTCTTTGTTAATGTTTATTTCTTTTACCCCTTTCTTTTATTTTTTCTCTACTCCTTTTTTTCATTTCTTTCTGAGGTGAAAAAAAAAGAGAAGAAAAGTTAAAAAAAAAAAAACAAAGTAAAAAAAAAAATCATAGCAGACAAAACAAACCGTAAAAAAATCAAACTTTCCTTAAAATAATAGTGTTTGAAGGTATCAGATAACATTAGTTTTATAGGTTATGTGAGCCTGGCAACCACTGAATGAAGACAAGCAAGAAGGAAGAGTTGGAAGACCATAAAGCCAACGGCACTGACCTTTGACCTATCTGAAGAAACTTAAGCAGACTCCTTACAACAGTTGGAACAATAAGAAGCACAAAGTGCAGTTGTTTAATTTTAGTAGGTTTTTTTTCCATACTTAAACAATGTGATTTTTTAAATTTCTGTAATTATGTTCTAAATGTGGTCATCTGATATCCATAAAAATAACCAAAAATTTGTAAAATAACAAACCTTTATTTAACACTGGGCATCACAGAGACTGGTGGTTTATACCAGTAGCACAAAGAACATGATGATTGTGGGATGAATTGTCATTCACAAAGAAGCCCCAAGACAAATAGCTGGCAGAACTGAACTCTTCTTGTTCAAGCTGGTCTTTCTGAAACTCTGAAAACTGGACTTAGTGCTAGCTAGTAGCAAGATACAAAAATCAATATATTGAAATCAATAATGCATAATATTTTTGTGCAGTAACTGTTAATAGTTCCATGAACCATTGAGCCAGGCATGTTGTTATATGGATTTCATTAATATTGCTCCAAAGGTTATCAACAGTAGATATTTATTTCTAGTGTTAAGTTAAGGTGGTTAGCACTGTTGCCTCACAGCAAGAAGGTCTTCAGTTCAATTCCACCATCAGGCTAGGGTCTTTCTGTTTGGAGTTCCCATGTTCTTCCTGTGTTTTGTTAGGTTAATTGGAAACACTAAATTGCCCATAGGTGTGAAAGTGGGTCTATGTGTTGATCTGGTGTCCAGGGTGTACCCTGCCTCTCGCCCTAAGACAGCTGGGATAGGCTCCAGTGCCCCCTGCGACCCTGAAAAGGATAAGCGGAAGTTAATCAATTCAGCAGAATTTTCATACAACTGAATTAAAGATAAAAAACAACAATCCCTTGTGAGCAAGCACTTGGCGACAGTGGAAATGAAAACATCCCAAAGTACCAGGCTGGGGAACGGGTGGGCATCTGCTGTGGTTTGGGGGGAGGGGGTTATATATGTCAGAAAATTAAAGCAAATATGCCTTAAAATTGACCTTTAGGCACTGGAAGTAACTCTCTGGCTAACACAGTTATTTGCTATTAATATTTAGTGGTGTATAATTGATTATTTTATAGGAAATGGAGTTGAAGTCAGTTAAGTGAATAGTCTAAGCAGCCAGCAGAGCTTCTTGTTCTTTTTCTTTTTGCACATGTTTTCATCTTTGGCCTCTGGATTTTCTTGTTTGGTATTGCTGGCCTCCTTTATGTGTTTTTCTTGCACAGTCTCGTGGAGTGTCTCATTTTGGGCCTGAGAATGATCTAGTTTAGTAATGCCACTGCCCATCATTGGGTATAAAGTGGGCACTGTGCTCTGGTTGCCACAACCCATCATTAGGTATAAAGTTTGGATTGGGTTCTGTTTGTGACAACTCATCATTGGATACATTGTTTGAATTGGGATGATGTTGCCAATTATCTGGTTTGGTAACGTTGGACTCTTCTTGGTTTTTCATTGTCTCTTCCAGAGACTGCACAGTCTGCTGCAGTATTATCTTTTCTTCTTCTGCTTCCTGGAGTTTGTTTTTTATGTTTGTGTTCTCCTGGTTTTGCTACAGTTTCCATTAGGAAGCTTCGGTCTTTTCCAGTTCTTGTTAAAAGTTTTGCACCTTCAATTGATTTTTTTTCCACAAAGGGCTTTACTGGTGCAGAGTTTGATTTTGAGGTCTGTGAACTCACAGTGGGCTTGTTGTTCTTATTCTTGCATTCTGCAACTTCCTCTTCTATATCTTTTTTTACTTTGAGGAGTTGCTCACGGAGCTGTTCAATCTCCTGCTGCTGTTTCTTACATTGGATTCCAATTCAGCTTCTCCCTCCAGTTATTTTCAGCTCTGGAGTCTCTGTGGTTTGTGTTGAAGCCTTCACACTCAGCTCCACAGCAGTGTTAGCTGTGTTGCTCTCTTCAACAGGAGCATCACTCTCCTCAGAGAGTTCTCCTCTGTGCTGGACTCAGGCCTGTTTCTGTGAGCCTCTTCCAGCTGTTCTTGGAGCTCGAGAATGTATTTTTCTGCATTTTCTCTGCAGCACTTTAACTGCAAGCGAAGCCAATCATTATGGGTTTTACACTTGGCAGCTTTGTGATTTGCAGCTACCATTTTGTAATGACTTGTTGGCTGAATGTGCTGAGATTCCTGCAGTTGGAATCTTAGTGCAGCAACCTATCTCTCATATTAAATGGAGGTCTGCTATCACTGGGTATAAATTAGGCATTGGGCTACTGCTGCCAAGGCCCTTCACTGGGTATAAAGTGTGGATTGGGCCAACATTGTTGCCAAGGCCCCCAATTGGGGTCCCACGCTTCTTCCTCTGGTGTTTGGGTTTCCATTTTGCTGAATATATTCTGTTTATTTTTACCTCTTTAGTTTGGCTGCGCCAGATGAAGTCCCCTCATTTGGTGCCTTTAACAATATCATGCACTCTTCAAACTCTCAAGCAGCTTTAAGCAGTCTGCACAGTTCTTCCATTAAAAAACAAACAAGACAAAACAGAATATAAAATGTTTTTATTACTTAGTTTTTAATATAAAGGTTTTAAATATTTTTATAACAGAAAAGGAAAACAACAAATAACAAAACAAGCAGTCGACTGAAAAACACAGCTTTTTCCCTACAAAGCAATTCTGGCAATGAGAACATGACATTATTTTCATGAATTGACAACACATATACAGATGTATGAGCAGCCTAGGAGAGGCCTGCAGAAGTTTATATAGCTGTGAGTAGGCGCAAACAGGAAAGAAAAAAAAGGTGCGTGTGTGTGTGTGAGGGAGGGGGAGAGAGAGAGAGACCCATACTCATTTCGGATAGATTACACCATCTTGTGGTATAAATATTAGCTTGCAACCTTAACCCTTGGAGGCTTTAAGTCAAAAAAGGGTCCCTTTTTTGACTTAAAGCCTCCAAGGGTTAATCAAAAGGTAAGTTTTTCCATTTTATGAATCTCCTCAACAACGCTCAACCAGTCATCCAGAACAGTAGGGTCAGTATATTAATTAATTAATTCTTCGGGTAAGTCTCCTAAATAAAATGTTATGACGGACCGTTGTTTTGATTTAAAGCCTATAGTCTATTCTATCTTTGACATCTCCCCAAAATTTAGAGAGTTTTCGACAAGACCAGAATATGTTGGTATGATTTGCAACAGTTTCCCACAGCTCCCCCAGCATGAGGAATTTCCCCCTGTTTGTTGTTTTGGTGTTATGAAAAATCATACCAAGTTTTTCCAACTAAATTTTTGCCAGTTGGCAGAAGATGAGGTTGAAGTAGCAGTCTCACACATATTGTCCCATTGTTCAGAAGATATAACAGTGGACAACTCTTTCTCCCATCTTTTTTTAATATAATCTGTTGATGTTCCCCTACTTTTTAATATACTCTGGTAGAGTTTAGAGATTATTGACTTACATCCCTTAAAGTATGTTTGCAAAATCAGATTCATTATTTCATTAGGTTGAGTATTAATTTCTTTAGTCACTTTTGAGGACAAATATTGCTGTAATTGCAGGAATCTGAAAAAGTCACTTTTTCCTAACTCATATATATTTTTTAATATTTGAAAACTTTGAAGGCCATTCTTATCCATAATTTCACAATATACATTAATCCCTTTATGTGACCAGTTTTTAAATTTTAAATCCATTTGGTTTGGTTTAAACTCACAGTCATAAGCCACCCACTTAAGTACTTGAAAATGTGGTTCCTTAGGTTTAGTTCTTTTACTCAATCAAACCAAATAAGCAATGTAAAAGATGCCAAGGGGTTCAGTTCTTTCTGACAAGCTGTTGTCAGTTTCTGATCTCCTATCAGGGCTTGTATTGGAATGACCCCACACATATTATATATTTCTTTTCCATTGGGCCTCACAAGTATCATCACACCATTGTATAACTATTTTGAGTTGAGCAGCAAAGTAGCAATCTCGGAGACTTGTGTGAGAGAAGCCACCTTTATCTTTACGAATTAATAATATGCTATATTTAATTCTAGGTTTGCACCCCCTCGACAAAATATTAATTTTACAGTACAAAATAAATAAAATAAAATAATAATTTAAGTGTGTATTATTGTGTCGTTGTTTTGTCACTGACGTGTTCTATTAACCATTCTGTCTCGTTGTGACAATTATGTCTCTGTGTAGGTATACTGGATCTCTCTGTTGTCATACGTGTCTTTTTAGCTGTCTTTGAGAACTTTGTCATACTTTGTCCTTGATCATTTACTTTTCTTTGTACATCTAAGGAGAAATGTCAACAGTTCAAATTCCGCGCAGTTCAAAAAGCTGCCAGCTAGGACCAGTTCTCTCTGTTATTGTTGTGTTATTAGCGTGGTATTCGAAAGCACAGTATGTCTTATATTTGATTACTGTCCTGACAGCAGCAGCAGTGACACTTTATTATTATATTGCAGATTAAAGTGGTAGCGTCTACATGGATGAAGATCTAAACGAGCCAGCGTCAGTTTGTGTGGCGTCAGGTGAGCTGCTGCTGAACTTCTCTTTTTTCCAACCAGGTAAACTGCTCCTCTGTGTAGTGACGTCAAAGGGATGGGCGAGTCACGTGCTTGCCTTCGAGTGAAACCTGCGGTTAACGTTACTGAAATGGGAGAGAGAAGAACGGGAAAAGGAAGGAAAGCGAATAAGGTAAGCGACCTCCAACGCGATGGTTCCACTACACAGAGCGCGGAGTTATGTGTTTCGCAGAATAATAGAAGGAGTCGGTTGGCGTGTCGGAATAAAAGTTTTTATGTCGAAAAGTAGGCGGTAAACAGAAGGCTGAGTCAAATTGTTGAGTGCTCGAGTGAAGTTTACCTCCTGTTCACTCAGCCAAACATGTGAAAACAGCTGTGTTCGGAAGAAAAACTCATATCGCGGTCTCCAAACTACGTTGAAAACGATATTAGCTTAACATAGAGTCAGACCAGAATATTGGGCCGACCTGTTCTCTTGCCCGAACCCTCATGCTGTGTGCCAGCTCAAACTATGAAGTCCACAGGTCCAGGCCTCCTTCCTTGCGCGCAGTGATATCATTTGATACGGACTACAAAGTGATCCTATTTTCTCGTTACCTGTTTATTATTAAAGCAAGTAGAGCTTGGGAACAGCTTCGTGATAACAGTAGCAGGCGTCTGTCTGACTTGAACTGGTGATAAAGTCAAAAGTGAACTAACAGTCCTCGTCGTGAGCCGCTACTCTACAGTTTAGTCACAGCTCAAGAATTCAGGTCCTTTACTCCAGCTATGAATACCATACTAGAATTTAAAATACTACTCTACGGCTGATGATAATAATCTGTTAAATAAATTAATAAGACGGTTATTTTCATTATTGACCCTTTATGTGATATTAAAAGAATATTTTTCTCCTTGCATTGACCAGTTGTGATAAGCCTGAACCAAAGGAGACGTTTGATTGGTCAATACTCTGAGAAAGCTTAAAGTGAACCTGTTACACTTTTTATTTTACATCTTTTTCACAATGGTGAAATTAGTTGAACATTAACTAGTTAATGTGACTTCTTCCTCATTACTTATGTTGTTGCAGGGCAGAGTCAACATCTTCCCAGTGATATTGAAAATGGTATCGAATAGCAAGTCATTTCCTGGGTATGGGTATAGAGTTTGAAATTCTAGTGATGTGACAACTCTGGAGCTATGTCCACCCCAGTGTACTTTAAGGTCCTGTACCTTGGATAGTTCTCATAGTACAACAGTAAAATTTTGATTGTTTAATAGCTTCATTAAGCATAATTAGGTCATACAAAAAACAGCCGATTCTGAGATGGTCAGGTGAAAGGCACTCACTGACTGGCAACTCAATTTATGTTAGTTTTGGCTGGAGAGGCGAGAGGGAACAGAAGTAGCTGGTTAGCAGAGACTGAACTTTCAAACTAAGGTAAGGTTAATGTGCTTGTGTGAGAAACATTGCCAGCTTTCGCCAGTTTAGCTTCAGCCTAAGTACAGTGCATTAAATGATAAGACAGTTGATCAAAGCATGGAGTTTACAACTCATCTTCATATCTTCCCTTGTCTGTCTCTACAGGTGATTCATCTGTACACTGTATAGTCATACAAGGTTTGCATTCTGACCTGCAAGCCAATGTAAGTCGTGTTGAGTGACTGCGTGTAAACGAGGTATTCAAGCATACTTTTTTTAACCTCTCAAGATCAAATCTGCCACAAGAAACTGTCTTTCAAAGGCTCATTAGTTAGTAAGAATGTATTTTTGTGCTGTCTGCAGTAGCAGCTTGCAGTAAGTAAAGCATTCCTGAATAGCTTATTGAGGCAACAGGGGAATTCATGCTCCATACTTGTTTGCAGCACAAAAATACAGTCTTTATTCAGCTTGCATGGAGGAGGCTTGGATAACATCATAAATCACAAGGGCTTTTTGTATGAAGAGGGTTTTTGCTGGTGGCTTCTGGTACTCTGGGGCTTATCTTTTTTAGTTTGGTGTACTTTTTTCTCCTCGTGAATGTTGGGCTTGAGTATCATTTATGAGATCATCATCAATCTGAGACTTAATTTGATTTTTTTCGTCCTTTTTTCTTTCTCCTTTTTTTCTTTCTTCTGTTATTTAAGTTGATAATAAGAATGAAGCTAAAACAAATGCACACTTCATAATTACTTGATGGATCACACTTCATTGAATACTTAATTAGGGAGTGTTTATTCAACCAGTCAACTATGTTTCAAGTCTCAAAAATTAATGGACTTGCTCAGTGATGAATTGTTAAGAGAAGTTACAATTAACAGGATCAGAAGGCACTGTCTGTTAGGGACCATGTATGTTTAAATAGTACATATATATATATGTATGTGTGTGTGTGCGTGTGTGTGTGTGTGTGTGTATATATGTGTATATATCTCTATATATATATCTCTATATATATCTCTCTCTCCCTCTCTCTCTCTCTCTATCTCTCTCTCTCTCTCTCTATATCTATATCTATATATATATATATATATATATATATATATATATATATATATATATATATCACAGTACACCAAATATTTACTTATAAACATGTCTGTGCATTTAGGGACCATCACCATCCTCATGTCCTATGGAGGAGGCTCTTACGGACGCACTGAGCGTGTCCGCCATGTGCCCCACTATGACCAGGTACCCAGCTCTTTACCCCGATCAGACTCCTATGATCAACAGCCCCTGAGAGAGCAGAGAGCTCCTCATCTTGCTCAGAGCACCGACCCTCTTCCACCTCCGCCTTTGCCTGCTCAGCCTCCTGTTGGCCTTGAGTTTGACCCCAGTGGAAGTGAAGACAACACTGATCTAGAGCCTGATCCTGCCATTGACATCAAACCAGTCCACCGCTTTATCCCCAACTCATGGAAGAACTTCTTCAGAGGAAGCAATCGCAGTAGTAAAAAGACGTGGTCCATGCCTACGTCTTCAAGCAATAACAACAGCACAACAGACGGAGTTCGCTGCTCCCCCCCACACTCCCCCTCTCTTCCTGCGTCATTCCAAGATAAATATGGCGGATCAGGCGGCAGCTACAATTCACGCAAAGAGCTTCTGGAAGCAAGGGATGGGCACGACTCTGTGTCTGGGCACACCTACCATACAGGTCTGACCTACAGTGAGCGAGTGCAGGAGTACCATCAGCGCTATGCCTACATGAAGTCCTGGGCAGGACTGCTGAGGATTCTGGGCTGTGTGGAGCTGCTGCTGGGAGCAGGTGTATTTGCCTGTGTCTGTGCTTATATCCACAAAGACAATGAGTGGTTCAACATGTTTGGATATTCGTCTCCTGGTGGAGCTTATGGAGCAGGTTACTATGGTGGCAGCATAGACGGGACCTCCTACTACACAGGCCCCAAAACCCCTTTTGTGTTGGTAGTGGCAGGGCTGGCATGGGTGGTAACTGTGATCATGTTAGTGCTCGGGATGACCATGTACTACCGCACCATCCTGCTGGACTCCTCCTGGTGGCCTTTGACTGAGTTTATCATAAACTTGGCCTTGGCATTGCTGTACATGGCAGCAGGTAGGAAACATAGCTGCATCTTGTCAGTGAAGACAGTTCAGTGGATTATTCAGAGAATCTGTTGTTTAAAAGAATATTTTTAAATAGTTTTTTTCAGCGTGGTAGACACCATCAATGTAATTTCATTGAAGACTTTACAGCAAGGGTTATAGAAAGTACCCAGACATCACCATAGACTGCCGTGCTAAAATCTTGGAATTTTACTGTTTTGTTTGTTTTTACTCAACCTGATAAATTTTGTTAAAGCAATTCTAGGTCTAGTTACTTGGATTTTTACCCAGACAGCTGTATGTTCTTGAAATTAGAAGAAAGTTGAACTCTTTACAGTGTGTTCTGTGGCTTGCTAACCAAGTTTGCCAAGACTCCTTTGACAACTAAGGACTTAAAAATTATGCATTAATTTCAAAATGCATAGTCCAGAAGTCAGTGGGTCACTTTTCAATGCCTACATTCATCTTTTATATACAGTGAAAGTTGTTCCGGGGACCTAAAAACATCTTGTTTTGTGCAGACAGTGAACTGAGAAATGCACCATGGCCCAGTATGAATGATTATTTTAAACTGTGAATCATAGAAATCTTCTTTAATAGAGTCCAGAAATAAATAATATCAAGCAAGAAATTGGCACAGTACTCCCTCTTAATTAAAGCTTAAGTGGTTATGATGCATGATAGGCATGATAGACTCATTAATAGGCAAGTCCTGTATTTCAAACCCAGTTATTGGTGGAATGCAGTTAAAAATGTAAAAGAGAAAACAATTTTCAGTTCAACTATTTTGCCATTGTAGCAAGGTTGAAGTGAAGCTATTAGGTATACTTGGGTTAATGACAACTTGGTTCTCAATATATATGTGGAGCCAGTCTGAGTTAATCAGTAACCCAAGGGTGTGTGAAAATTGACAAAGGAAAGACAAAGATAAAGGCTGTGATTTGGGGTTCTGGGTCATGTCATGTACTTCTCATACTCTCTATAGAACCAAACACTGAATTGCAAATATAAAGAAGTCAGATATGTTAATATTAACTACAACTCTGATTAATTTGCTGTGCTTAGAAATACAGTATTGCAGAGATTGAAGCATCAAGTAAAAAAAAATAGATTCAGGTAAAACTGAGGTAATTCCAGTGCATAACTTTGTCTGGTGGTATAATGTAATGATTTTAAAATTAAAATGAATTAAATATTCAGTCTCTTTTTAAATCAGTTTTTGATCTGCATATATAATAGAATATTTTTATTCTCCAGGCATTGTCTATGTTCGAGACACAACTCGTGGAGGTCTCTGCTCCTACCCAATGTTCAACAATGGTATTAACGGAGCGTTCTGCAGAACGGAAGCAGGCCAGATTGCTGCCATTATCTTCCTCTTTGTCACAATGCTCGTGTATCTGATTGGAGCCATTGTGTGCCTCAAGCTGTGGAGACACGAAGCTGCACGTAAATACCGGGAGAGGTACGGCCAGGAGGTAAGCTTGCTTTGTTTAGGTTTGCTCTGTTTATGAAATTGGGTCTAGGGATTCCTTACATTCAGTCAAGAGTTCTTCACTTTGATAACTTAAAAACAGTCTCAAACATGTCCACACATGCAGACGCAGACTGCACTGCAACAACAAACCACATAATTTGCACACAAGCTCCAGGGGAGTGAGTGAGTGGGTGGGGTCTGCCAGTCCTGCCCATGTGTTGCCAAAAGGGGTACACATAGTTCACTCTAGTTTTGCCTTGTATTCTTTCTCTTTTATTAATTGTGCAACATGCAAGTGACCGTTTTTAATTCGGAGATTTAAAGGAGATGATTTATGCCACTGGTCATAACTACACTAGTCATTTTGCCTAGTTATGCACTAAAATTGGAAGCACTGTTAACCTACTGAAATTGTAATTGTGAGGGAAAGTTTGTGTAGGTACTCTGTGCGCACATAGTGGGTGAAAAGAGAGAGGGAGACACCAGGGAGTTTATTTCTTAAGTCATTTGCAAGTAAGCGCCTAATCACAGTTAACATTGTTCACATGTAGCAAAGAACAATTAAGCCTTCCATAATTATTGTTTACAAGTGGAAGGATATCAGACAAATGGGTATTAATGTAGTTTAATTGGTTATTAATTATTTTTTAAATTTCTTTATGGTATTTTTGTAATGGCTAATGGCAACAGTTGGTTAATAGTACAGATTAGCTAGCTTATAGTTGTAGCTTTAGTATCCTTGCTTGCAAAACCCTGAATGAAGGTTAAATACATGTGTGCTGGATGTATAGTCCTGCTTTTCACACTAAGCCAGTGGGCTTGTGGTCCATTTGAGGGGTTTATATAAAAAATAAAATAAACATATTTGCCGTCAATTCAAGACATATGAGCTCAGTAGGCACACAAGACAACATTTTAAAAATAACAGAGCAAAAACAAAATTTACAAACTCCTATTGTTATTGTAGGGTTTAATGGCAGCTCAAAAGTAAAACATAGAGATGTAAAAAATATAAATCACATGTTAATGAATTATATTTTTATATATCTTACATGTGCAGATGCAGCCATCAAACATACGAGCTGTGCAGTCATTGGTAAGGATTCTGTAAGAAAAGACTTCACACATTAAAGATGGAATGCAGAAAGAATAAATGCTTGTTTGATGATTTCTCTGTAAGTATTACAGTAATGCAGTAAACATGTTGCTGTGTCTCTGCAGATGGTAACAGATTCTGCTCCTGCTCCCAGAATTCCAGAAAAGGTCCAGGGCTCTTCAGTGGTTCCCATCCATACTGCACCAAAAGCAGTTCCTGCAAAGGTTTTGCAGGGAGCTATACCTTCGGGGCACATTCCTAAACCTGTTATAGTGCCAGACTACATTGCGTAAGTGTTACCTAGAAAATAGAAAAAAAAAGTCAAGAGAGTCAGACAAAAGTAGATACAGTACACAGTCAATCTGCAGTTGTTCCTTTCAAATGTTAAATAAAAAGGCTCAGACATCACAGAAGACGAGGGAAAATCACACCTGCACACACTTAAACATAAACATATCTATTCAATTCAATTTTATTTATATAGCGCCAAATCACAACAAAAATCGCCTCAAGTAGATACAGATCATATGACTCCCTATGAGCAAGCACTTTGGCGACAGTGGGAAGGAAAAACTCCCTTTTAACAGGAAGAAACCTCCGGCAGAACCAGGCTCAGGGAGGGGCGGCCATCTGCTGCGACCGGTTGGGGTGAGAGAAGGAAGACAGGATAAAGACATGCTGTGGAAGAGAGACAGAGATTAATAACAGATATGATTCAATGCAGAGAGGTCTATTAATACATAGCGAGTGAGAAAGGTGACTGGAAAGGAAAAACTCAATGCATCATGGGAATCCCCGGCAGCCTACGTCTATTGCAGTATAACTAAGGGAGGATTCAGGGTCACCTGGTCCAGCCCTAACTATATGCTTTACCAAAAAGGAAAGTTTTAAGCCTAATCTTAAAAGTAGAGATAGTGTCTGTCTCCCGAATCCAAACTGGAAGCTGGTTCCACAGAAGAGTGGCCTGAAAACTGAAGGCTCTCCCTCCCATTCTACTTTTAAATACCCTAGGAACAACAAGTAGGCCTGCAGAGCAAGAGCGAAGTGCTCTAATAGGGTGATATGGTACTACAAGGTCATTAAGATAAGATGGGGCCTGATTATTTAAGACCTTGTATGTGAGGAGCAGGATTTTGAATTCAATTCTGGATTTAACAGGAAGCCAATGAAGGGAAGCCAAAACAGGAGAAATCTGCTCTCTCTTTCTAGTCCCTGTCAGGACTCTTGCTGCAGCATTTTGGATTAGCTGAAGGCTTTTCAGCGAGTTTTTTGAACATCCTGATAATAGTGAATTACAGTCGTCCAGCCTGGAAGTAATAAATGTGTGAACTAGTTTTCCAGCATCACTCTGAGACAGGATATTTCTAACTTTAGAGATGTTGCACAAATGGAAGAAAGCAGTCTGACTCCAAGGTTCCTCACAGCGTTACTGGAGGCCAAGGTAATGCCATCTAGAGAAAGAATCTGGTTAGATACCATATTTCTAAGATTTTCAGGGCCGAGTACAATAACCTCAGTTTTATCTGAATTAAGAAGCAGAAAGTTAGCGGCCATCCAGGTCTTTATGTCTTTAAGACATTCCTGCAGTTTAACTAATTGGTGTGTGTTATCTGGCTTCATGGATAGATAGAGCTGGGTGTCATCAGCATAGTAGTGAAAATGTATGCTATGTCTTCTGATGATACTGCCTAGGGGAAGCATGTATAATGCTTTTCTAATAGGAAATTTTTTCTGTGAGTTTTCTATTTTGTTTGCACTGATTTTGTTTTTACAAAGTCAAACACACTGAAACTCAACTAGCAAATGGTTTTAATATAAACTGGCAATCATTTTGTCAGTTACCATGAAGTGTATTATTTGTAATATAGGTGTTTCAGTAGTAGATGAATATCAGTTTGTCCACCACATCTTGTCCTCCAGCAACCAAACAGCAATTTTTGATTAACACTGAAGTTTTTCCTTTCACAGTGTGCATTAAATACAGCTGTTTACTCGGAACACATTTGTAAATACAAAGAAAACTGATAAACCAATATACACACATAGATGTACAAGGCAATTAAAACTCTATGAAAATAAATTCTAATTTGTCTAACTATTTACCATTTTTTTAAACACTTATGAAACTTTAAATCTTTCTCATATTTCAGACAAAAAAAATACTTATTTCATTTAATGAAATAAATGAATAGTAAAACACTATAAATAGAAAACACAACCATGATAGCATATTGGATCTTTATCTCCACTATTGCCATGTATAACTTAAATATGGTTAGGAAAAGATGTGACATTAAAACTGTGCTCTTTGTATTCCTGTTTCCTACAGTAAGTACCCAGTGATCCGGTCAGATGAGGAGCGGGACCAGTACCGGGCCGTGTTCAACGACCAGTACGCAGAGTACAAAGAGCTCCACTCAGAGGTGCAGGCAACCCTCAAGAAGTTTAATGAGATGGACGCTATGATGGGCAGTTTACCTCAGCACCCTACCAACCAGATGGTGATTGCTTATATACACCTCTTAAATTTAATTTAACAAGAACTGATGTTGATTTGCTTAGCACAGCTTCACATTAAGCTTAAACTACCCATTGAGGCCTTTTTGGATGTGTATAGATGTCTACAAGACTGAGTTAGCCACCGTCAAAAAGTTCTGTTTGTACTGTTATATCTACATTGACTCCCTTAAATTTTGCTTGTTGCATTTGGCATAAATACAGTAATTATTTTAAAAATAAAAGGCACTAATAGGTTACACTGAAACTAATAAAATGAAACTAAAATTAAACATTTTAAACTATAAAAGCTAAACTAAAACAAGCAAACCCACTCAGGAATCAAATGAAACTAAATGGAATAAGGATGCATTTTGATTGCATGTTTGGAATATTACACTCTGTCTTTTTGTTTTGAAATTGTACCTCATTTCCTCATCCCGTAACTTCCCCTGTTTGGACTTCCTGTCCCCTCTGCATTTCCCCTCCACCCTGAAATTCCTCACTCTCATCAGAAAGCTGCTGGTACTGCGTCACTGCAACTCATTTTCATACTGAGTTTCAGTGTTTGAGTTAACTATGCCTCTCTTTCTGTTCTTGTAGGAGGTGGATCGCATTAACAGAATCCTCCAGGAGTACCAGAGGAAGAAAAATGTGAGCTTATTGTCTTGTTACTGTTTTATACAATGGGGGGAAGTAATTATTTCCCTACCAAATTTGTGATTTTCTTCACTTACAAAAGTATAAACAGTCTCTACTTCTTCTTAGTTTCATTTTAATGCAGAAGAGACAGATTGTCGACCACAAAATTCCATAAAAACACATTACAGAAGTTACAAATTGATTTCCTTGTCACTGAGTGAACTAAATATTGAAACCCCTACAACCCAGCCAAAATTTTGGCGCTCACATATTAATAGTGTCCCTCTTTTGCATTGATTACAGTCAGTCAGTCATTTAAAGATATTCCTGATCTGAACTCATCATGTGTAGAAAGAAAACCTGTCCACTTTCTGCTAATGGTGATGGCTTAACTTACATGGGGAGCAGCTATGTGCTTTAAAATGGATGAGAACCATAGTCATAGATGGGTCTTTTAGCAGAATAGTGACCCGAAACTTTCCATAAAAATTTAATTACCATAAAACGCTTTTCCTTTCTTTGAAACTGTGCAACAGCAACATTAACCATAAACAAGGGAGGAGCAAAAAAAAAAAAAAACCCCCAAAGAAAAGATCAGATCATCAACAAGGATTGCATGACAAAGACTGTTTGTGACACTGCCCCCTGGTGACAGTAAACAGTTGCAACATGTAGACAATCTTTCCTTCCCACTGCTGCTATGTGCTTTTTTTTGTTTTCTCAAGGGTTTTCATTCTTACATTGTTGGGTTTTTATGAAACACCTTAAGGGGACTTTTCTTGATTAGGTGCTATATAAATAAAGTTTAATTAAACTGAATGGAAATGTTCTCAGGTCCACAGCCCTCTGATACTTTTTTTATACCTTTATAAAGTCTTTATTGATTAAACATGGTGTAATTTTTACAGACATATCTTTTATTGCTCTTACATATTTTTTTATTGCTCCATAAATGATCAGGTTTAACAGAGCTTTGAAGGGCTAAAGGTCGACAAAGGTCCTATGCGTATACCTCGGAAAAAAACTGGAAGACTATGTCAAATACAGCTGGAAAAATGTCCAGAGAAACAAAAGTGAGCCAAAAGCTGTAGACAGAAGAACTTTTTTAAGAGTTTGCAGGAAAAGTACAGGATTCTTATTATTCCTTCAAAAAGTGACCCTCTGCAACAAATTTTTTTTGTTCAGTTATTTTGAAGCTAAATTAACTTTAGTTTCAGTGGTCACTGGGATATAATAACCTGTCAAATTTATAATCAAAATCAAAAAGATTTGCTGTCTCTGCTGTAATGTATCAGGTGTTAATGCTGGCCTGATTCCTTTTGGGAGAGGATCCACTGACATAGTATATTGTAACTTCAGCCATCATTAATTCTACATGTGCTTTTTTTGCATTTACAAGTCAAGAGGTCTGTTATGAAAAGGTCTACTAATCTCCACGGATATTGTGTAATTTTAGAATGTAGTTATTGTTGTGTTGAGTATTTGGGATAGCAGGACTATCTATGGAGTCATCGAAAACCACAGTGTTGTAATGAAGCAACATGTTGCCTATTGCAACAGCGTTGCACATTGTTTTTGATGGACAGCAATGTCAGATTTAGGAGTTTATTTAGGCTTTGTCTTTTGGTGGTTAAATAACAGTAGACTATAATCTGATCACTGTTTCTGCCTTACCTTTACAGGATCCCACTTTCCTAGAAAAGAAAGAGCGTTGTGAGTATCTGAAGAACAAGCTATCACACATCAAACAGAAGATCCAAGAATATGATAAAGTCATGGAATGGAATGATGGCTACAGCTGAAAACCTCTGAGAAATTCCTGTACTGCAGCACAAATACTGAACTGCTGTCGCCATCTCTACATCACCAGTGCTGAAAATGAACACTTGATGTTGCAAGTTGATGCTGAATGCAGTCAAAACCATGAGCTTATCAAGCTTTCCCTGCCTTTTGAAATCTGTTCAGCGACAATAACTGGAAGAAAACACATCTGTCAACAATTTCTCTTTTGAATGTGTGGTTTCTTAAAGCTTTAGAGTCCAAAGCAAATGACCACAATGTTTCATCTTTAATAGGAATACCTTATATATATGTATAGCTTGTTTTTTTTTGGGGGGGGTTGCGTGGATGATACAAACTTGCAGCTATAGTAAATCTTAAAAAAATGTGATGCAAACTGGAAATGGAGAATGTTTGCTTTCAGAGTGAAAGTTTTCCCTGACTTCTACAACCAACACATTTCAAAATCTGCAATTTATACTTTGAAGGTGAATTGTCTACATTTCTGGTTTGCTACTGCTTAGTGAGTAGTTTTGTGAGTGATTGCAGACAAGTTAGCGTCTTCAATGTAAACTACTAGCACACTTAGATCAATGCTAGCAACTGAAGCAATTGCAAGTTTTCCGGTGCTGCACCATATACCCTTATGCAACCAATGTCATGCTAACAATTGTCAGCAATTTCTAGCAACTACTTTCCAACCAGTTAAGAGTGTACACTTTTCCCTAGTGAATAGAGGTTGACAGTGTGTCATTAACATGTCTTTAGGCCTTAGTGAATAATTCTTTAGCAGTTGATTTCACAGTGACTGCCAGCAATCTTCATCACCCATGCCAGTTAGTCTCACATTGCTATATGAGTGCTCACCACTCCCTAGGCTACACTCTTAACCCTGGAGAACCCATGGGGTCAAATTTGACCCTATGGTTTCCCTAGAAAACCAATGGGGTCGACTCTGACCCCATTGGTTCTCCAGGGTTAAATTTGGGTGATTAGCTTAGCTGGATATTAAGGAACTAGGATAAATAGCACGGCTAACTTTAATAAATCCCTAACTTGAATAAAAAACCCAAATACCCCTCTCCCCAGCCAGACCACAGTTCTGTCTATGTACCACCCTTTAAGCTTGCTGTCACTTTGTAGCTTTATAATTTGATTGAATGCAAACCAAAAAATTCTATGTGTGTGATGCTGTGACTAAAAAATGTAGCTGAGGTTGTCCATTTAATTTCATATCTGACAATAGTTTCAAGTGAATGTCTGTATAATTATTGATAATGCTGCATTATTTCTGTCAGGGTTTAATCCGTTGTTTGTTTGTTTTTGTCAGTTGTCTGCGTAATTTGTTTTTTCTTACTTTTAACCTCATGAAAACCACTGTTTATATACTCTTTTAAGTGCACGTTTTCAGAATCAGAGTCTTTATTTATCCCCAAGGGGAAATTAGGATACATTACATTAGGATACATTTTTATGTTGCGGTGTCTGAATCTGAAAGTAAGGAATTGTAGAATTGTAGCTGTTTGCTATGTGTACTTTGGATGCAACTTGCACAGACTTTGAGTGGAAAAAAACATTTTGTACATTATAGTCACGTAACTGCCTAAAAATCTCAATTTATTTGCTTTATAACACTGTGAACCTTTTCACTGAACAGAAAATATTTTCCAAGGTTTTTTTCTCTTTAAATGTGTATAATTTTTTCATAATTTCATGCTTTCTGTTCTCCAAATACAGTTCTGCTTATTGGACAATGGTGTAGTTATATTCTTTGTTAATCAGCAGCCAGCCATTTTGCTTTGTGGCAAAAAGTAATAAAATATTGATGGGCAAGAACACCAAAGAAAACAAAAGGCTGGATGGGAGATGAAAGAAGTGACTGAGTAATCAACTGATTAAACAAATTTTATCTTTTGAGTTGCTTTCCCAGTAATACTTTTTCTGGCTTTTGGACTTTATAGTGCAAATGAGCCCATTGAAATACTTTTTCAAAAAAAAATATAATATTAAAGAAGCTCTTGCTTTAGATGTAGTGTTAACTTAAAAAACATTTTGTAGACAAAAATAGGACAATTCTTTAATTAATAGTAAAAATATTAGTTGATGCAAATCTGGACTTAATCATAACATGAAAATCCTGACTCTAAAGTTAAATGTTTAACCAATTAGGTAGATCGACATCTGGTCACCTACCAAATTGAAGGTAAGTGGTTCGATCGCATCTCCTCCTCTCTGCATGCCAAATATCCATAGACAAGGTGCATCCATGTGTGTAACTGTCAGAATGAAAAAAGCTCTGATGTGAATGAGAAAAGTTGTGTTAAGTGTTTTTGAGTAGAAAAGCGCTATATAAGAACCAGTCCATTTACCATTATTAAAAACATTTTGCACTGGGTTATGTGCGAACATTAACAGAAAATCAAAGCTCAGAATACATTCAAACTTGTTTCTTGTCATTTTATTCAGTTCGTGTTAATTAGTCTTCTCTTGCTTACTTGTGTACGAGGGATACGTTTGTTGGAGTGACACTCAAAGATTGGCGAACTTCTTTATAATGTCACTCATATTAGTTTCCTTCTTTGCCAGGCGAAATAGGTTTGCACGTAAGTTGTTGGACACGTTTGTTAAAATACATTGGTTTAACATTTGTAAGAGACATGCACAACCAACTTAAAGGCTGACTTCCGCTCATGTTCTGTAATGTGACCTCTGTGATTGTGAGGCGGGGCGTGCTGTTACCGAGCGAGAGACGAACCTGTCTAGGTGTGGTCAGGATGTTTTTATTGGAAGTCGCAGTTTCACTTGAGCTGTTTCAGCTGAGGACTCTTACAAAGTAGCAGGTTAGTGTATCGATTTGAAATTGTGGGACTATCAGCAGAGGCTTCTTTCATTTTAAAATAACGATCTAAAGATAAGTGTGTCGTTGGATACTCAAATCAATTATCCTATTAACCCTATTATCTCTTCTATGAAGCAAAATTGCTAGGAGGATTGTCATGCTAGCAATTGTAATCTTGGGTTTTTATCGCTGCATACTAGCACGGTTATGCTGTGGGGAATAAGTCTCTGAAAATGTCTTACAAATATCTTACTATGTAGGTGTTTGCAGCAGAGTAATTAATAGAGTCAATCATTGTAAATAAAAGAAATGTTCTGTTCCACTTTTTAGTTGAAATGCTGCCTTTTTTTTTTCTTGGTGAATGTCATAATAAAGTCAGCAGATCCATGGACCTTAGGAAGACTTCAGTTATCACCATTTAACAATGATGATACTTAATAGCTATGACAACACTTATGAACCCTAAATGAGATCTGCTTTAACCATAAATATTCTTGTTTTTTACAGATCAGCACCAAGTGGATCAGAAGTTATGTCTTCCAGTCCCGTAGGAAGCCCTCCTCCTTACGAGGCAGATGATGACCAGTGAGTGTTTTTCGATTAATATTTCTACTGCTGATCATTTTGTATTGTAAGTGTTCATCAGAATGTTCAAGATGATAATATAGAGTATTTACGTTTTTCTTTCTGACTTTGTCATTTTTTTTAGTTTGTCTTTATTTTGGGTTGAAATCAGTTTTGTTAAGATTTTTGTTGTAGCTTTCATTTACCTTACATGCAAATAAAAAAGGTATATAATTAAAAATATTTACAAACTAATTAACTTTGACAAATCTTGGTAGAAATGTTGTTTATCTTATTAAATAATCACTATCACTATATATATGTGTGTATATATAATATATATATATCTCACCATAAACACTGTCTCTTTTGTCTCTCCCCCCTACACAGTAAAATCGTTCCGCAGCCTGCCTATTCTTACTACCCAGATGATGAGTTCCAGCATTTCTACCGCTTGACGTCTCCACCAGGCATCCTCAAAATCATGGCTGTCATTTGCACTTTTTTGTGCTTGCTTATATTTGCTTGCGTTGCCTCCACACTGGCTTATGACTCTCGGGGAGCATTGTCTGGTTTTGGAGGCATTGGTGGCTATGGTGGCGGCTATGGTGGCGGCTATGGTGGCGGCTATGGTGGCGGCTATGGTGGCGGCTATAGCGGTGGCTTTGGCGGCGGCTATGGTGGTGGCTATGGATATGGAGGATATGGTTATAGTTATGTTGAACCACGTTCAGGCAAAGGGTTTATGATCGCCATGTCAGCCATTGTGTTCATCTTCGTACTCACGGTCTTCATCGTCATTGTATCCCGTCAAAGCCTATCAGAGAGCAGGAGGTTCTACCTGGCTGTGGTGATCATCTCTGCCATCCTAGCCCTGTTTATGCTTATAGCCACCATAGTATACTTGGTGGCAGTGAACCCATCGGCACAGTCATATGGAACGCTTCAAGGCAACACCCTTACTGCATTGTGTGCTCCCTACCAACAACCGCAGTCCTCAGCACTATTTGTTAATGAATACCTTTACCGTTACTGTGTATTTGAGCCACAAGAGGTGAGGGCACAGATTTGATTTATGTCCATTTCTGTCTTTAACTTTTTTCTGTTTCTAATGTGGTGGTTTATTTCCCATTCCAGGCCATTGCCGTTGTGTTTGGCTTCCTGGTGACAGCAGCTCTGCTTATCATGCTGGTTTTTGCACTGAAGACGCGGCAGAAAATCCAAAATTTTGGCAAAAGCAACATTTTGTGGAAGAAAGTGAAAGTCATTGATGACTTGGCACCACCTCAGGATGTAGAGGCATGGGTGAGTGACAGCTTTATATGGGCTTTTGTAAAGATACATTTTCGCAAAAACATTTGTTATTGCAATGACATAAAAAAACAAAACAATTCATTTCCAATGACGTAAAAACAGCTATTTTTTTGACAAGGACAGCGCATTTGAAGCCTTTATTTCATTATTTTTCATTGAGTAATCAGTTCAATTTCTTAAGATCCATTGTTAGGCCTTTATGTTTAGTGTTAATTCCACCCAGCAGTCCAAAGCATTTAGTTTACAATGATTGTTTTGTGGTATCACATATGAACACATATGATAAATATGATAAAGGATTGGAGCATTTTTGCCATTTTCTGAGAAGAGAAGTTATAGCCCAGAACTGTCTTTGTGATCTGATGTCATGCAGCAGTAGAGGACTGGTAAAACCAGTTTGATGGTAGTCACTTGTTTATCAGCAGAGAAGGTGAAATGTGGACCAATGAGCTCTTTCTGTCTAGCACTGTATTTTTGGTTTCAAGGTGTGGCGTGCTCTCAGATAACAGTTTCAGTCTCACTCTGGCATGTCTTTAGTCACATGCTGGCATGTCATGAAGTAAGGAAGGAATTTACACAACATGAACCAGAGCTTATTATTGTTACTATGTTCAAGCATT